ATTCATAGCGTATAGTACCTCCCTCAAGCAGAAATGATTGCGCTGCATGGTGCCGGGTCTCAAGAAGGCGTGTAACTTTGTATAACTCTATGGCACAGAGTAAATTGCTCTCTTACTAAACCTTTGCCGATGGAATGCGCCCAACTGACTATTATCGGTGGCACCGGGCACCGTCACTCCCTTAAGTTACTCGATCCCAGGGATCTATAAGCCTAAAGACCCGGGCAGCCTCATTAATGTCTACACCTTGTCCCCATCCGAAGAGTTATCACAGGACCACCTGTGTTCACTTTTGACGGGACATCTATACATGCTGATAACAGCAACGGTAGCTCGAGCGGGGGTAGCAGCGGCATTGCTGAGGCGGCGCCGATCGCGAGTCAGCCTGCCAATCCGTCAGGGGCTGAGTCGAATGAGTGTAACAGATTCGGGTACAAGGCGAAGAAGGCCGGGTAGGCGCACAAGGCAAGACCGAGATAGACGAGCAGCTGCAGCGAGTTGCCGGTGCCGGGGGCGAAGGGAGTGTCGAAGACAACGAACGACGAAGCGATCGTGTACGGTGCCACAGTGACAGCAGTGTAGTGGGCAGGGGTTTAGCGGGTGCACGAATTGTGCGACGCCGTACGCGTGTAAGGGGATCAATTCTTGGTATCCGCAATGCTCGTTAGGTCTTACTAAGAGCTGAGTTGTGGCAAGAGAAACAGTGATTCGAGATGTGAGCAATTGGGTTCGAGAATAAGTGTGAGGATATTTTGGTAAAAGTTCACTTTTGTCGTTGAGAACATTGCTGTAATCGGTAAAATGTCGATCAAGCTTAGATATTTAATCAAACCCGTCTATAGAAGTATATTTTATCACCGTTCACCCGCTGTCTCCCGACATAACATCGAGGGCTAGATAACACAGCACGATGTAAAACATATGCTGTACCCTTAAAGACGACGCTAACTCCTTCCCAAATCTCTCCTAACCCTCCACACTCGACTCCCCACATCCCTCCCTGCACTCCCGTGCAACATCTCTACCCATGGAACCTCGTCTTGTTCCTCCTCCTCCTCCACACCCCCACTTTCCTCTCTATCCTCGTCTTCCCTCTCTTCATCGACCCGTTTAGCGGCCTTGCTGTTACTTTTCCAATAAAGCCCCTCGACATAAGCCCAAGTCGGAGCGTCAAACTTGCCCGCCACCAAGACGAGTTCATCTCCACGAAAAGAATGAAGAACAGAGGGGGGAACCGGAGTGAGGAGATGGAGTTCGGGGTTTGAAGCAGTTAGGGAGACGCCGCGTATGAGGACTAGGCCTACCAGGGAGGTGTATTGTGGGGAGAGAGGAGAGCCTGTAGGGTTGGGAATCAATGGTAATAACGGCGTAGAATTGAGGTGAGAAGGCGAAGATGAGGTAAAGGAGGGGGCAGAGCTGGAATTGGAGTCTGAGTCTAATTCATCATCGCATCCGCCCTGGGAAGTAGATGATGTGAAGGACAAGGAAGTATCTCCTGGTACTGCTAATCCCCGCAATGCCTCCTTTTTCTCGATTCTGACCAACCCCATCACCATTCCATTGATCGCATCGGAAACAAGCTCTGGTGCATATTGGTGATCGTAGCATACAATCCCCAGCACTCCCCTCTCGTCCGGCCGACCCGCCAATCGCACCCGCCATGGGCAAAGGTGTGTCAGGGGTGTGGGATTCCATTCGCATCCAGGGCCACCTTGTTGATCTCTGGAAAAGGGAGAGAGGTGGAAGTACGACTGCATCGCCATCGAGCGAAGTGTTGCTGGAGTCCATGAAGCTGCTCCACCGCCGCCGCCTTCACCAGAGGAATTTGGCTGGCTTGGGAGCATAGTGAATGGGATTGTGCTTGATGATGCACACGCCTCACGTAAAGCAGAGACAGTCTCTTCTGGACCGTCTTCAGACATATAGAGGACCTCCGTTGGGCGCAGGACAGCGATCAGTTCCGCCAACAGGTCAAGCCCTGTACCTTGGATCCAGCCCGGGGTGTTAACCACCAACGGGATATTTTCCTGAGAAGCAGAGCGTCTATAGTACGCGAATAAGTCTCTCGCACAAGCTATGAAGTGTGCTGGATCTAGCGCGGGGGTGACAGATGCGATGGCGTGCATGCGGACCGTCGTCATCCCCTCATTGCCGCCGTCCAGACCCTTCTCCCCAAATGAAAGACCCGGGTGACAAAACGGGGGTGCAAGGTTCGGACGCCTAAGTTTTGTCAGCGAAACCACGCCCGGCGGCGAGAACTCTGGCTGTCCTGGGTCGAGGTCGAGCACCATGACAGGTTTCCAGGAGCGCGACTTGTGTCCCGCACGGTCGGTCATGAGACGGTTGGTCAAGAGTCGACCAAAAGTAGATTTGCCGGAGGATTTAGGGCCACAGATGAAGAGTATTGGGGAAGGTTTACGGCGGGTGCTGGTGAGCAATTCGGAGATTTTTTTGTTCCACGCTGGATGAGAAGCCAATTCGCGAAGGGAGGTGCGCTTCGGGGCATCTGCACTGGTGTATATCTGGACAAAGCATTAGAATCCGTACTCTGAGGCTGGGGAAGACTTCAGGGGGCGTACAATCTGAAAAGTGTCGCTAGTCTCATTCCACAAGCGTCCAAACAACGGATTTAGACGGGCCAGTTCACGCAATCCTTGGGCGGTTGGACATGGCAAAAGCTCAATGACAGTGTCATTGGCTGTCCGCAAAACCGGAAGAGCATGACAGTGTGGGGCGTGCACCCACTGCACATCATCGATTGGCGTCAGTGTCGCGCCGGCGATGGTCACCTCGCCCTGGTGAACTTTTACGCCGTAGTTGCCAAGGATGACAAAACGCTGGGAAAAGTCAGCAGTCAGCAGGGCCACACACGAGAGTAATGAGCACCTAGTTCGCAGAAGCATACCTCTACATCAGGAGTGCTTAAAACCAGCCTGCCACCGGCCTTGCGCTGGAAGTTGGAATTGTTCGGCTGGAAGGAGGAGTGATGGCGGAGTAGCTCGCGGGGGGATGACGGTCTGCATAATAATTAGTTCCAAGATCAAGCGGGAAGACGAAGGCGAATATACTTAGACGGTTTCTCTTCTTCAGTCTCTACGGGCGTGGCTGGCGTAGCTGGTGTGATTGGCGAGTCCTCGGGAGACTTGCGTTTGCTCTTGCGTAGGACCTGGGCGGCTGAGATCGGCGTTGCGCTTCGCCTTTCTGTCACATGCTTGCTGTTGTCAACACTCTGTGGCTGTTTCTGAGCCTGAACTACGAGACTCTGAGCCCATAGCTGCTGGCGCGCAGCAAAGGCACTCAGGACTTGTTTGGTCAGTGACGGCACCTCCAGGGTTGAATCGATGAATCAAAGGACTGAAGGATTCATACTTGGTGTATTGTTGCCGCTTTCGCTGGCGCTGCCTTCCAGCTTTCTCTTCTTTGTCGATGTCATCTTAATTTCCAGCTCTCTTTCACCTTTCCCCCTAAATCTTCTCTCGATCTGACTCTTTTTTTCCCCTTTCACCCTCTTCAACCGCCAAACGACGGCTTTCTCATTCCGTTTGCTCACTCAACCTCCACCAATCAAACACGCCAATATAACAGCACGCCAATTTTGAGAAATTTGTTACTTTTTCACAGGGACACAAAACTGTCTCAAATCGGCCGCATGGGCGGCCTTCACGATCTGCTCAGTCGATTTGCCTTTGTTATCATCAAAGAGTAAAAAGGTGGGTGCAGCGAAAGTTTTGGCCCCACCAAATTTTTGGAGTTCGAGCGCGCCCCATTAGCCAATCATAGAGCATTACAATTGAAATTTTCCCCCACCCTTTACACGACAAGGACCATATGGCTTATCGCGATGCGCGAACCTTTTTTTCACCCATCAACTTTTTAATCCAGAAAAAAAGCACCAGAGTCGCCAGTTTTTTCCCGCTCCCCGCCAACGTTGACCCGCACACTGCCACCTGAAATCCTAGCTCAACTCTCCCTGTTTGATCCTGTCTACTTAGTGTCCGATTCATTTTCCTGTCTCATCTAACCGCCAACCGCAATGGCAGGGCCGCGCGCGCCCATCGGCACACTCTCACAGCACGCGGCCGCCGCATCCAACCTGGTCCGTAAGATGGTGCCCGGCCGGTTCCGCGGCGAGCAGGGCCGCGATCGCAAGCCTGAGCCCGTCAAGGACGAGAGTGACAGTGATTCCGACAGCACTTCCGAGACCAGTTCCGAAACTGATACATCTACCGGCAGCGAGGCCGATAACAGCACCTCAAAAACTGGGCCGAGGGCTTGCGAAACAAGGCGAAGCCAAATGGCGTTAAATTTGAGCCGAAGAAAGGTAATTCTGTGAAGGAGTCGGAGAGTAAGAGCGACAGCGAGAGCGAGAGGGACAGTGAGAGTCAGTCCGAGAACACCAAGGCCAATCCCAAGGACAAGATTGATGTTGACGAGGAGTCGGAGTCGAGCTCCGAGAGCGAGTCGGACGATGAGATGGCAGATGCTCCTCCCATGAAGGCCCCGCCTAGCCCGAACACAATCAGGCGCTCCATGGCAGCCCATACCTCGGAGTCCAGCAGCTCCGAGTCGAGCGATGACGAGATCGTCGAATCAGATGAATCGGAAGACGAAAAGCAGGCTGAGGCTGAGGCTGAGAGTGAGAGCGAGAGCGAAGAGGAGGTTCCCCCCAAGCAGCAGACCCAGCCGGTGAAGCTGGCTCCCAAGGAAGCACCCAAGAGTAAGCCCTTTACCAATGGCACCAAGAGCATGGAATTTGTCAGTGTGTCCGAGTCCAGCTCGGAGAGTGATGAGGAAGAGGAGCCGACTAAGACTGTTGCAAAGGACAATAGGTGTGTATTTATTATCTTGCACATGCCTTCACATGCTAACAGCTCAGCGCGCCTCGCGATTTCATCTCCCAGGGTTTTTACCTTCGCAAGGCTGAGGAAGACCTCGATGCCGCTGCCGTGGCCGCAGCTTTCAAAAAGGCTAAAGCCGAGGGCAAGCAAATTTGGTACTTTACTGCGCCTAAGTCGGTCCCCATTGAAGTTATCCAGAAGGCAACCATCCCCCTGGACAAGGTTGCTGCCGGTTTGCCCATTCTCTCTCACGACGGCACTGAGTATACGGGCACTTTCGAGACGCCCGTTAACCACCAGATCAAGATCCTCGTGCCCGGAAAATTGGGCAACAAGTACGAGACGCTTAGCAACTCGGTCGACAAGGTCTTGCACATCACCCGCGTCGCCCGCTTTAGCGAGGCTAACGAGTCGAAGTCGACTACTGCTGTCGTCCCTGCTACCTCGAAGGCGCCCCGCACGCAGCCTAAGGGCCTCAAAGCGCGTTATCGGCCCATCGGTGTCACCAGCGGGGCCATGGGCAGCATCGGCGTGGATGACTCTGCCAGCGAGAGCGATGTAGAGATTACTCAAGCTCCTTCGCTGGACGCTCCCATGTCTACGGATGACTCCAAAAAGGCCACCAAGAAACGCAAGCACGGAGACGTAGAGAAGAACACGCCCAACGGCAAGGACCATGCTGCCACCACACCCGCCAAGAAGTCCAAGAAGGCACGCGTCGACAACACCAACACCCCGACAGTTCATCCTGTTTCCAGATCTTCCAAGGAAACGCCCATCGCACCCCCGCCTGTTCCCAGCACCGACAGCGTGAGCAAGTCGTCTTCGGCCAAGAAGGGTGCCTCCAGCAAGCCGAAGAAGAATCCCGCCGAGCTGCCCAAGCCAACTAAAGTCACCCCTGTTCTGCCCCCTCCTATCCCTGTCGCTGGTGCTGCTACCAATGCGAAGAGCACTTAGGTGGGTTCTTCGGATGGCTTCGGCTCCGGTGCTAGTTCTGGATCTGGATTGGGGGTTAGTGATTTGATGGGTACGGCTGCGCTAACTACCACGGCAGCGGACACCACGGTGACGGAAGCGAGTGGATGGCAGTCGATGTCAGCGCAAAAGAAGAGAGAGACTGCGGTGCCCACAGCACGTCAAATTCAGGCTTTTGGGGCTTGTGGTCGGGGAACGATGATGCTGTGCACCCCGATAAAGGCTGACCCTGTTGGCGGCGATGTAGCAATGAAGGGGACTGGCAGTAGCAGCATCACTACCCCGGTCAAGAGTACGACAGCTATGAGCTTGATGCCGAAGACGGCCGTTCTCATGCCCGTTGCCGAGGCCCGCTGGACACCAATTCCGATCGCGGGAGTGAAGAATCGCAGATCGGTTTTTTCTTCGTCTCCTCGGGACTCACCCCAATCCTCTAGCGTTGCGGTTGACTCTACCCAGCGAAAGCAGCAAGATACGGTGGCCTCGATTTCAAACCCTTTCACTTGCGCCGGTACTGTCGCCCCTCCTACTTCAACTGCACCTGCGTCGCTTGCCATTCCCCGCTCTGGTGTTGGTCCCCTCCAGACTCATCACGCTTTTGCTCAGGGGCTTCCTCCAACCCAGCCGCAACCTCTCAAGGGAATTCTCAAGACCCCTGAGCGGCATCAGAAGCAGCGAGTTGTCATTAAACGGGAAGAACTGTCAGATATAGGGTGGGACGGCTTGACCGACGGAGGTAATGGCAATGCTAAGCCTCGTAGTAGTCGTAGTGATGGGAAGACCATAAACAATAAGAAGAAAGAGAAGAAGCTGAAGAAGGAGAAAAACGAAGCGAAGCTGTGTGACCAAGCCCAAGGCGCGGGACCGCATGATGAACTGACGGATTAGCTGGCTATCCACCTGCATTAGCGTTGGGTGTGTCTTAAGCAAGGGTCGACCTCATCTAGTCAATCATGACTGTATCAACGGATTCTCACTAAACTCAGACTAGGTTCCTGTGGAAACTAATCCTCAGTGCTTGATTTCCTCTGGAGCTTGACACTCACTATCCCAAGTGGCCAGCTCCGTTCATATTGACTTCTCGACAATTTAATAATTTTCAGAATTTGGTTTTGAAAACGAATGCTGAAGGAAAGGGGGGTAATTTTCGCTGTTTGCTTGTTTGCCTGCTAAGCTTGGTGCTGGCTTACCGCAGTCACATATCATACCGGACTGGGATAAGGTTTTTTACTGCTTTGTAGTAGTGACAAACAGGACGGGGGGAAATTTTCATATGGGATTGTCCTGTGTTATTCTAAAGTCAGATTGATCAAGGTGATACCTTAGTACTTAGAGGTGATTTGGCCTGCTTGCCCATCTGCATGAGTATATATTAGCATTAACGAACGAAATGAGAGCAAGTAAGTTGAATCTGGTAGTTTTTATTTTGATCTAGGTGTCTATAATCCAAAGAAATTTCTTGACTTATGCCCAGAGTTGAGTTGAAACTGAAAGGAGATAGAGATGGAATGGAAGGACTTCCGCCCATAGCTAGCACTTCATTCACTTGTTTGTTCCCCCAACAAGGCCATGTAGGTAGGCATCTGCTTTCTGTCAGTTGTTTATGAGGAACAAAGATCAGTACTCCCTTTCAAAGTCAGGTCCGAAACCCCCAGTCAAGTCGTGTTTTCTTGTAGAGAGTTGGGCTTAGGTAGGTGAGACTAACTGAAGGGGAGAGAACGAGAAGAGACAGCCCAAAATTGGTGCATTACTTTAACTCATATCGCCTATTCGTCGAGGATGACAACTGCAACGATGATAACTGATGGCCTGCGCTGGATTTTCTGAACAATCGGAAAACTTATCTGTAAAGGCTTGTTCGCAGGCGCCTGATTGATAATGATTTCTGGTCACACTCAGCAACAACGAACCTCGTACTCGCATCTTGTAAAGTCCAGGGGTATTGACAGTTAACATCTCTCGCAACGGCTGAAGGCTTCCCCCTCGAGGTTCTGGGTGGAAATTTTGCTTGGCTCGTGATCGGAAACCCCAAACTGAAGTAGCTCCCATTGACTCGACATAAAACACCCTGCGTCTCCTCGTTCCCACCAAATCAATGGTTCAAATTGTCATATCCACAGCATGCCATCGGTTGACCTTGACATCGAAAGAGACAACTAGACGGCACAGCGTCTTGTAGAAAAATAGAGCTCCTACCTAAATAATGTTGGCGGCAGTTCGGAATGGAGCCTCTCATTTCGAAAACAAAGACGAACCCCATACAAAGGACGTGTACGACAGGTTTCGTACGCGGTACTGGAGGAAGAGGTCTCCCATTGAGACTGCGATGTTATGACGAACGTTGGTGATATGTAAATTCCGGAATCTTTGGATCACTACAGGGCGGGCAACTCACTCCCTAGCGCGGTGGGTGTAAGTTACGCGTGATCGCAACCCCTAAGCAGTTTACGATGGTCACAAAGAGGAAGAGATGATTAAATTGGTTGAATTGGTCGGAACTTGAATCACAGATTAGTAAATTTTACGTTCTGGCATACCCAGGCTGGTGACGCTTCGGTATTCCGAATCCCATCTACTGCTGTCACAATGCTTTTGCTCTCCATTCTATCCAAAAGGATAAAAAGTTACATGTGGCCGTCGGGTTTCCGGTGGTCTCCCATCCCCCGATGGAGGGCAAAGCGACACGAAAAACCCACGAAGTCTGCTGTCAGCCATTCCCGGCGCGCTGATTGGTAAAATGGGCGACGGCAAAAAGCCGGGTTGCTCGGAGATTGAAACGTCATGGGAATGGGGAACAGAGATCCACTCATGATTGACTGGGGCCGGGGAATGGGCGACGGGGCCGAGGTTGTCCTGGCACAGTAGGGTATCGGTGGTAGTTCAGTCCGCCTGCCTCTCTACGCACATATCATCCTATGTCTGGTGCGGGGTGTCAACGACATCAATGCCGACATCGTGAAGTATCTATCGGTTTAATCTGATACTGTAACTTCAAAAGAGTGACATCAGTCATGCCCACGGTCTTTGACATGACATGACTTTGTGTTCGTCAGGAGTTGCATTGTTTGACCCCGCAGTTATCAGGGCCAGCATGGGGTTTGGAGTTGGGGATAGGGAGAGTATCTGAAACTGTGACGGCGCGAAGTTGCACAGATAACGTGCGACGTCCCTGCGTATATACACTTTACTCTAGTGCCTCTGGAGCTGAGTGACATCACCAAAAATAATAATTGTTCCAAATCTTTTGGTCATATAGTCCCTTGGCTGCTCTCGAAGTAGAAGTTGCCTACTTACAGTTGGCGGCGGTGGCTCACTTTTGGCATCCTCGGATGGTTGTGGTTACATGGTTCCATAACCCATGTCATGTCGGTAGACATCACTGCAAACTTTTTTTTTTTCGCAAATCATTTCATCATCATGGGTCGCAAGATGCCACTGCAAGGCTTCAAGGGTCCTTTCTTGGAAGGCCGGGGTTCCCCTCCCACATATCTTCGGCGTTTTTTCTTTGGCACTGGAACACACTCGGCGACATATCTGATTGGACGTAGTGTGTAGTGGTCAACAGAGGAGGGTGTCATCATTATCATCGAGCAGCCTTTTTGTGGCGGTAGCTTTGTTGTTAAGTACCGTCCGGTGTGGTTTAGCTCTTCCCGCTGCGCCCGCTCTGTCGATGCATGACACCCTGCTTGGCTGCTTGGCTGCTTAATCTCATGTGTCTGGTTATCTGCTTCTGCTCTGGCGTTGTTGTTAGAGGGGCGGTCTGCAGCAAGAGCACAAGACCGTTGGAGCTTGTGACCTGCGAGGCAATATTCGTCTGCATGGCGCTCAGTGAGGAGGGGCAGACCTTCAAACTGGTCACGACAGAGGGGAGGGAACGGACATAATCACAGAAATCAGGAATTCAACATGCGTTCATGATCACCAGATGATCACTCTCCACTCTGGTAAGCCGGCAACCCGGTGTTAGTGGAAGTTGAGATCGCGGGTCAAAAAAGGGCGTTTGGGAAGAAACACCATTTATATCATCTCAACCCAGAGGAGTTCAACGGGAAAGCGAAAAGTTCCCACATTCTCCTGACTTGAATTGAATGGAGACAGTGATGAGCGTCGAGTTAGGTCTCGGTCGATGACGGCGGAGAAGGGGGTACCGGCGTCTTATGCACGTTGGAGCTAAAATAACTGTAACTGGCCGCGCGACCTTGACGCACCCACATGCACATGCAAGAAATGGGGGCCTTGGTCAAGTGAAAGCGCTAGCAGCCACACCGATATGCAATGTACCTTGTTCAAAGCATTGCTACCTGAGGCAGCAATCCGACACAATTATTTATCAAAGTCAGGACGTATGACGACTTGACGACGACATAAACCACCAGTAGAGTCAGTAGAGTAACTGTGGCTTTGAAGTTACGTTTCCCGAACTAGTACAGGACGCGGGATGGGGAAACGGAGTGTCATCAGGCGGTGCGGGACGAGTTGATGTTGAGCACATGAGACGACAAGACGACAAGCACGGCCCCGCATGCGTCTTCTCCAGGGGAAAACAGTCGCATGCTGGCCGGATCGTCGATGCAAGGCATGACGGTAAAAACCGCAATGGCCATGGGGGAGAGAAGCAAAAACCCTCGCGCACTTTTTGGCTGTGAGAATTTGAGCTTTTACATAACCTCAATACACGCTGGCATTGCAGCTCAATCCCAAACGTAATCCGTATGTAGTATCATGTTTAACGAGTCCGACTTGGCCCCCGGAGAGAGTTGCAGTTTTACAGGTGCCCCAAGAAAAAACAACCCAAGGCTTTCCCCCAAGGAATCGCCCGTCTCAAAGTAGGTAGGTACTTATCCCGCAGCGTCTTACTGCGTTGAATTCGCCAACGCAAGGAGTGTGACGCCCAGTTTCGCTAGCACGTCTCAGAGGCATAGACAACCGAAAAGCGCAGGCGAGGGGCTTTGTTGCCTGTGCTGCAGCGCTGCACTGCACCCGTGTGCCTTGCCACGGATTAATCAGCGGGAAGCTTGGATGCTGAGCTCGACGCGGCACTTCGTCATCGCTATAGGGCAGTGCTGGGAACAAACGATGGTGAAAAGTGATATGAACCTATGATGAGCCTCAATCAGCCCCATGATGAGCCCGGGGGACAGCCATTTAAAGGCCGTTGTGGGGGATGCGAATGCGAGCTCCATTTCCGCGAGTCCACATGCCGAACGCGCACCCAATTGCGCGTACCGTTCCTTTTCATCAGTCCAGCCGCTTCACATCGCTCTTCGACGAACTGCCTGCGGGAAGCACGGATCCCGTTGGTGAAACCGGGAGGCTGGAAAAGTGAAGGTTGAGAACGGCCAATCAGGATGGTGCCAAGGTTTTTGCAGGGGGGGTTTTCCGCCTTACCAATTTGCGAGTGCATGGACCACATGCTGTCCCCAGCGCGCGCCAGGACCGGCACCAGTACCTGAGCGGATGCGGGCGCGATGGACTCAAACTTAACTCCAGTTGGCCTGGCGTCGCGGAGCACAATCTCGTCGACTGCGCAGTACTATGGGTTCATCTGGGGTGGTTGCGGGAACGGTAATCTGCGGGCGGCGGACGCCGCGCGAGGCCTCATCACAGTTTTGTTGAACCCTTTTTCTGGCTTGTGGTAGCGTTCTAACATCAGTGTCCGTACCACGAAAGCGGATTGAAAACGCTCCTCCAAAGCATCGGGCATCGGGAAGCCACGCAAAGGTACCTACCTGGTGCGGCCGGACACATCACGCGACGGCTGGGAGCGCGGCGCAGGGACCGCTGTCGCGTGTGGGGCGTTTCCGGTTCCTCCCTGAGGCTGTCACTCGTTGGAGGGTCTCATTTGCGTGGGCGGTTCGCTTGCTGCATTTTTCGCGTAGATGAATGTTACCCCTGGGCAGCTGCCACGGCTCCCAAGAAAGCAAGCAGATTGTTTGCGCTAGGATACCAAATAGCAATGAATACGGGCGCGGCACAAAGCAACAGAAGTTGACGTGGAAGCGAAAAAGAACTTGTTTGCTGACTCAGGCCAGCAGCGGCCGGATCCAGCGAGCCGCTGACCTGCTGTGATCATAAGCGCAGCGAGTCGAAGAAAGGATCCTGACCCCAGACGGTACGTACCGCAGGGCGCTTCGGACAATCGTTGTTTCCCGCGGGCCCATCAGCTTATGCTTGATCTGGTTTAGCGTCCTGGACTGTTGAGCCAATGCCAGCGAGTGGCAGCTCGCGTCCGCAGGTGGCCGCCAGTGCAAGCTGGGGACGGCAGGTCTTGGCAGGCTTGGGCGAGCATGGGCCGCTGACAGTTTTTTTTTCTTAGCAGGCATGCATATGAAAGCCGGCGCCGCCCACAGCGCAGAGTAACACAGGTACCTCACCGTCTCAGCTTTTACCCTCTAACTCCGTCATACCACCCTCACCCTCTGCTTCGTCTCTGCGCTCGTCCTATCCTCTCCGCCTCTTCCTATATAGAATAAGGCAGCTGCCCGCTACAGCATTCCGTCGCCGACAGTTCGAATTTTGCCAACGGCTTGCTGCCAACAGCCAAGGGGGAGCGCAACGTGTGAAGCGCAGTGTTAGGTCTTCCTCTTGTGCTCTGTGGATTTAGGATTGGATAAGGGGATCGCAGATAAGGAGCAAGAAGCACGAGGCTGCACCTCACGAGTCTGCGTGCACTGGCCACTTCCAAGAACTGAAACCATAGAATATCGACTTGGAATCCTTTCCATCTTCAAACGTCCGCAACTCCCGTTCATTCCGCGCTGGGATCTTCCTGCTGCTTTCCTGTGAGAAAAGCGGCAACGAAGTGAAAAGAAGCGGTCGAGAAACCCCGGCGAAAAAACAAGGAAGGAAAAACAAGGTCGACCGTCGCCTGCCCGGCCGCCCGCTTTTCCCGAACAACACTTAAAACACAGGAAAAGTATGCGAGTGCTGCTACAGTAGCCGGCCATTACGAACTGCTTCGACGCCAATCCTACGCTCACTTCGCCTATCCGACGCTCCTACAACTCGCCTCTCTTCCTCTTCGCGCTTCCCATCTCTCTCTGCTCTCGACCGCACGATCGGGAGCATCCCAATTGCTTGTTAAAACCGCCTGTGATGGACGCCATTCAAGAGTTCCCTGCCGTGCTCGGCCCGTCCGTACCGGCCGCGAAGCCCAAGATGCTGCCGCTGCGCTGGCCCGGCGCGCTCGCCGGACTCAAGCTCAGCAATCCAATTCCGCCAAACTACCGCAGCAAGGCCCGCAAGCTGCGTCTCCGCCTCAGTTTGAGCGGCATTGGTAAGCCAAATGCTGGCACCCAGAACCGTCCCGACGACATCACCCGTCTCCAAACTTCCTTCGACCCGCGCGAGTCGATTCGGTTGTTGCGCACAAGGACGTGGACCCTCTGGGACCTTCAGTACATCGTGCTGGCCGGCTACATCACCTTCTCCCTGGCCATCCTGCCCTCTGCCCCGCTCATCAAGATGGGCGCTGTCGTGCTGGGCGCGCTGCTTCTTCTCATGCCCATCACTAGGCAATTCTTTCTGCCATCACTGCCAATATGGACTTATCTTCTCTACTTCTTTGCGAGCCGGTGAGTTTTTTTTTTCCACTTCCGAGTCTTCCGAGGGGCAAGATGCGCAGGATAACGAGTAAAACCACGGCATCGTAAGATGAAGAGACGAAGCTGACGCCCGCAGATTCATCGCTCCCGAATACCGCCCACACATTTGGGTCAAGGTGCTGCCCGCTCTGGAGAATGTCATGTACGGGGCGAACCTCTCTAACATCCTCTCGGCCCATACTCACGCCGTGCTCGACATTCTGGCTTGGATCCCATACGGCGTTGGCCACTTCGCGCTGCCCGCCATTTGCAGCGGTTTCTTGTTCCTCTTCGCCGCCCCGGGCACTACTCCGGTCTTCGCCCGTGCCTTTGGCTACATGTCCATCGCCGGCGTTACCATCCAATTGATTTTCCCCTGCACGCCGCCGTGGTACGAGAAGCTGCACGGCCTGGAGCCTGCCCACTACGGCATGCCTGGCTCGCCAGCGGGGCTGCGCCGCGTTGACGAGCTGTTCGGCGTCGACATGTACACCACCAGCTTCACCACCGCCCCCTTGCCCTTTGGCGCCTTCCCGTCGCTCCATGCCGGCGATGCCATCCTGGAGGCCCTCTTCATGCAGTACTGCTTCCCGCGCTTCAGACCCTTTTTCATTTTCTACTCAGTCTGGATCTGCTGGTCGACCATGTACCTGAACCACCACTATGCCATTGACTTGGTCGGTGGCGGTATCATGGCCGCCATCGCCTACTACATATCGCGCACTCGCTTCCTCCCGCGGCCCCAGCTCGACAAGACGACACGCTGGGAGTACGAGTACGTTGAGTATGGCGATCGCCCGCGCATCTACGACGAGGAATCGGCCGGCGCCTACTACGGCACTAACGCTGATGGCAATGCCTATGGCAGCTACGGTCTTGGCCTGCTGACTCACCGCCGCCCTGGCAGCAGCGACAGCGATGAATGGACTCTTGGCAGCTCCTCCAGCTTCGACTCACTCAGCCGCGGAGATACCCTCTGCGGCAGTTCGAGCAGCACTCCGGGCATCCTGAGTCCTACTACGCCCAATGATGATCACGTTGACGTGTGGAGTAAGGTGCGCATCGGGGCTAAAGACACAGATGCTACGGAAGTCTACGTCGCGCGGTGAGGTCTGTCGCATGGATGAGCATTGTCTTGGGCGTTGCGGTTTTTGGGTCTCCTGGAGAAACATGCAAGACTTATCTACTCCCTCACGGTCATGACTGCCGTCGCCGTACCACATACCGTTGTTACGGCCTAGTTGATCTGATTGAGCTTTAATCCCTAATGGTCTTTCGCCGACTGCTACGAGCTTAGTGGTTTGCGAGAGACTTTATCTTGCTCGTTTCTTGTCTGTTTACTGGTCTTAAATAATATACCCCTTCTCTCGTTTGTTCTATTACTACAAGAACTCCAACATAGACATGGCGCATACGGTCGTTACAGGGATACCCCGAATACCCCCTTTATTATTGAACCCTTTTCAACTTGTTCGGCCTTCGCAATGATGATGATGCAGGACTAATCGGGCTGGAGCTAGTCGGGCAGAGGCGGTTTCGTTCTCCTGCCTTACTCTGCTGCCTACAATTCCTCTCATCTTCATGAGCCACTTTTTAATACCTCTTTTATTTACTTACCTTTCCGGCATAAGATGGCAATGGCTGGTTAGCATCAAGCAATTTTGGTGTGGACACATGGGCTTCTTAAACGGGGCGGCTGGTTTGACTGGTTCAGAAAAATAAAGGGTAAACAAGAAAAGGGTCATGGGCTATGGCATGGCATGGCATGGCATGACAGCAATTGTGTGTTGGCTACTGTCAGGATAGGGTCGGGTCGGTTGGTGTTCGTGGATGGATGTCTAGTCCAGCCGCGTCGGGATTTGCTTGCAATATTTTCTTCGTTCTTCTCTTCTGTCTCTCGCTCTCATTATTTTTCTACCCACGGGGATTGCGGGGACAGATCATACCAGTCATCCTCCCTATTACCTCCGCTAAGTAGTAGGTGTCGATGGCTGGTATCTCATGAGACATGATGTGCTCTAAGTAATGATAATGCATGATGGGTTTGGGTGGGTGGGATGACTTCGCTCATACATGGAAACTGTTGTGTGGGTTGGAAATGGGAGGTGTGTCTCCCAAGCTCTTCGGCCGCCAGCAGATATGGTTGGGGGAAGAGAAGACAGAGATATAGCGGAGGATAATAATTCGAATAAACTAAAGAGGGAAAAGCCACGCCCAGCTTTGATGTGCCATGGGGCTTGGGTGTGGTTTTTAGTGTTTTGGATTCCTCCATACGTTGATGCTTTGAAGTGTGACTGTGTATCCATGTGCAAAAAAAAAAAAAAAATGGAAGCCCAATGGGTTGCATACAGGACATCTTATTAAGAGTCATTGAAGCCGGTACCTCACTGTTTTGATGAGAGAGTTGCCCATTTGTAATGCAGATTCAGATCTTGAGTCAACCCACCACTAATGTAGACATAGGAAGAAATGTACTTCGACCTGAGTCAATGACCTGATAATTTTGACGAGGGTGTGGAGTATGATGAGATTCTGAAACCAAAATGTCCTCTAGATATTTTTGGGAGCACTCCTTCAATGGCAAGAAGCTTGATAACCCAACTTGCTCGTCGCACAAGCCTAAGTTGCTACAGATATCATAACCAGTAAACCCGATAAGATTTGGGTTTTTTATACCACTATGTGCTGTCGGTCCTTTTTTGACTCTCTAGGATGCATACGCATTCCATAATTGCACGTCAATGTGCGCTCATACGTAGGTTTATGAGATCTTCTGCATAAGCTCAGGGGCTGCAAGGAGTTCTCCAAGGGAGTCTCTTTAATCTGGAAACCTAGATCGGGAGCTTGTTCTTCTTCACAATTTGGTATTTATAGTCAATAATGCATAGCATCCTCAGGTTGAATAACTAGCAAACAGGGGCACTCCAAGAGATATCGGCAGAGGATACTGGTGCCCTTTTATATGAAAAGCTATGGAGATGTATGCCTGAGAGGACCGTGGAATCAATCAACATGGGCAGCCACATCTCCCTTGGTCGATGTCATGGCTACCATGGCATCATGCCAAATTGTTCTATTGCTGTTGCAGGAGGTAAGAAAACAGTTCTTCGAGTTGGTGATTTTGGCTTAGAAGAATTTCCTGGAGAACCACACACTGCAGGAATCGGGGTAAGGGCTTTTAAGGGTAATTTAATCCTTCACAGGACATCCTTCTCTGACATTATCCAGATCTTTGTATCATTCGCCATGGTAACGGTCACTACCTGCATCCTCTATTTTGTTCATAGCGGGCTTTATATTTTCATGGAAATGATGAAGTGGGATGAAAATGTGACTAGACAATTGTGTGACTATCTAAGGTTCGTGATATCTTGACAACACTCAGGAAGCTAGCTGACCAAACTTTTTCCATGACAAGGCATGAACCACCAGACGTCTTTGATCGAATCGCAAATTGGATTCTACAATGCAACGATCAATTGCCGCTCACTGGTGCTGCATATGCAATCGTGCCTAAGACTTCTCGAGGTTGCAACATAACCACCTATCATAATGAGATCGTGGTTACCTTCCTTGCTTATCAGTCTCTGCATGCGCTTGATCGCTCTGAACTTCCATGACCGATACCGGCAACCTTTGCCCTTAGACACCGAGTTATGAAAGACGCCATAGTCAGGATCGACGCCGTACATAGGGAAGATATCATGGTCATTATAGACTTTGATGTTATATGTGCAATGATGAACCTCGGGTGGTTTGGATGATGTGGGAGGTTAGGTATATACGAACAGTCAAGGGAGAAGTTGGAGAGTGAGCAACGCCGTGGTTATCTAAAATCATATCATGATGGTACCTAGCCAACATGTCGATAATCCAGCTCATTACCAAAGAATGGGTATGGTTCATCTTAAATTCTCGATTCCAGACCGAGATGAAAGCGCCTATTGAGGTATAGAGAAAGAAAAAAAAGGTCAGACGACATGAACTTGATGACAAAGACAAAGGAACAGAGTAGAACAGTGCATAGCAGAGAGAAGCGTAAGATTGCATAGAGGTATAAGCAGCGAGGAAGAAAAGCCAAAGAGCAAAGTATAACCATCGTCCGGAACAGGCCAAGCCAGACCAGCCGGCCTTAATGGGCTTCGGGATCTGTCCACCCATTGCTTGATCCACCACACAACCGGCAACTTTTGAGAAAGCATCATAAGCCGTTGTCGTCAATATCGCCATTGGTTCAACCCATTCTTCATGAAATAGTATAATTCCCCTGTTCCGTCTCCACTTCCCTGCACAAACAGCTGAAGCCAGTCATCCAGCCAAAGAATTCACATCATTATCACCTTTACCGTCTCCCACCACCACCACCACCACCAGGCCACAAACCTTTACTGGTCTCCACAACCCTATTCACCTCACTTCCTGGCCGCAAACTCGCTGGTACGGCAAAAGCAGGAGGCAGATTGCTTTGGTGCTGCTCCGCTGGGGCTCCCGGTGATGGCGATGGCTGCAGCGTCTGCAAATGCGGCATCGGTGCAGGCGTATCATCCATCGGCACATCCTCCATGTTCTCTTGTTGCTGCACGTGAGACGATGCTACTGTCGTCGGCTGAGAGGAGGTGATGGTGTGCGCAGCGCTACTGTACCCTGAGTCTTTGCCACCATTGTGTTCCTCCCTAGGAGGAGCCAGCCCTTGCTGTTGTTGCTGAGCAGCGGCAGCAGCTGGCCCAGGGGGAGCATCCCGACCTGGCTCCTTACTCCTTGCGCCGTTCATGAACCCTGCCTGACCCTCACGGAGCTTGTTGATGGCACGGACCGTATCGATGGCAGCATGCAGTGTCCGCCGGGCATTGAAGTTCTTCTTAACAGTCGGCAGAAGGTTGGTGCCCTTATCAGAGCCATCGGAGGCATTATTCCGTGCCCATTGGTTCACAAAGGGATGTTGCAACGCCTGGTGGGCAGTGATGCGCTTATTGGGGTCGATAGTCAGACAGCGGCGGATGAAGTCCTTTGCGTGCTCAGATACACCGCGCCAGTATTCGATGGGAGTGAAGGAGTAGTCAGCATTGAGGATCGCTTGCATCTCTTCGTAGTCAGTATCTCGATCGAAAGGAGTGTAACCACAAAGAAGGAAGTATGTGATCACACCAAGAGCCCACATGTCGACGGGCTTGCCATGGCCGGTTTTCTTGAAGATTTCTGGGGCCATATAGCCAGGGGTGCCACATGTTGTGGTCAGCACATGGAACTGTTCCTCGTCCATAATGCGACTCAACCCAAAGTCGGCGATCAGCAGGTCGGCATTGTCCTCGGGGGTGCGGAACAAGAGGTTTTCGGGCTTCAGGTCGCGATGCACAATACCGTGGTCGTGAAGGTAGGCAACGGCAGAGAGGACAGCGCGGATTAGGTCGGCGGCGTCGGATTCATAGTAGGAGCCTTTGCGGCAGATGCGGTCGAACAGTTCACCACCAAGAGCGAGGTCTGTTACAAGGTAGAGGTTGTTCATCGTCTCAAAGTAGTCAACAAGAGTCAGGATATTCTGATGGCCCATCGAGACTTTCTTGAGGACAGCGATCTCGTTGCGGACCTGGATATGTCAGCTTTGCCCGGGGGGTTCTCCCATGGTGATCACAGAAATACCATGTGCTCGCGACCGGCCATCAAGCGCTTGTTAATGACTTTGGCAGCATAGTACCGGCCGGTGTCGATGTGAATGCACTCCTTGACAACAGAGTAAGACCCTGCGCCAAGCACTTTGCCAACCTTGTAGCGGCAGGGCTGGATCACCGGCTGCTGTGGTTGGGCAGCAGGTTGCTGGGTGTTCATGATGAGTTGGTGATGCAGTTTTTGCTAAGAGGGATCACTTAAGGTTGTAGGTTCGAAGTCGATGGTGTTGTCGTTTGAGAGAGATGCCGTCGCTATTTGCCCAAATCCCACAATGTCATCCGTCAGCAGCGATTGTGCACTGGCACGCCCAATAGCTGTTGTTCTAAGTCCGTGTTGTTGTGCTGACAAGGTCAAATACCTCAATAGCAGGTTGGCAGAGTAGCAGGGAATGCCTTAACTGGGGAGTTGGAGAGTCCGGTGATGACACAGCAAGTAGTGAACGGCACAGCGCTAAACAGCGGGGTGGAGCAAGTTAATCAGTTCGGCGCACGTCAGGTACCAATGGCAATCAACGGCTCTTCTGGAAGAAAACCGACAAGCACAACGCGAGCCTTGATAACGCCAGACTTGGCTGGCTCTTTAGCTCTCTGTTAATCGCAACCGGTGAACTTGGAGCGGCTGTGTTTTTTTGTGCTGCGTTGTTGAGGAGGAGAACGCCTGGCTGATCTTTAAAGGGCACTTAGTTTTAAGGTCGAAAGAGGAAAGCAAGAAGAGAACATTAGTCAATGGAACAGAACAAAATCACTCATGATTTCAACGTGATCAGCCGCAGGAACAAAGTCAGTCAAGTGTCTCTAGTGCGACCAGAGGGACAACTTGTGTAGGGGCCTTTGGGGTTGGGACGTGCAGCCTGCTGCTTGATGCATTTGAGGTCCCCTCTTCACGCCACTCGCTCCTCATTTGTCAGCCAATCACACACCGCTACCCCTACCCCTCTATGCCTAGTCGGTAAGGCGGTGAGGGGAGCTCTGATCTATTGAAGTTTGTAGCACGTACAGCACAACAGCACAGCCTCGAAGCTGGCTCTGAAGCGGTGGCATTCTCATGTTCTCAGGACTTTGAGTACCAGAAACATGTCAATAACTTGTCAAGGCCATGGATGATGAGTTTATAAGGTTGAATGATGTTCGCCATGCCTAATATCACAATGGTTCACATGAGATCAAGGTGGTTAACAAACTTCAAACAAAGATTGGCTTTTAAAGTTATCTTTAACAAGTTACGTGGGGTGAATGCTGATATTGGTAGAAAGACCACAAAGAGTCCCTTCACCAGTTTCAGCCAACTCCCCTATCAAGCGCGAAGCTCAAGTCGAATGTAAGAACCAGAATGACCACACGCATCACACCGCAGCATTGCACAGATCCCAAGAGCGCAATAACAAAACACATCATTCAATCAATAATACTGCCAGTTTAGTTCAAGTTCAGTAAGTTCGGTAGGTACTTCTGACTAAACTCATGCGCTGGACGATGTATCGACACGATAATCCATCCTTCCCTGCAAACATCATCCAGGAAGCCCTTATTCACCAGTCCGTCCATCACCAAGTAAATGATCCATCCACACATCTCCTGTTAAAAAACACCCCATTGTTCCTCTCCGCGACCAAACACAATGCCACTGACACTCCAAGATGCTGAACACTTGTTTCCATGGAAGATGAGACTAGTGTAGTTTCAGACAAAAATAAGAGTTAATACCTACGCAGAAGTAGTAGTTGTGTGAGGTAGAAATAAGGTAGTAAGAATGAGATCGAAGAAAACAAGGGATTCTCAACCCAGCAATCCATTCATCCATCAAGCTAGCCCCCCTTGGGTCCAACCATTCATCCATTCATTTCATCCACCCATCCAGCAAGACGAGATAAAAGCACAGGCTAGAGAAGCACATAACTAAAAAGACCCAGAGACAACCAGCCAGCCAGGTAGCCGCCAACTAACCAACCAGTCCCACCCAAACCAGGTATCAAGCAAGCAAATGAATCAAGCAGACATCTAAACTAGCTCCTCTTGGAGGAGGGGTATCACCTCTCCAAGCTCTCCGGACTCATCATCCCCGCTTCAAACACCATATCACCATCATCCATGCCATCTTCGTCGCCAGCAGCCTTCTCCAGCTCCATTTCCATCTCCATCTCTAGATCTTTCTCACCCTGTGTTGTGGTCACGTCCCCGGATTGCTGGGTATCGCTGAGAGAGGTGTTGACGACAATACTTTCACCGTTGACTTCACCTCCTTGAGAAGAAGGGTTAGGAGCAGAAAGTGAAGGCAACGTTAACCCATTCACCTGTTGTCCAGCAGCTGGCTGTGGCAGACTCAAGCTTACAGTCTTGGCAGCGCCCTTCTTATTATCACCCTTGCCTTGTTCCTGCTGCTGAGCCTGTTGTTGTTGTTGTTGCTGTTCCAACTTCTTCTTCTTCTTTGCCAGTGCCATCTGCTCCTTGGGGCTCCTCTTTTGCGGACTAACAATCTTGCCTGTTGCACCCAACCGTGGACGTGCCTTCCTCTGCTTAGGCGGGAGATCCTCGTCCTCAACGAGCGGTTTGTCACCCGACGCGTGCAACTTGGCCAGGAAGAAATTGCGCACAAGTCCAATCTCATTCATAATACTCTCTTTGGTGACAGGCTCCGGAGGAGGCAAAGGCTCAAATAGATCGGCTGCGGCGGAGCCAGCGCCGGCTTGGTTCTGCAGTTGGTACTGAGAACGTACGCGGGATTGCAGCAGGTGCAGCGGGACAGAGAGCATGTCAAGACCAAGTTCTTTGTCCAGGCCCAGTGCACGGAAGCCGAAGAAATCTTCGCCGAGTTCTTCGGCAAAGTCACCGGTAACGAACTGCTCGCTGCCATCATTGAATGCTCCTGAGCCATCGGCACCAGCATCTGGTGCGAGAGCAGGACGTAGCAGGTCTGCCAAGTGGCCCTTCATCCGCTCATGAATCTGCGCCAGCTTGTTGCCCAGCCTCTCGACCTCATCGCGCGCATAGGCCTCCAGACTATCGATATCATGACCGTTCTCATCCAAGGTATGTAGGATGACCTCCTCGGGAGTAAATCGCGGCACAAACCGGGCACCACGCTCGGCGGCCGCCCCGGTGGCCGGCTTCTTCTCGGCCTCGCGGTATACGTTGAAAGTTCGTACGAGTTTTTGAAAATAGTCGCTCGCAATGTCCGTGATGCAGTCGAGGGCAGAGGGCTGGAGCTCTTCGAAGCCAGCGTGGTAGAAGATTTTCGCGACGGAGCGTTGTAAGGCGGAGCGGCAGACCTCGCCGGCCATGACAGGGCCTTCGCCTGAGATATAGTGGGGTTCGATGTCGGCTTCGACAAAGGGCTCGGGGTTGTATTTGGGAAATTGGTTCGTGTAGACCTGATGGTCAGCGGCGTTTTTGGGATCGGTCTATTATAGAACTTACATGTGTCTGGATCTGCATCTGCTTGATCACACCAATCTTGGAACACAGCTTCCGTGTTTCCTGCATCTGGCGGATATTCGCATCAATCCTCCTCGTCAACCGGCTCGAAGGCGCCGTGAAGTGACCGGGCGGTACGAGTTGCAGCATATCCTCAAACTGATTAATAACCTGGCCCTCTCCATCCTCAACCCATTGCAGCTTGGGGTCGATATCCGGGATGATGGTCTGCGGTTCGTAGTACGAGGGTACTGCGCGATCAGCCTCTTCCTCCATGCCCTCAGCAAGTGTTTCGTTGGGCTTAGGCGCAACACCATCCTTTGCGCCAGCGCTGCTCGTGACCGAAGAATCAGAGTACGCAGTCTTGATGAGACCCAGCGCTTCGGCCTCACGCCGCGACTTCAGAAATCGTCGCATGCCAGCCTTCGTGCGCAGCAATGCAGGCTCTTCGACATTGAGCTTATTGTTGGCAAAGAGCTGGTAGCGCTCCTTGGCGATCAGAGCGCGATCCTTTTTGGTGACCTGCTTCCATATTTTGTAGGCCTCGTCCTCGTATGTTTGCTCAGCGGCTTCCTCACCGACCAGCGCCATACCGTTGATCGAGGGCCCGTCGACGTCCATGGCGTCAGCGTTCTGCGAGGATCCGTGGCCGTTGAGACCGGGCGCGGGTGTCGCTGACCCGCCAACAGGAGGTGTACCCAAGCCATTGCTGCCATCGACAGCCTCGGAACCTTCGCGCTGGCCCTTAACTTGCACGCCATTCACCTGAACAACCGGTTTTTGATCGCCGGCAGCGGGTGTGCCTTCTTTTGGAGCTTTGCGCGACTTGTTCGAAGTGCCCTTAGTGCCAGCGACGCGGCCACGCGACGACATGATGGGCTCATCGTCGCTATCGTCACCGGCATCGTCGTCGACGCCACCGTTTTGCTTGCGGCGCTCCTCAGCCTCGACCTCAGCGCGCGAGCGGATTGTGATGTCAGGGATCAGCGGGATCAACTTGTCGGCCTCTTTGCGCATACCATTGGCCATACGGCGCAGCGGGTGGTTCATATCCTGGTTGTACTTGAGGCAGTTGTCCCAAATGAGGTTAAGGTCGTAGACAAACTCGGCCTTGCTCTTGTATTGCAAACTCTTGAGCTTCTTCGTCATGGTGCCCAGGTCCATGGGCTGCTTGATAAAGGTGTAGTAATCGGGCGCCTCGCGCTTGCTGACACGCTGCAGGAAGGGCGTCGAGTACTCGGTATGGGCCTTAAGCTCACTGAGCACCTTCTCGAGAGCCTCGTACAACTCTTCCTGTCCGATGTTCTCCTCGCTGGCCCATTTGCTGCGGTTCTTGCGCACCTCATTCATCAGAGAGCGCAGCTCAGCGTCGGAGGCGCGGACACGCTCACGCTTCTGATCAATGCGGGCGATCAGGTGCTTGAGAGTAAGGCTCGAAGCACCCAGGTTAGCGCTGCTGAGCGAGCCATGGCCGGGCTGGTTCTGCTGGGCATTGCCGCTGCCAGCTTTATCCATTTCGGCCTGCAGCTGTTTTTCGGACTCTTCGAGCTGCTGCTGCTCCAGCATGGCAGTACGGTCATGTTCCAGAGTGTAGAACAGGGTGTGAAAGCTGCGCTTGGCGATCTCTTCAGTGGCGATGCGGGCCTGCTCGAGCTCCTTGCGCGCATCTTCTGTCGATTTTGGCTGCTGCTGTCCTTGACCCAGTTGCTGCTGCGACGTCTCCGGAGGCTTCTCAAGCGCCTGCTTCTCGGGGCTGGGGCTCGAGTGCGCCGGGGACTCGCTAGTCTTGGAAGGGGACAGTAAGACATTATTGCTAAGCTGTGAGGTCTGTTGTGGGGGCTTCTTGTCAACAGGCTTATCATCCTCATCTTCCTCGTCGTCATCGCCATAGTCATCTTCGTCAATGACACGTTTTGCGCGCTTTCGTGGGGGCTCCTGGATCGGGGTGTGGTCGGTGACGGGAGGTAGCAGGGAAGGTGCGGGCGGGGAGGGTGGGCGCTTGAAGGACTCTATGGCCGACAAATTGTACTCGCCGCGCTCGTCAAACAGCAAGTTCAGGCGCTCATCGGCACGGCGAAACAGGTCGGCAAAGAGGGCACGGCGGTGATCTATGTCGTCGCTGTTGATGTCAGTTGCCGAAGATGCCTCAGGCATCAAGGAGAGACTCGTCGTCTGTGAAGCATCGTGTGGGCGCGCGTCGAGGGCGGCGCTGGGCGTCCGGGGCGGCCCGCCGTTCGTAAAAGGGCCTCCTGGCGACGGCCAGGGATGGTTGCCGTTGGCGATGGACATGTTCCCTAAGTGAATCGGGTGATGATGGGCTTAATGGGTGGTGTTTCGCTGGGGCGCCATGCGCTGGGCTTGCGCTCGTCTGGGGCCGGCACCGTAGCAGATCGCGAGGCGATGGTCACATGGGTGAATAGAGAAAACGCTGCAGAGATGGCAGACCGGGTTTTGTGACGATCGGCGATGGGTTGAGTGTGTCGCGATGCTTCGTGCGATGGAAGTTTTGCGGGCGACGAGCGCGTGAGGTCAAGTTTGGGAGCACGTCTCTGCCGTTTCTGGACAAACCCCCTGGGGCTGGGAGTACTTGCGCTCGGGCCAGACGTGGGTAGTAGTCTCGTCTGCGCGCTTCTGCACTACAGAAAAAAATCACATAAAATTGGATAAATCTGGAATCGGCTTGATTGGGTCTCTTGCTTTTTTTGCATTTGCTCTTTTCGATGGTTGTTGCAAGATTTCGCAGCCGCAGCCTATGCGACCTGTGCCTGGTAGTGGAGTCACGTGACTAAGAGCTAGCCGCGGTAGCTGCCCAAGTCCACCGTCAGAGCTGGTCTCGACTCCTGAAAGACGCGTTTTGAGACGATTCACCATCAAAGACACTTCCTATTGATTGATAATATCTACATGTTTTCTGCAATTGCTAAGTTTGTCTGCTATTTTCTCTAGCCTGCCTGGTTGCCGCTTGATGCCTTTTGGTACGTACCTGGGTACCTCGTCTTCTTGCATGCCTGAGCCATCTACATGCCCCACTGCATCCTCGGTAGCCCCACCAACGGTCAGCAGCCCTCCGTAATCAATGGATCGAACAACAGCGCGCCACTTTCAGTTTCAGCGATCTGATGCAGGAGTCGCACTCGAGCCTCAGGACTGACCAGCAGCTGTTCCCTCAGCTTATTTCAATCTCTACCCGGCCGACCGACCGTGGCTGATTGATTGATGCGCAAGTGCGCAAGTTGACTCCTATACTGTGATAGAGGCGAAGACCTTCACGGCGCTGAGATTAAGAACCAGATCGGCAACCCCAGCCGCATGCGACAATGACATCAGCAGCTCCGCGCCGAGCTTCGAAGCTGTGATCTGCCAGTTTGCATGCGCGACGTAGATAGGTACTCACCATCTGTGACGCTCGATTCTCTATACCATCTCAAGACAACCCATCCATATCACAATGAGGATACGTCTCCCCATCCTGGGTATGTCCTCCTCTCCTCTGCCTGGCTGCCCTCGCTCAACCTCCCACAACCCCGACTAACAGCTCTCTGCAACAGGGGCATTTGCCCTCCTCTCTCTGCTCCTCGCCTACCTCGGCCTAGCCCCCCTCTCCCTTTCCTCGCTTCCCGTCTCCGACAAATTTCTCCACTTCATCGCGTTTCTCTTTCTCACACCCCTCTTCTACTTCACTATCGACACAACACGTCGGCGGGCCTTTAATTTGACGCTTACAATTTGCGTCCTGGGTCTCGGTATCGCCTCTGAGGTCGTTCAAGGCTGGATCCCGAACGGCCGGGACTTCGACGTCTTCGATGTCGCCGCAAACCTTGTGGGCGGCGGCGTTGGTTTGGGCGTGAGTATGTGGTACCATAAACGGATGCTGGAACGCAAGAGACGGAGACGATATACGGCGGTGCCGCAAGAGGGCGTTCCACAGGAGGATGTGGATGTTGAGCTTGGCGAGGGTGGACTGAGCAGAACGGAAGATGGACATGAGGAAGGGATTATTACGACTACCGCTACAACTACGCCTGCTCAACAGGGCATCTCTGGAGAGGAGGACCTCGATGGCTGGGATAATGATGTGCAGTCGTGGGATGAAGAGGATGTGTCTGAGGGTCAGGAAGGGACTGCCAGCGCGGCGGTCACCGCTGGGCAGAAAAAGGACGATGTGAAAAAGCATTCTGATTAAGAGCAAGTGCTCGGGACATGTACGATTCAAGGGCGAAAGACGGTTCTGGAATTGGGCTGGTCCGGCGTTGCGACGGTTATGGATTGTAGCTTTCACTCCTTTTCTTAATAAAACGGGATAGGCTAGGTATTGTACTGCACCAGAAGGCTTCAGGTACCGTGATCGAAGCAGCAAGACCCGGATGCAGCTTACAAACTCTATGGAAACCTAGCGCTAACATACAGAATCAAAACTACAGATCAAACGCTTCTGCATGCCAATACACCTCTCTTCCCTTCGCAACCCATTTCCCAATGGATCCCCTCAACTCTCTTTGCATGCCATGTGGCCCACACACCAGCACGGCAACCCTCTCCCTCCTCCCCTGAGTAAACACCTCGTCCACGATCCTTTTCAAGTCCGGCCTCTGACGACGATGCCATCCGACAGCGAGAGACCGGCCGGTCTGAAGGTCATGAACAACATGTGTGAGCTCAACGCCCTCTTGGCTGTCTGCTGGGCCCACTTTCTCTACCCTAACGCTAACCTTAGCCTTGCCCTTGTTCTTGCCCTTGCCCTTCACGATGTTCGCATCTTCACCACTGGAGCTGTCACCAGCACCAGCACCAGTGATGTAAACCTCAACACCCTCCTCTCCCAATACGTTCTCCGCTTCCCCTTCTGCAAGGGCCCAAGTTGCCTCCCCGGCCTGCCTCACAGCCCACACAAGCCTCACCGGCAGCGAGGGAGCCTCACCCTTCAGTGCGCGGTAGACTGGCACGACAAATGTCGCTCCGACACCACCAGCAACGAGCAACACACGATCAACTTTGCCCGAAACGAGGTCGGCAAAACGACGTGGGAATAGACCGTAGGGACCTTCGATGGCGAGAGGAGTTTTCGACAGGGAGTCGGTGTCCTCATCAGGTTTGTTACTCGAGGACGAAGCAGTGCTCTTATGCTTGTATGCAAAGGAAGCCAGGGCTGAAGTCATGGGTCCCTGATGGATTTTTGCAACGAGCGTGACAGTGTTGGTTTTGGAGTCGACGGACGCGAGGGTGAACGGGTTATACAAAAACTCGTACACCAGCTTGCTGACAGGGACCAACAGCCCTTCGCGTGCCGCAGGAGGCAAGCTGAGGTAGACATGTCCGCCTGGCGCAGCCCTAAACTTTTTGATCTTCTCCCTAGGCATGGACGCTTTAACTCGCACAAGCTCTGTCCCCGGAATGGCCTCAACCGTGGCATCAGCGATAACGGTGCCCACTTTCCGGGCAGCAAGATCCAGCACGAACACCACAAGAGCTTCGATGGCAAAAATCTTGGCAGCAATCGAATGCTTGACATGGAAGAGCACCAACACCGGCATGAAAAGTGCCACCAGCACATGCAACACAAAGAAAAGGCGATACGACAGTCTCCTTATCGGCCTGAGCGCGGTGCCAATCATCATTCCCAGCAATCCGATCGCGGCCAAGCCAGCGATTACATCACCATCGCCAAGCCTATTCCAACGGTTGGTTTGCACGAAGAAGTTGAGGTAGAGTGTCGCGTGGGCGGAGAGGAGGATAGTGCTGATTCGGGAAAGAACGCGATGCCATTGATTGAGGTGCTCGTGTGAAGATGGGAGAATATAGGTTAAGGGAGAGATAGAAGATTTGAGGCTCAGAAGATATTGTAGAGGATATTGAGAAAGGGCGATGAGGCCCAGGCGTTTGGTTAGATGGAGGTAATCTGCTGGGGTTAGTATAGGCGTGATGTGAGAAGAGGGAGGGAACGGGAAAACTAGTTACCTTCGCCCGTTCCATGAACAGACAAAAAGAAGAGCCAAGCGCCCCAGATCAGTCCGATGAACCATTCTGTTTTGTTTATCCTGTGTCAACCCCTGACAAATTCACATCTACTTTAAAAAGGGGGACATACGTTCCCTGGTCCCAAGCCCCCATCCCGCAAAGACTACGTCCCCTCCCAACCACCACCTCACCCTCTTCAATCCTCTTTCCATCCCCCAAACAGCACCACCCCAATCCCCCCTACTTCCTCTTTTCCTGCCTCTCCCTACGGCATCTGGCGAGGGTGAGCTAGGAACAGCCTTATAAGCCCCCTTATTTCCAGCCCCGCCACGTGAGACGGCGAGTGTGGCAAGCCGTTTGGCCAGACGACAGGCGAGGAATGTAGAAAGGGGGACCATGGCCGAGAGCTGGGCGTAGAGGGCATAGCGGGTGAGGGTTTCGCGACGGGCATGTTTTTGGGCTTCGGTTAGGTCGAGAAAGTGGTAGCGCCAAAGCATCTTTGATTGTCTCGTTTATTTCTCCTCTGTTCCTTCTTTCTAGTTTAAATGTAATGGTAATCGATGAAACAAAGTGAGGGATCCAATAATCAGTGAGCACATAAGTTGAATGAAGATGAGCCAGTGGCTCTGTGATATGAATTGGGAGAGAAGATGAACGCTCATATCAAAAAAGGCTGGGCTGAAGTCACCCTTAGCTCTGTGCTTTCAAAAGACCCTGGTCAATGAATTGGCTCGAGGCTTGGCGTTGTGGAACTGATAATGAACGACGATTGGTGGTTCTCACAAAGTATCTTAGATCGAAGGTCCAGATCTTTGGGCTAGCACCATTTCCAGGTGACGGCGAATCTTGATGTAACTCAGGAGTCCATACATCGTCTCGAGATTCTAAATAGATGAAACTCGTTGAAAGTTTTTGTTATAATCACGCCAGATCACATTTCATCGGACCCAAAACCCAACTCCACATCCTCAAATCCCTCTCCCTTCACAACTTCGCCTTTGGGCTCTTGGCAATGATACACGCGATTTCGACATCTGCTCCCATCGGCAGCTGATAGACAGCCACACAACTCCAGTATTGTTATTGTCAACCACTCTATCCTTTCAATCTCCTCCTCTTGACATAGAAGGCATACCGGCTTCGGCTCTTTAGGTAAATACTCATCACACACCTTATTCACCGCCGCAAAGTTCATATCCGTTAGAAACACATTCACCTTGATTCAAGCTGCTTCCCCTGGCAATGAGAGTCGCCGACAGACTCCTAAGTGCTTGTCTGCATTCACCGTTAACTCTAGCTTCGCCACTTATCAGTTGTGTTTGCTAGGTAGTAGGTAGACCTAGAGTACGGTCTTGTACTGTCCCCTCAATCATCTTCCTCATGGCCGGGCCGATACCCAGCGAGCCGGAGCAGTTCACAATACCATTGTCCTAAACATCCTGTGGGAGCTGCGGGATGAGTGCGGGAGCCTGTGTGATGAAGACGGCTTTGAGAAGTGTCGGGGCATGATTGTAAGAAGAGTTAAGTAATTCGAGTGTCAACGGCGAGATTTTTTGGGTGTTGAGGTGGATCCGTGTGATCTTTTACGCTTTGGTATCAACAGCGAGGCTACCCCTAGCTCCACAGTCACTACAAGAGGTGCTCCATCCCCCCCGCATGCATATCAGCCTCAGCCTTATGCCACGTAGCCGCGGTTGATTAGTACATGTTGTTAGACATAGTCGAGTGCCTACATAAGCATAAATTTCACAACAGGCCCTCAATGCTTATATGGCGGATCTTATCAGTCCTACCTTTTACTGATTTTGGAAAGCCCGCGCATAAGACTTACAATATTCAAACTGAGGTTGAATAGCGTGCTCCAGCTGTGCTGTTTTATTAAGCTCCCTCTCCTGGAATTCTTCCTGATATCATGCTCGTTATACAAAATAGCAAATCATCAGGCCACCATCAGATCCCCATAGTCTCTTCCAGGACATCTAAGTATTGAAGTCGGAGTTCTCGAAGCCTAAGAAAACCCAGAACTTCTGGAAGCTTTGAGCTTGAGCTTATATAATCATGAACCATCTGAAAAGCGGGTCTGCCAAGGCGCTAAATCTTGGCTCCCGGCGCACAGACTCAGTGGACCCTTACCCCACAAACACCCTGGCTCGAGCTCGAAGCTCCGGCGATTTGAGGCCAGCTTCAGATGATTTTTCATTGTTGGTGACTTTAACTGACCACTTCAGCATCCATCTTGTCAATTACCAGGCTGCAAGAGGCCTCAATTACCGCCATGACGAACACACTCATCGTCACAAGCATTATCCGCGCTAATTGGAGGCAAATTGCAAAGACAAATGCCCCGCTTGCTGCGACGCTAACCCGCTACTCAAATCGACTTACCAATGCCCGCCCTCAGAACCGATGCCTGCTCCCCCAAACTGCACGAAAGTACTCTTCAGCTTCACCAGAGCCTTCTCAAGAACTTCATAGAACAAATTCAAAAACTATCCCAGCACAAAGTTACACACTCTCACCCGAAGCAGCCAACCCTCCACCCACAACTCGCCCCGCGCCCCTCGATATCCCTCCGCCACCACACCCCAAACCCGATCCGTTTACCATCGAGAACCTGAGATACCGCTTCGCCATTGGCCGCGCATACCTCCAATTTTACAAAGCTGGCCTTAAGAACATCTGGCTCAACACCCGCCTCCTCTACTCTTCTTCAGCAACCTCTGACCCAGAGCTCTCCAAGCTCCGTCCCTACCCCTCAACAAGGGCAGACTTGCTCCTCCGCCAGAGATGGCGCCACGATGTCCGGCGCCTGCCTCTTTTCGCCCTCCTACTCCTCATCTTCGAAGAATTTACCCCCCTCATCGTGCTCCTTCTTCCCAAGTCAGTTCCCCTGACCTGCCGCATCCCAAAACAAGTCCAATCCCTCCTGCGCAAGGCCGAATCCTCCCGTCGCGAAGCGCGCGCCTTGCCCTCTGTGCAGAGTTATCTCTCCTCACATAATTCGACTTCTAAATCCTTGCCCGTGGACGCCCTCGCTACTATTCTCTCCGTCCGCTCATCCTGGACCCTTCCCCTCCGTTTCCTGCTCGCCTCCAAGGTCCAGCGCAGACTAAAGTTCCTCTCCCTCGACGATGCGCTGCTGATTCAAGCCGGCGGGCAGGGAGCGCTGGTGGGTGAGGAGGTCGTGCTGGCGTGCGTGGATCGGGGGATTGAGGTTGTCGGGAGAGACGTGGACTCCGAATTGAGGGTTGCGTTGGGGCGGTGGTTGGCACGAGTTGCCGAGGCGGAGAGGAAAGGAGGGCAGGAAAGCGGGGAGAGGGAGCGGGTAAGGATGTTGCTTGAAGGGGTTGGGGGGTTGTAGACAGCAACAGAAAGGGATAGTTGGGAAAGAGTGTGTATGCTTTATTGTTTAGATATTTGATGGGATGGGATCTGGTTTTTTGTGATCCGATTATTTGCTGGTAGGTACGGGCAAGGATGGGATATGGTTCAGGGCATTTGTGTCATACTGAAAGTGACTCGGGAAGGGGACAGCTAATGTGGGAGTGTTCGCTTTTTCTTTGCTGTTCTTTTGTAGTCTTCTCTGACTGATATTCGCTAAACATTTCGACATTTGTGATGGAATGGATGGATGCACACAATGCACAATACCACTACTGTTGTCTTGTGTCGTACTTACGGTTCAATGCACCTCTTTTCCACTTCAAATGTGTAACTTATCTGTCATAGGTATATGGTTTGCATTCTAGGACTTGATACCTGTCATTATACTGGATAGTTGAGTAGTCATACTCTCAAAAACAGCAGCCAGCCAACACCCTGCCAAACATTCACCAATCAATGAAATCATACACAACATCAAAGTCTGCTCATCCTATCATTCAAGAACAATTGCCATATGCTCAAACCTTTTACTTTCCACACGTTCGCTTCTCAACAGAAAGCAGAACGTGAACTAACTGCCTGACTACTACCGTAGTGGTAAGTGAGGTATGAAACAGTGCGATACGATGCTGTCGTCTCCGAGCAACGCGGAGTAGGTACTTCCATATGTCCCTCCATTCCGTAGGAAATTGAAAAGAGCATAAACTAAAAAAAAAAATACTCCATTTCTTAGCAACCATTCATACCATTTTAAAGAGGGGAAAACTGAACGAGCAATGGGAAGGGATATAAAAATCAATGTGGAAGGCTGTAATCGCATCTACTGACCCGTTTATCCATCCAGCATCCCAACTCACTAGGCTCTTAGACCGACTGACCATATTTCGACTCAAGGGTCACACAATCAGTCAGTTGGGCCCCAAGATCCCCAGAACCATGATTTTCATCCTTTTGTTTTTCACTGTTAAAGCTTTTCACCGATGTTCCAAGTCTTCAAATCAGGATAGGACAAGATTTTGTCCCACCCAAAACCCGCCAACTCATAAGTAGGCAACCTTGCACTACGCAACGAGCTAGTTGAGAAATGAACTGCTCCCAACTAGACTTTAAGACGACCCCACGGTCTTCCTAGGCATGGTGATCCTCTATGTATCAAGTGAATAACCGCCTACTGCGCAGCCCTTTTCAGCGTATCTATAATACTCTGCACATGCTGGGCAGTGCTAGCATCCACGGTCGGGACCGCCGGTGCAGGTGCCGCCGCTCCATATCCATACGCAGGGGGGGCCGCTGGGGCCGGAGCAGCAGGTTGTTGCGCAGCCGCAGCAGCCCTCAGGTTGCCTAGCAACGCATTCACATCGATCTGTGGTGCCGCAGCAGGAGCTGCGGGAGCAGTAGGTTGCGCGGCCGGGACACCCGAGTGAGCAGCCGCAGCAGGGTTCTGCGCGGCCTGAGCAGTCTGCAGTGAGGAAAGGAGCGCCTGGAGAGCGTTGTTGTCGAGCTGGCCAACAATATTGGTGAGGTCGGGAGCAGCCGGGGCTGCAGGTTGTGCAGGAGCCACAGGGGCAGCTGCTGGAGCAGCGTAGGGGTAAGCATAAGCAGGCGGCGCAGCAGCCGGGGGCGCATACGCATGTGGAGCGTACGGGGCAGCAGTGGGAGCCTGGGGCTGGGCAAGGTGAGCGGCCGAGTTATTCTTCTCGCGGATGACCAGCTCGGCAGCGACAGGAGGGTCAATGTCTTGGTAGAGCTCGAAGCGCACGGTAGAGCCGCCAGAGCGGATGAAGACCTGAATAGGAATCTTGCCCTTGGACTGGGCAGCGTAGTCAAGGTCGACAATGGCGTGGACGCCCTCAACAACCTGGCGCTGGACGACCGTGTCGCGCGGGAACCGTGGGTTGAGATACATGACATCGGTCTTCAGACCGCGGTTGTGGAAGGCTCCCTGGACCCAATTGACAAACTCGCGCGAGACCTCTTGCAGCAACAGGAACTGCACATCGGGGACATCGGCACCGAAGCGACGAGGGAGATCGAGGCGGTCCGCGTCGGACGGGACACGGCGGTGCGGGCTAGGGCTCCGCCGGCGGTACTCATCACCGTACCGACCGTACCGCGGGGAACGAGAGCGACGGCGCTCACCGTGGCCGCCAAAATCGCGATCCCGGCCGTAGCCGTCCCGACCACGACGGGGCGACGGAGAACGACCTGGCCGGTAATCATCGCGACGCCAACCACGGTCGCCCCCGTTGAATCGATCGTCCTCACGGCCACGTCGACGATTCGGCGACCGGTCGCGATCTTCTTTCTTCTTCTGCGTACGAGACACTTCGAGATCTGCAAGAATTAGTTACCGTAAGAACAGTGAATGCGTCCAGGGAGACCTACGAATCCGGCGACCACCCAACTCGATGCCTTGGGCGCCTAGCATAGCGGCCTGACCCTCGGCAACGGTGTGGTACTGGACGAAGCCATAAGCATTCTTTAGTGAGATCTGTGCAAGACGGCCGAAGCGGTGAAAGACATCAAACACCTCACGCTTGGTGACACGTTCACTGGAGAGATTACCTGCGAGAGTCAGCAAAGTTATGGTTGTCGGGGGCAAATGGGGAACCTACCAATGAAAATGCGGGAGCCCTCGGGAAAGCGCTCCCACTTGGCCTCAGATGTGTAGCGCTTCTCGTCAGCAAGGAACTGCTCCCAAAGCTGCTTGATGGATGCACCATGATGGTAATTGCCGGGGGCAGAAGCATCGCTGGCGGGGGGATAATGGGGGGCGCTAGGCATATGGGAAGGAGGGAGATGAGACGGGGCGCCATAGGCCGCAGAAGGGTGCGGCGGCAAAGAGGCAATGCCATCATTACCTGCGCCAGGGGCGCCTGGGGGCATATAGGTGCCGTGGGGCGCGCCGGCGCTGGCACTATTCATCGGCACAGAGGGGACGGGGCCATTCGTGCCGCGGGGCTGGAATGCGGACGGGGGAATGGCGGGAAGGCTGGCGGGAGGAGGAGGCAAATTGGGCTTAGGGGGCAGCGAGGGATGAGATGGGGCTGGTAGCGTAGATGTAGAGGAGGAAGTAGAAGACGTCGGGGTAGCCTGCAATGTCGCTGCAGTTGTGGGAGCAGTAGTGACGGCAGCCGCAGCACTGGGCTTGTCCTGGGATGGACCGGCGTTGGATGAGGCTGAAGAAGACCCGGCAGCTTTAGCAGTAAGGTCGTTTACCAGCTTCTGAATATCAACAGCGGCATCATCTTCATTGGCTGATTGGGGCGCCGGCGCAGCAGCGGTCGCGGGAGCGGCAACGGGAGCGGGGGGCGCGACCGGGGTTGCATCAGCAGAAGGGTCAGCGAGGGTCTCCTCGGTGGACGGCACAGTGTTGGGAGCCGCGGGGGAGAGAGGTGGGCTGGCCTTCGGGGCAGAAAATGGGTTTTCGGCGCCAGAGGAAGAGGACGTGTCGGGACCGTTGGCTTGCTCATGGGCGGGTGTGGCAGCAGTGGTACTGGCAGTGAACGGCAGGCCTGGCAGGCCCGGCGGCGCAGAGGGCGACTGGAGTGTGGCAGCAGAAGCAGGAACTTGAATTTGGAGGGCAGCAGCTGGAGTCTGGGCCTGGGCCTGGGCCTGGACCTGGCTGGGCTGAGTGCTCTGGATGTTCTGGGTGCTCTGGGCGAATGGGAGGGTCATGGGGACGGAGAAAGCATTCATAGATTCTGCAGCCTCTGGTACACCGGGCTGATTTAGCTGCGCCTCGTCAGCTTCACCCTGATGCTCATGCTCATGCTCATGCTCATGCTCATTCTCGCTAGGCTCGATGGGCGAGTCAAAGGTTTTGGCATAGTCATCGTTGGCATCGGCAGCAGCATCTGGATCGGCCTTATCTTGCGGTTCCTGTCCCACATCGCGCTCGTCGCCATCGCTGTAGTTAATGCTCTCGTTGTCGTCGCGGCCAACGTCTGACACGGCATCGGCATTTGTGACGATGGATTCGGCGATAGCAGGCTGCTCGGGCATCGGGTCCATGGCTAAGGGGAGTGGTAGTGGTACTGGCCGGTGGTGGGAGATGTTCGGGAAGAGAGGGGGAGGGGCTGGCGATGCGACGGTGGCAGCAGCAGCGGCCTCGGCGGTCGCAGCTTGGTCCTGGAGCTTGGAAACTACGGTGTTCTGAATCGACTGGACCGATATGGGCTTGGGAGAGAGCGGGCTGAGGCTGGCGGCGACAATTCTGGGTGATTGTTCCTCTTCGTCTTGCATCCAGGCGCTAGCGATAGCGCTGGTAGAGGGAAAATTGAATGGTGCCGGATACAAGGTGTAGATGCGACTATTGTACTCCAGACGATCGGGCTCAGGCTGCGAAAAAGTTTAGCATTCAGACGATGCTGTGATGGTGCTTCGTCGGGGCTGATGTTGGTAAGGGGAAAAATCGGCGAAATTGTGCAGTTCGACGAAACAATGGGGTTGGTTCGACGAAGCTGCAACTCCAGTGACTCCCTCTTGAATGCTACGAGAGAAAACTGGCAGGCGAGACCCGACGAAAAAAAATGCAATGCTGGCTGGGACAGTGGGAGCCTTGTGAGGCTTGGAGCGCGGACCTGGGGTCTGGAGCCTTGCGTCTCAATTGCAGGTGGGTTGCCTGTGATTCTTCGCCAGAGTTTGCGCTTCGTTTGCTATGTCTGCTGTGCTGTGCCGTGTTGGATAAGGGTTCGGGTTGTCTACGAGTCTGGGACAAGGTTGGCCGCAGGAGCAGGTGGTCGTTAGCAGTGAAAGTGCCAGAAAGAAGATTCAGTGATTGCTCGTTTGCAGGGCGTGGCCTGTGATTGGGGAACTGAGAAGAAAGCCATTCCAACCGCAGACAGTGCTACAAAAGAACAGTGGGAATTGATAAGGCCCACTACAAGGTCAGCTGCCAGCGAGAGACGCGCGAACAGTTCTGGCGGCTGTACCCTATAATGGTGCTTGGGACAATGTTGGTCTGTAAAATTGCTTGGGTGATGCTGGTAAAACTTCAGCGAAAACTATGTAAGTCCTCGTCCAGCATGAAATTTGTCGAATAGAATGAGAGATATTCTCTCGGATGTTGCAGATATTGACTGAGGGTGCTCTCAAGACCCAAGCCTGCGCGAGGTTCCAGAGCTGCTCAAGAAATGGGTTTTGGGGACCGAAAATTGGAGGCCAACTCAATGAAAGAAGTCCCAGGGGCCAGGCGTGCTCTGTCCTGCCTGCCGTGAGTTAGGAGGGTCCGCTTGGAAGCGCGTTGTGACCCACACAGAAGCTACTTTATCTCGCACTGTGTGTGCACAGCCAAGCACAACCTCACAATTAAGCTACCAGAGGATTCCTTTTGATGCATTGAAGGCATCGCATCACAACGGCAACGATCCCATCTGAGACTCATGTGTTGAGGTCCTAAGCTGCACGCAATGGTAATTATGGTCAACCTGCATCGCCAAATCTTACATCAGCCATGGTATCTTGATCAGGGGTTCTCAGCAGTCTGCAACCGGGGCTGTTTTTTACTCAGCGGTACAATCCAAAGGCGCCTGAAGCAGCACAAAGCCTTTGATGCCGACTTTGACAAGAAGCTCTTGGAGGAGGCCAGGAAATGGAAAGAGAAGTTTACAATCAATCAGTTGCCCCAGGGACAGACCACCTATGCGCGGTCTAGCGGCCCTGGTGGGCAGCATGTAAACAAGTTCGTACCATAATTTGTTTCTGAGAGACGAAGAGACCGGAAAGTGTTGGACACAGAGAATGGTTGACACAATCATAGGACTGAAACCAAGGCCATCACCGCATGGCCCCTCCCCCAGCTATTGTCTTATCTGCCCAAGATTATGCATGATGCTGTCCGTCAGTCCAAGTACTACTCCAAGCGAAGTGACGCCCTGGTCTTTCAGGCCCAGACGGAACGTAGCCGCAGCCTGAATGAGGCAGAGAACATGTCGAAGCTCTGGGAGGAAATCCAGGCCATCTACCGTGCAGTTGTCCCCAACGAAACCAGCCCAGATAAATACAAAAAATATGCAGAGCTGTAGGTTGTTTTCCAGGGCCACGAAGGCTTTTTGCTAACAGTAAACAGAGAGAAGAAAGCCAGGGAGTCGCGGCTCCAAAGTAAAAAGGCAAAGAGCGCTAAAAAGGCGGCGAGGAGAGGCTCCGATGACTGAGCAATCAGCGACATAGACAGCATGAACTCTTGAACTGAGGGCAACTCAGGTAATGCTGCTATTTATACGACCCAAACCCAATTAACGGCTGAATCTCAGAGACCATTGAACTTGAGTTGAACTCAAGACTCAGCCTTTTCGGATGTCCATGGCATTGTTCGCTGGCCCCCCCTCGCGGCTTGGCAGGGTCTGCGCCAAGACCGCTCGGCAGGCGGTAAGTGGAGCTTTTCTGAAGATTGCCACACCGCCCGGCAGAAAAATAATTGTGACGGCCTATGCTCTTCAGTTTTGGCCCCTCCATCTGCTTTTCGATGGCTTTTGTTGACCATTGGCCCGACGCCAGTCCTCGAGAGCCGCAACCATGACGGTACAAAAGACAGTGTAAGCACCTATCATCACTCAAATTGATGAAGTTGCATAAAACTAAGACAAATTCTCTAGCGACTCTCGTATTCCCACGCTCATCCGCAATGGCCTCCAAACGAAGAAGCGCAGCTTCTTCGTCGTCGTTGGCGACCACGCCAAGGAAGCCATTGTTCACCTCTATTACATCATGTCCAGCATGGACGTGAGGCAAAACAAATCGGTGCTGTGGGCCTACAAGAAGGAGCTGCTCGGATTCACCAGCCATCGCAAAAAGCGCGAGGCCAAGATCAAGAAAGAAATCAAGCGTGGCATCCGTGAGCCAAACCAGGCTGATCCCTTTGAGCTCTTCATCTCACTCAACGACATCCGCTACTGCTACTACAAAGAGACCGACAAAATCCTGGGTAATACATACGGCATGGTACGTGGGCACTTGTTGATTGACTCGAGTGTATGGGTGTGCTGACGGCCGTAGTGTATCCTCCAAGACTTTGAGGCCATCACGCCCAACATCCTTGCGCGCACAATTGAGACGGTCGAGGGCGGTGGCCTGGTCGTACTACTGCTCAAGGGCATGACCAGCCTGAAGCAGCTCTACACCATGACCATGGATGTTCACGCCCGCTACCGGACTGAGGCCCATGACGACGTCATCGCCCGCTTCAACGAACGGTTCTTGTTGTCGCTCGGCAGCTGCGAGTCGTGTCTCGTCATTGATGACGAGCTCAACGTACTTCCAATTTCTGGAGGCAAGGGCGTCAAGCCGTTGCCGCCGCCAGACGAGGATGAGGAGCTGAGTCCTGCGGCCAAGGAGCTGAAGAAGATCAAGGACGAGCTGGAGGATACACAGCCGATCGGGTCGCTCATCAAGCTGGCCCGCACAGTCGACCAGGCGAAGGCGCTGCTCACCTTCGTCGATGCGATAGCCGAGAAGACGCTGCGCAATACCGTCACCCTGACCGCCGCCCGTGGTCGCGGCAAATCAGCCGCAATGGGTGTCGCCATAGCCGCGGCCGTCGCGTATGGTTACAGCAACATCTTCATCACGTCGCCGTCGCCCGAAAACTTAAAGACACTGTTCGAATTCGTTTTCAAGGGCTTCGATGCCCTCGACTACAAGGACCACGCCGACTACACCATCATTCAGTCCACGAACCCCGAGTTCAACAAGGCGATCGTGCGTGTCAACATCCACAGAAACCACAGGCAAACCATCCAGTACATCCGGCCGCAGGATGCTCATGTGTTGGGTCAGGCTGAGCTGGTTGTTATTGACGAAGCTGCTGCGATCCCACTGCCACTGGTCAAGAAGCTGATGGGGCCGTACCTGGTGTTTATGGCGTCTACCATCAGCGGCTACGAGGGCACCGGCCGCTCATTGTCACTGAAGCTCATCAAGCAATTGCGCGAGCAATCGAGAGCTGGCGCAAACCCGAATGGTGGCAACGCTGTCGAGGTCGACCGATCCACGCTCAAGGCGACCAAAGAGACAACCTCGGTGGGCGGTCGCTCGCTCAAGGAGATCACTCTTTCCGAACCAATCCGTTACGCACAGGGTGACAACGTTGAGAAGTGGCTCAACACTCTCCTTTGCCTGGACGCGACGTTGCCGCGGTCGAAGATCAGCACAACCGGCTGCCCGGACCCGTCGCAGTGCGAGCTGCTGCACGTCAACCGCGACACTCTCTTCTCCTTCCACCCAGTTTCTGAGAAGTTCCTGCAACAAATGGTCGCTCTGTACGTGGCCAGCCACTACAAGAACTCGCCCAACGACCTGCAGCTCATGAGCGACGCCCCCGCGCACGAGCTCTTCGTCCTTACCGGACCCATCCAGGAAGGCCGTCTGCCCGAACCCCTATGTGTTATTCAAGTGTCTCTAGAAGGCAAAATTAGCAAGCAGAGTATCCTCAAGAGCCTGAGCCGCGGTCAACAGCCTGCTGGTGATCTCATTCCTTGGCTCGTCAGCCAGCAGTTCCAGGACGATGAGTTTGCCTCGCTGTCTGGCGCCCGCATCGTGCGCATCGCTACCAACCCAGACTACATGTCCATGGGCTACGGCTCCAAGGCCCTGCAGCTGCTGGTCGACTACTATGAGGGCAAGTTTGCCGACTTGTCAGAGGATGCGGCTGCTGAGGTGCCGCGGTCTATTCCACGGGTCACAGACGCTGAGCTGAGCAAGGGCAGTCTGTTCGACGACATCAAGGTGCGCGACATGCACGAGCTGCCTCCGTTGTTTTCCAAGCTCTCGGAGCGTCGCCCAGAGAAGCTTGATTACGTCGGTGTCAGCTATGGCTTAACCCAGCAGCTGCACAAATTCTGGAAGCGTGCGCAGTTTGTGCCAGTTTACCTGGTAGGTCTTTTCGTATCCCAAAGCGTGGAGCATGACTGACAAATTTCCAGCGCCAAACCGCCAACGACCTTACCGGTGAGCACACCTGCGTAATGATCCGGCCACTCCAAGACGGCAATGACCCCAGCTGGCTTGGCGCCTTTGCAGCTGACTTCCACAAACGCTTCCTCTCGCTGCTATCCTACAAGTTCCGCGAGTTCCCCTCCATCCTGGCACTCACCATCGAGGAGTCTGCCAACGCAGGCGCCATGCTCGACCCCTCTAACGCCCCTACTGAGCTCACCAAGGCCGAGCTCGACCAGCTTTTTACCCCCTTCGACCACAAGCGTCTCGAGTCTTATGCCAACGGCTTGCTAGACTATCACGTTGTGCTCGACCTCATGCCGACCATCGCCCAACTGTACTTCACGGGTCGCCTGCGCGAGGCAGTCAAGCTCTCCGGCCTACAACAAGCCATCCTGTTGGCTCTGGGCCTGCAGCGCAAGGACATCGACACCCTCGCGACGGAGCTGAACCTGCCTGGGTCGCAGGTCCTGGCCATCTTCATGAAGATCATGCGCAAAGTGACACAACACTTTGGCGCGCTTGTGTCTGGCGCGATTGCCGCCGAGCTGCCTGACCCGAACAAGACGGTCGGCGTGAGCAAGGAGAACGCCATGGGTATTCATGATGATGAGGTCGTGGGCTTGAAGTTCGAAGCCCTGGAGCAGCGGCTGGAGGATGAGCTTGATGAGGGTGGCGATGAGGCGCTCAGGGAGCTGAGGAAGAAGCAGAGGGAGTTGATTGATTCTCTTCCGTTAGATCAGTACGTTTATCTCTTTACCTATCACCCAGCTTGACTGATATTAACGCCTACCGTACAGGTACGAAATTGATGGCGACGACGATGCCTGGAAAGAGGCCGAAAAGCGCGTCGCCAGCGCCGCGAAGTCGGGCAAGAAGGTGGACGGCACCCTCGTGAGCGTTCCATCGGCCAAGGCGGCCAAGCGCAAGGCCGAGGAGATGGCTGCGCTGCGAGATGAGCTAGAGAAAATGGAGAAGGGTAAGGAGAGGGGATCGAAGAAGGCCAAGAAGGAGAAGAGGAGGTGAGTATACGGCCTGAGTAACGGGGTTTCGTGGTGTTGTTTGATAAAAGGACGGGCCAGGTAATAAGCATTGAAAGGTTGGGATCCATTGTTCTTGTTTGATTTTAAGTTTGCATGCAAGAGTTTGCTTTCACTTTACTTATCTAGCAAGAGGTTAGACAAGTGTCAAGAAGGTGTTGGGAGTAAAAAAAGAAAATGAGATACCCTGACCTTCCCTTCATTTTCGCTAGTTAAGAGCCCATGATTCATAGCTATGGGCGTACATGAGGTGCTAGTATATTACCGAAGGACGTCAAAACTTCAGGGATATTTATCCATTGTCTTTGACTAAGGATCAACAAACCAAAATTCAGCACACATATACCATGTCTATCCAAATTGTCCGACCATTATCATTACCCATTAGACTATAACCTCTCTGACCTGTCAGACAGACAAGGCAGGGTAACTACCATAAGCTAAACCTACATGATTCCTTTCTTGCACACTCATCCCTAGCTGCACCAGCTGACTGCCTGAGGTTCCCAACTGCCTGGTTGGAAGCACTTAGTTTGTGTACATGTCTCGAACAAGTTGCTTCAGTCAAACAGTCAAACCAAAGTCAGCAGCAGCTCCCATGCAGCAAGATGTTATGTCTCCTCCACTGATACACACATAGATTCCTTCCCTCCTTCCGTAGTCCAAACGCGTCGCTTGCTCGCTGTTGTGTATGCCAATGTATGCATGGATGTAAATGCGTGCCAAACCAACCCAACTAGCTGGCCCAGCGGGGTATCGCAATGCAGACCGACAGACTGACTGATACTGACACAGTAAACTGTTGAAGTTAACCAAGAAAAGTTCAACCCATACCTCCCGCCGTCTAATACGTTGTAAGTAGGTAGGTAGGTTTAGTTTAAAATCCCAAACCCAAAAATGACAAAAAAGGAAAAGAAAAATAAGCCGAAAAAAAACACACTCGAGAAAGGTCGAGCCAATGTCCATAATGTTACATGCCGGGCCATTCTTCAATGGCCAGGCGACGTCCTGATGATAACTCGGCCATCAAGACTGTCGCTAACTGCCCACCATAACCCCAATCTCCAGGAGTAACCTCACAAACTCCACATGCAGCTTAAAAAAGAAGTCCGGCAGGCCCACAAGCTCAGCCAAACCCCTCTGCTTCAGTGCGATGCCCCCAGCTCCACCGAAGCCGCCACCCATGCGTCTTGACAGCCCGCCCCCGGAAGCGAGCAAGAAGCTACTGCTCCCAGTGACGCCGGCGGGAGCTACAGGCGGGGGATTCGGCAGCGGCGCAGGCTCTGACGTGAAGCTCCCATAGCCAGGACCAGGCATGATTGGACTACTAGCCGTAGACCCAGAGGCTGTTGAGGAATCGCCTGATGCGGCAGCGGCAGCGCGCTCGGCCTCGGCCTCAGCAAGCTCTTGAATCCAGGCGGCCATGTCGCGGAAAGCAGCCGACAGGAACGGAAAGGTCTTGACGGCGAGGGGCTCAGGATGCGTGCTTAGAGCCATGAAGGCATAGACTCGCTTATGACCTCGGGCGTGAACATCGGGCACTCGGAATATGTAGGCGGTAGTATAGCCGGTTCTTTGGTCGCCGAAGAAGATAGAGCCGCCCGAGGCGGCTGCGCCTATGCTGTGAGTCGTGACGTAGGCCGAGTTGTTGGGCGAACCGCCTGGTGTGGGCATAGCAGGGCCAGCGGATGGAGTTACTGTTGCTGGGGCGCGGGGCAGAGTCTCGAGGGACAATGTGCGAAGACATGAGGCGCGGACCATAGAAAAGGATGATGGGGTTATGGGCTCGTGGGTCGAGGTATAATCGATATAGTGAGTGTGGACATTGGTCGATGTGCTCGAGGTGCTTGATCGTGATGCCACCGAGGAGGTCGTTCCGTGGCGTCGTGGAGACTCGCGGGGGGGCTGGGAAGTAGACTCGTCTTCGGATGGTACAGACGAAGACGACTGCGAAGTAGAAGGCGAGGAGGTACTAGTTGTACCAACGGCGGTAAACACGCGAGCGCATGGCGCACGGGTTCGTAGTGTCGGCCCGCGATCGGGGCGCACCACGGCTCCGACGTCTTTGCCTGCTTCTTGTTGCTTGGGCAACGTTAACGCGCAGCCCTCGCAGGGCCCAGCGCGTCTTGTAACGTATTCATCATAGGTCTTTCGGAAGCCCGACTCTTGACGCGAATCTTGCTGTTGTTGCGAATTGGGTGGAGAACTCTGGGGAGGTGTCTCGATCGCCGAAGAGGAGGTCGAGGCAGCAGCCGGCGCTGCCTGGCGAATGGAAGCGCGGCGCGCGCGAGCTTCCTGGTCGGAGACGGGAGTAGAGGAGCTTCGCTGCTGGCCAGCAAAGCTCATGCGACGAAGCGCTTCTGTAATATTAGGAAGATTTGTTGAGTCGGCGTGGTGTCTGGAGGGAGAACTCGAACGAGGTCGGTCGGAATCAGCGGTGGGCGAAGTACCGAGGAACCCCTCGTCGTTGCATATGCTGCAGGGAACCGGCAGCCCTTCTGTAACCATCAAGGGCGTGGGCCCGTGAAGCTCACAGTAGTGGGCCAGACAGAGCTGGAGACGAGCAATTAGCATGATAGTCGCATTTCACAATCGGAAGTCGACATTTGGACGGATATAGGGCTGGGGAGGGGGGAAAGGTTGGGGGGGGGGATCTGACTGAGTCGGGGATATATTGGGGGGAGAAGGGGGAGGGGGTTGGCTAGGCAAACGGGAACGGGAACGGGCAAAAGAGGCATCAGATGGCACGGAGCCGACAGTCATCAACCATCAGCCAGCGCCCAGAATCTAGCAGTTAGCAGGCTGGAACGCAGCACACCAGCAGCGACGGGCAACCATTGGGGAGCCGGCATCATGGCGTGCGTTGGGACGGGAGCGACGGGAGCGACGGGAGCGCGGGGAAAAGGATGCTGCGCATTCCGGGCAAAGGTATCTTGCCGCACGTGGAAGCAATCGACCTAGGGAAGATCACAGGGCTGGCCCTCGCCGATGCTGGCTGGCGTTGGCTGACGCTCGCTACATGCGGTCTGCCTCTGCCAGGCTGAGCAAGGTGCCGTGTGGCTGCTACTGCTGCGCTGCTGCACAGACAGGCCCGGACCACTGCCGGCGAGGCGGTGAGCAGGATGGGTTACACAGGGAGCAGAAGCTTGTAATGCAACATGCACAACCGGCTGAATCGGGGTCCGAAAGGGGCGTTTTGGGTGTTGTGGGGCGTTCGCGAAGTGTTCGGGTCGGTCGGGTTGAGTGTAGGGTATACTGTGTAGGGCGTAGGGTGTAGGGTGCAGTGTGTATACTTACGATCGACGTCATGATGGATTGAGGTCGGGATGTCGAGTGTCGCGCGTCTATTTTCTGCTTCTGCTTCTGATTCTCTGCTTCGGCTTAATGCTTCTGCCTATCCATTCGGTCATGGCGCACGCCGTCACGGAGCAGCCCAATTAGCGATGAGATGCAGCACACGGCGATTGGCGATGGACGCCGCGGCGATGCTGTGCTGCACGGGAGAAACGAAGAAATTGCGTGGATATTGCCGGGCTGCGTTTGACTGCAGTGAGGTCGAGTCTGCGCAAGAGCAAACGGGAAACGGGCAATCGGAAGTCTTGCAGTGGTGTTGTGCATGCGCGGGCTGCGTCGAGGGGTGATTAGAGCGAGGGATCTGAGATGTCTCAGATGAGGAGTTCCAAGAGATCGCCGTCGTGTGATGTTGGGTGGCCCGCTCGCTGCGCAGGACGACTGGGTGTGCCGGAGATGCGAGCGCGAAACGGGACAGAAAAAAAAAAGGGCGAGGATGACGATAGGTTGAAGTTGAAAAGATAAGAGTGTGGAGGGGCACAGAGGGGAAAGGATGAGGACGTCAAAAGAACAGTTGAACTCCTACTCTCAGAAGCAGAAGGCTCGGGATTCGGTTGAGGTGATCACCCTCGGAACGAAATATCGCGAGGCATGGTAGCGCCGTCCACTTTGTGTGCTTTGCTTGAGCGAGGGGTCGAGGGGTCGAGCGGTTGAGGGGAGTGGTGGGTGGGCTGTCTAGACTCTGTGCCGAGAGGGGAACGTCTGATGCAAGCCCCGCGCTTTGCGCTGGAGGGGTAGGTATATTCCGTAATCGAGCGCGAGGGTTATGATGCGAGGGTTGGCTGAGGGATCAATAGATTTCTAAGGGTATCGTAACGTAAGAGGGGTCGTACGGCCCGGTATTGAGGACAGAAGGGGGGGGGGGTCACAGAGCGCTCCTGCGCTCGCAGCTGCACAGCAATGCAGGGCTGAAGGCCGGTGGCATCCCCTTTAAGAAGTCTTCCAGAAGCATGCTAATGGGTTCCATCACGACCCGCTAGCGTGCCCACGGTCTAGCGCACTCTGCGGGCGCTGCGGCCCTTGCGCCTTTCCTGATTGGGCGCCATGAGCCCATGGATCCGGCCGTTGCGCTAGGTCCCTGGCTTCCGGCCGGTCGGTCATCCATGATGCCATGGATCGTGCACCGCCGGCCTTGCAGTGGGATGGGCTGTCTGCATTCTGCGCTCATGCATGAGATGAGATAGAGTGGGCTGAGTGCTTACGATGCCTCGTTTGACAGCTCGTTCCCAGATAACCTCACGCCGGCAGAAACAAACGCTTCTAGACCATCGAGATCTCGTACTGGGTGGGAGCACATTGGTCGATTCTTCCTGCTCTCTCTGTTGCGCCGTTTTGCTTCGTACCCTGCTAGCTGGTCTGGGACGGAAGAGCTGGAAAGGACTGGCCACGACCCCCTTCCATTTGGGAGCAAAGGCTGATGGAATCAACCCATCGCATCGATCCCACGTCAACGGTGGCCGATGGCCCCTGCCGTGTCCCAGCCTCCAGGCCAGTCTCCAATCCCCAAATATGGTTCATTCTGGTGCTCGGTGCCTACCATCTGTCACCTGTCGGGCCGTCACGTTGTCATGGCGCCCGAGCGCGCCTACCCAGAATGCACCCGTCCACTGTCGCTCCTGCTCGTTTGGATCGCTGTCTTCCTCGTCGATCAGGACTACCGCTCCTGCAGACAATCCAATTTTGTGCCTGAGGCATATAGGTATTTCCACTTGACTCTTTCGGCCGCAGCCGGCCTCGGCCTAAGATCACTTCCGTCTTTTCCTGAATCATCCCACAGGTCTCCGCGGCCCAGCCTTTCCGTCCACGTATGTACGTCGTTGCGCTATTACGTGGCGGGCTCATTTAACCTCAGGAAAATCGTACATCCGCAGCGGATGGAAGCCAGGCTGCTTTGTCAGCAGCTTGGCAATGCGACCGAAACAACGTCGCTATTGAATCGCATCGCATGCAGACAACACATCACAACAACCCACACCGCTGGTCGAAAGCGAGCAAAGGCTCCCAGAGACAGACCTTGCCGTTGACCTCGCACTCGCCAGCAGGACCTGGCTTGACCTCACGCCTGTTCTGGCAATTCCACCGGGGCCGTGCCTCAACAGACCCTGAGAGCCGGGATTTCACGTGGGACGGGCCCCACCTGGACCCAAATCCTGGGCCCAGAGCGGCGTTGTCTTGGCCCCCAGCGGCCAGCGTTCTGCGAGCCAGCTGCGAACGCGCAGGTTGTTCCCGTCCCGCTGGCACCTCTTGTTGTCCAGTCTCCAGCCGGGAGCCACACCACCACACCCTTCTCTCTGACCGACTACTGCCAGACAAACCTCATCCGGCCAGCTCGCCCGCTCACCGCGCTTACCGAGTTTGGCCTACCTCTTGACCGGCTCCGTCTCTCGGGGTACTCCTCCGATGGCTCCTCCGACAATTTTCTCGAGTCTCGAACTCCTTCTCTTGAGAATGATCACCCGGTTGCGGATCATAGCTTGCCTCACAATTTTTCTTTTTTGACAAAAAAGCTTCACCCCAACGGGCATGACCCACCCCGGCCCATCCAAAACCCATGTCGACGCGAGACGTTTTCAACCCTAGTCTTGTCCACTTTCACCCTCTAAAAAAGCCCCAGACCAAACCAAATCGACCAGGGAGGTTTTTCGTCCGTTGTCCGTGTCTGTCCAAAATCAGAATTGCCTCGAACCGGGTTGCCCGACATTGCCCGCCTTCCGTCCGTCGCGTCCTCGTACCGAGGTTCAGAGCGTCATGAGCTTCCCGGCAAGAGAGACGGCACGGCAAGTTCGGTGTTTGAGTAAGCTGCCAGGACGATAATCTCATTTTCACAAGCCGCTCTCTAGAGTTGCGCCGTCCTCACTTTTCACTCTTTCTCTGAAACATTTTCTACTCTACCGCCAACACCGCACGACCCCTAAATTCCCCCCCCCCCCCAAAGCGCGTAGCGCCGCCAACCCCAACGGCGCCCCTCGTGCGTAAGCGAAACCTACCATTGGGAAACATCCAAGTTTAGCCGCAGACGGCCCGATACCCTAACTACTTTTCTTCGCACTGCCGGCCTCGACGACACCTTTTGCGGAGCACTCTGCTTCACCTTTTCCCGTTGTCTCTCCCATCGCCCGGAGGAGCGTAGCATGGCACCGTCTCATCACCTCCCAGCGTACTTCGTATACCCTTTAGGCATCTCGAAAAAGCCTGCCTACTTGCCCCAAGCCCCTTGTTTGTTACTTGACTTGGCTTTGGAAGGCTTTGCTCCTAGGTAAGGTTGCACACAAACAATGGCCTGGGAAAGGCAAGTAAAGAGGCAGCCCATGACAAACTCCAGTTTTGCTGGACTGGATCCTTCGGGTAGATGACCAACCGAGAAAGGTAGGTGACAATTGACCGATGCTCACCGCAGAAAAAGCTTTTTACATGCTACGTCAGAGTGAAAAAAAAAAAAAAAGAAAAAAGCCGGGGTGTGGTACAACAGCTGAGACGAAAAAGGGATGGTGACTTCATGCCCTGCAAGCTTGCCCTGAGGCCACGTGCTCTAAAAGTGCTTTTTTTAAACCCGGCCCAGCCTAGCTATTGGGGGAGTTTGCGGTAAGTGGGTGTTATCTTTAACCTTCTTACGGCTATTTCCGTCACTTAAAGTTGGATTGGGTCTCTCCACGATTTGCACTACGACATGTGCATTTTGTGGAGGAGATGCTGTGACAACCTGCAAACTACTACTTAGGTTGTGTGTGCTGTCTAATAATGAGCTGCGTCTGTAGCAAACATTGAGAGCTGGTTGATCACCAGATCTCTGGGAGGTCAACCTTGGTTTGATTGCTGTCGATCTCATCTATAACCAGCTCTTAGACATTGCCGATCTATCAGTTATTTGACTTTTGCTTGACAGTGGGTCCATTTCCATCCATATTCCCTTGATCCGTTAAGTATGCATCATGGTTTGAATCATGCTTCGAATCTAGGAACACACAAATGAGCCAAGGCACGGCTACCAGTCGATACGAACATGCATGCACGTCACTGTGCGACAGATCGCGGACGGTTGCTGCTGGTATCCGTCCCAGCTGAAACTTAAAAAGCTCACTAGAAACGGCAAAAGTTACATGGAAGTTAATAGGCATCAAGCCCCGACCTGGCTGGCGTCAAGTGTCTTGCTCAAGCCGGGAACTTTCATTGAGCTATATACTATATACTCAGGAGATGTAGGAACCCGCACCCGCTTACCACTCTACTATTACCTACACATACCGTTGCATCCCTCCTATAGCCATGTACCGACACCCCAAATCTCGGCGCTCAACATCCGCAGCCGCATTCCTACGTACGCTATCTCTCCAAAGGGAATAGCACCATCCGGAGCCGGCGCCGAGATCCCGCTGCCGAACCGGCCTGTCATTGCCGGGACTCCGATGGCACCTCCCGGTAGTACTGGAGAGGCTCAAGAAGTGGACAGCTATTTCGTAGTGTTGTAGTGTTGTATTGTTGTGTCCGGCAGAACAAAGCGGCGTGGGGGTCGTACCACGGGCAAACATCTAGTGCTTTGCTTTTGTTTAAGAAGGTGGGACACAACCTACAGGCTCGTATGCACATCAGTCAGGCTGCAGAGTATGAATGCAGCGAGTGGTTGGTCAGATTGCTTATGACAGTGACCCCCACGTCGGCGCTATGTATGTAATACATAAAGTGTGGGAAGAGGTTGCTTTTGTGATAGACTAGGCTTGCTAGCAAGACGGAGCGAACGGTCACTGCGAAATGCCAAACGGTCGTTACCAGAGATGAGGCGAAGTTAGTGCCCGACTTGGGTGGTATGAGGGGGGGGGGATGAGACATCACTACTGTAGGACGTCATATGTAAGTATGAAAAAGGCCGGAGTTTACTGTGCAGGTCAATAACATACTTCGTGGGAGTTCTTCGACACGAAGGGAGTAATCCTACACTGGTATGAGGGCTATTGAATCGATGGATGCCGGTTCACTTCTCCACCGTTAGGTTTTAGCTTGCCAGAAGAAGGGAAGAGCAGGGAAGACGGGAATATAGTGTCCATAGTGTTCAGGGGGCACTGACATAGCACAACCCAAGATTCTGAAAGATGGCACAGACCGTAGAGCAAGTAAGTCGTACGGAATGAATGACAGGCAGATAGAGGAGCTCGAGTATTGTTACCCCACACAATGCCCCCAGAAATTCACCTCAGCCCATTCCAGCTTAGTGATAGCGGCCTTCCTCATTTAGTCAGTGTGTACTTGTCAACTCTAGGAGGTATCGAAGTCTGGTTTTGCAGGTTAGATGCTCAAGATTGCTTGGATAGATGCTCCAAAGTGTACGTTTCGTGGCTTACGAGTTGAAGGAGCAAGAAGTAAGGGCCAGGCACTTAGAACTCAACTTAAATATGCTAGGTTGGGATTTTTGTGGAGTAACCACCACTAGGGATTGAATATTTTAATAGGTTGTCTTGCTTGGAGAGATCGAGGTCATAGATAGTCCGCAACGGATAGTTCTAGGATCCGACCAGCGGGGGACGATTCATCGGTTATCTCCAGGGAACAGTGTCTATCGGGACCCTTTGTGTTCAACAGTTAAACATCACTGCAGTGTCTTCCGTCGGCTAGCTCCGCCATCTAGCCGCTGAGACTTGATGACAATATCTCCCCTTCTTGATAAATGGAAGTGTTAGAGATTACACACTTGTGTCGACTCAGAACAAGTAGGGACGAAACGCCTGACGCATCATGATTTTCTGCAGTGGACAACCCACCCAACGATATGGTAGAAGACCATATAAAGGAGTCCACTCCCAGCCGGACGATGATCTACCAGTGCTCTCTGCTCCAGGTAGTTGCTGAAGTCCAGAAGAGCCTCAGTACGGCCTAATCTCTGCCATCCCATCCTTGCAGCAAAGAAACTCAACAGCACGGATAGTCCTTTCCTTTCCTACGCTTCTTCCAAACTATCCATATTACTTTCAGCACCATGCCTTCCAGCAGCAACCGGCCGCTTATACCTCATTGGTGGAGTGGTTGAGGGGACTGCCTAACTGAAAGGATGGTAAGTAAAATCCGGATCTCAATGGTGTAGAGTTCGAGTCTCCGCAGTAGGCGGCTCCCTACGCGCCCAGGGGCTTCTGGCCTACAGCATCCGGGCTGAGTAAAGGCGGCAGTTACTGTTTTGTCTCTCTTTTTTTTTTTCCCTCTGAACATTTGGAGAAAAGACGTGGTTTTCTCTTTGGAACTCAGTAGTTTATGAGATGTGTAGTTGAATTCCTAGTGAGCTTTTGCCAGAGTTTATGAAGTACTGGTCGGGTACGGTCATTGATCACCACAGGCAGGTCAGGCAAGCACCAGACAACATCCTCTCGGTGCTCATTAAACCGATTGTAGCTTGTTCCATAAGAACTGAAACAAGGTCATCAGGATCTAGCATCTCTGGGAAACTTATTCTGGAACTTATAAGGAAGGGAAATTTGCTATGTCTTATATTATCCCGAGCCAGAGTTGCCGAGAGGATGCCCATCTCGAGGATCAGGACAAAAGAGAGCTGTCTCAATCCAAGTTAGAACAAAACCCGGAAGAGACATGTCCTGTTCGACAGTGAGGTCCGAGTGAACAGATGTGAGACAATCAGCATACAATATTAGAACTTCCACATGTTGGCTGCCTAGATAGTCCGGTTGTTGTTTTCAAGAGAAATGAGCCCAAAAGCTTTGCTTCATTGCTACGGCTCTCCGAAGTGATGTCACTATAATCACAGACATGACAAAAAATATGTTTTCATGGGAGAAAGCTCAATGCTCTCCTATATTTATGTCCGACTCTGACTGACCGTTCAGTGAATCTATACATGAAGCAGCACACTTGCCACCCGCCTAACCCATCAGCCTGCCATGCTATGTATCATCACCGCCCTCAACCGACGCACCAAGAGAACAGAACATGGCAAAAACAAAACTGTCCTATCAACATCGAAGAAGCAAACGACCCATGACAGGTAGTATGCTAATTCGCCTAACCCAGTCCTGTCTGATAGCTAGTAGCAAAACTCAGAACTTGAAACGATGTCCACACTGCCACCCACCCATCCCAAGGTAATCATAGTAAGAAGTGCATGTAATACAATACCTAGATACCGCCAGGCGCCATGCTATGTATGTGTCAAACCATGAAAGTGAAGCAAGCAACCAGCTTTGAACCTGCCCAAAGCCCAAGCATACTGGTATCTCACCTTCCCCATGGTAAGATCGGAAACAGTACTCCCAGTAAATGCCAGACAGCCTCCTCCAGTAGACAATAAAGGACGGACCAGACTAACTCCTGTCAACAACGAGCCTCTTCGCAGCCGGCTCGCCATCTCTGGCCCCCTCTCCCTCCATCTGCTCCTCGTCACCACAACCCCCACATCCTCCTGAACCTCCAGCGTTACCCTTTCCATCCCCTGTACTTTCATCTTGCCCATCAATTTCCTCCTCCTCAGGCGGACCATACTTCTCCACCCAAAACTTCCTCAACACGCGATAAATAAACTCATACTGCGCCTCAGCCTGTACCATGGTCCTTCTCTGCTCCCTCAAAGCATCCACCACCTCAAACACCAAATCCTCCCTGGCATAATCCGGCGGCAACGCCGATTGCATCCCGCCTGCCCCTTCCCCATCACCTTGCTGATTCCCGCTCCGGTCCCTTTGCTTTAACTCCTCGACTCTGTCATCCCATCCCTCCAAAATGCCCCGTTCCAACTCCCCCATGAGATACTCCAATGCAATAAACGTCCCACTCCTGCCGACGCCGGCGCTGCAATGGACGATGCGAGGGTTAGAGGGGGAAGAATTCTTCTCGCGGGAGAGGCGCATCAGGGTGAAGAAGGAGTCGAGGTCGGAGAGGGACGGGACGCCGAAGTCGGGCCATTTCTTGTAGAGGAAGTGGTAGACTATGCGTTGGTCGACGGGGGCTGAAGAGTCGAAGGCTGTGCGGGGAGTGGGTTCCTGGGGGGTTGCGGGCTGGCTAATGGGAGCAGAGATTAGGTTGGCAGTGGGCAGGGCTGGGGTTGATGGGTTGATTGGGGTTGTTGCTGAGGAGGTTGTGATTGGCGTAGCTGAGCTGGGTGTTGATGAAGCACTTCTTTCCTGCAAAGCCTGAGGACTCTTCATCTTGACATCATCATCGCCATCGATCCCTTCCAGGGGAATCTCCCTCTTTGGATGCACCGTAATTACCAATTTTCTCAACTCAATCGCATCACCGGCCGGCGTCTCCTCGATGGCCTCACACTTGACCGTCGCGCGAAAGCCGTCGCCAAACTCATCCCTCTCATTAACTTCCAAGGGAGGGTCGTCAGGACTCCTAGGGAAGTATGGGTAACACTTCTCAATAGCCCCCTCGTGTGTCTCTGTCAGCATGACAATTACACCAGGGCTCTCCAGCTGCTCAACCACCATGCGCCAGACATGGTCGGTGGTGATCTGCTTAGGGCCCTGCATGGCGATATACCGAGAAGGCTCCTTGGTAGAACCGTCGCGCGCAGCGCGCGGGTGTAGGATGATAGGTGAGGCGTTGATGTAGTCGAGCTTGCCTTCGGGCACGCGAAGCTTGACACGGTTATTGTTCCAGGGCTGGATGTTGACGTAGCGATCGAGGAGCTTGAGGTGGGGACCGGTAACACGGGCCCAGCGGAAGTCGGGAGACGGATTTGTCAGTGACTGCATCATGCGATGACGCTCGCGCCAGACGATCTCGGAGAAGCGATTCTCGATTTCTGGAAGACTGTCAGTAGAGTGCTCTGTATAGAACAAGGAAAAACAAACATACCCTGCTTCGGCAGATCCAAAAACGCCGGCATCTTTGGCGTCTTGGTGGCCTTCTCCATCGTGCTGGCGGCATCCGTCTTGAGAGACAGCGGCGAGACAGGCCTAATCTCAGACACGTTGACATTCAAGTTCCCATTGCTATTCCCTCCATTGCTATTCCCATTGCCATTCCCAGTCGCCACAGACACCGGCGCGGCGGCAGGAGAGTGCGGCAGTGAAGCAGGGGGCGAGTCACGAGCGCGCTTGGCCGAGCGATGAAAGACTCCCTTCAGCTTGTGTAGCGAGGAGCGCACCTGGCCAGGAGAGGGCACAGGCGCGGGCGCCGCAGCGGGCTGCGACTCGGCTGGGGCAGCTACCGCGGCGGCCAACTTATTGCTGCTGGGGGAGGAGTTATTATTGTTGCCGGACAAGTCCGTGGTGATAAGAGTTGGCGGGGCGACATCTTTCTTGCGGCGCGGCCACCGCGGTACGTGAGCCATTCCGGCGTTGGGTAGGTAGAATAATCGGTAGCGGGAGTGAACTCGACACGGGAGGCGTCGGCTCCCGGGGATGAAGAGAGGTCGCAAGGCTGTCGAGCGATGGAGTTGATCAAGGTCAGTCTCGGTACTTGATGTCTATGCTCGGCTAGCGACAGGAAGCTTCTGTGACACAAACACGCAGAGTTCCCTGAATAGGGCGACAGAGCTCGCTCACGGGATCTCGGCGGCGGGCGGAGAGGGGAACGCGAGGGCGCGGCTGTACAAGCAGGGACGGCACGTGCAGCTGCAAGACACGTGGGGAGGTTAGGGAGATCGATAGAGATCTTGCCAGATCTACGTGTAAGTCGATGTGGCTCGAGCGGGAGCGAGATCTTGTTTATGTTCGGTTTAGAGCTGACTCGCTTGCTCTTGTTCACGAGGGGCACTGTTCCGACAGAGACAAGGCTAAAGGTCAAGAGTCAAAACCTGCTTTATCTTTTAGACTTCGGGAAGAACATGCGCGGAGGATGACGGCAGTTGATGGTTGCACACATGCAGGGTTACGAGGGTTGGTTAGATGACAATAAGGTGTAAGAGAAAAAAAAAATCAAAAAAAATCGAGACAACAGGAAAGTGGACAAGTGACCGTCTTCTTTTTTGGCCTGAGAAGGAGCACCGCAGCAATGAGAACTAGAACGGAACCCGACGACGCACGCAATCGCAGCCCAGGCAGGAGGCCCATCAATTGCAAGGTGCCCCTTCCTAGGCAATTTCAGTCCCCAAGATTCTCAGATGCACTCACCTTCGCTCGATGGAGGTCCCACTGACACAGTGTTGCTTAACCCAGTGCCTTCTATGGATCACACTGTCTATTCTCACCCTAACCATTGGACAGAGCTGAGATTGAAGTGTCCACCAGCTAACAGCTCCAGGTTCGGCCCGGCCAGCAGCTCCGATCTCCCCTAGAATCCCTGTCCATGAAACCTTTGAACCTGGATGGGCCAGTGTTGCAACAGAGCCCAAGAACTCCGCTAAAAAAGCCCCACGCTAACTCAAAGGGCTACGACGCTGCCGACACGCTGCTCCGACGCCAGCAATCGTCTGGGATGCCGTCGCAGATGACCGATGGCACGCCGTTGAGACGAAGGGTCAACGTTGACAAGGATATCATTTGCGAGAGATCTGGCAAGTTTCTTAGTAAGAAGTCAATGCCAGGAAGGAGGATGTGTCTCTCAGTATAAGATGCCTTGTGTCACACTCGTAAGCTCATCAGGTCACTCTGCGATTGACAAGTAAAGTCACACAATGTTATTGTCTCATGGTAACACTATGACAAGCCGATCTCAAAACAGCTCTCTTTGTCCAATATCCTCGGTCAGCCGACCGTCTACCGCCGGCCTGGAATGACAACTCATTTCCCTGCTCGATTACCGAGCGAAAGACATCCTGTCGAGATTGACGAAACGGTTGTGACGCCTGGTTACACTGGGTGAGAGACAACAGCCACACTGAAGATCGGACTTTTCATATCGCGGAATGTGTTGACCAAGAAGCAAAAGTCTTGGAGTTCCTTTCAGGTTTGCAAAGCACAAGAGGAACGCCGTGCTTGCTTTCACCTTCAACACGATCAGGACTAGGCGCCTGTACCTTGTTATGGTGCTTGAGGACGCTCAATGACATACCTAACTTTATGACTGTATAGACCTCTGGAGGAGGGATAAGGTTGCTTGGTTAGGTGAGGGCACTAACGTTCCATGTCTGTTAAGCAACTAGGGCTGCAAGCAAGATCAGTGCCCTAACTTCATGTGTGCCTTCACCTCCTCCCCGATAGCCGATTTCACGTGGAAAGCTGTGGCCAGCTGAGCTATACCTTGTGGTCCCCCCCCCGGGTTGTTGGTAAACTCCTAGCAAAAGTCGGATTATGAAGGTGAAGACCATTGGCAATGGGGTCCCAGTTCGTATGACCTTCCAAGTGAGGGCCAGGAATAATGACAGAAGTCCGTTGGCGACGGGCAGGTAGATGCCGGTTAGACTGTGAACCACTTTTGCTTTTACTACTCTTCATAGAATACATAAGCCCATCCTTTTGTACGCCTGCCCAATGACATATTCTCACCCAGGTCCTAATTTACACATGATCACAGTTTTGCTCCTCAGTCTCTCTCCGCGCAAGTTCAGCTAACCTCAACCTCTCTTTGACCCTCACGCCGCAGAATAAACCCCTGAAACCCCCCTCCCACATATAACCTTCTGCTCGACACTCACCTCCCTCCCCTTCTCCCCAATCTTCACCTTCGTCCTCGGCGTAATCTGCAACCTCTGCCTCAGCTCGCCAGCCTTGACATCCCCGCCGCCCTGCGCGGGAACCCCCTTCTCAAAGCGCTCTCCATCCAACGGCGCGATGTGTACCGGAATAGCCACGTTATTCCTCTTCCCCGTTCCTAGCTGGTAATGCTCGTTTCCACCCCACCAGAGCACGTCCGCACCAAAATTGGTGTCACTGACGGGGGTTGAGGCAGAGGCAGTGAGGTGCGTTTTGTTGCCTAGGACCGCGGCTGCGTGGTCAGAGCCGACCGAGACAGAGGCGATGCGGATGGGGACCAAGCGGTTGAGGGACTCGTCGTATTCGGTTAGGTTGGAAAGGGACTTGATCTTGGTGAGGGTTGGGGACATGTGGGCGAATTTGCCTGTGCCGAGGGTGCCACGGAGGCCGGAGCCGCAAGACCAGAGGTCGGTAGTGACAGAGGAGGGATTCTTGGACGAGGACTTTTCCTTGGGAATGGCATCAACCGTGAAGAAGCTGTTTCCTCCGCCGGCGGCGATGGACGTGATCTTGGGGACTTGGTTGGAGTGCTCGTAGCGCTGGGCGAGAGGGACAATTACCGGTGCGTCGACACTGTAGACGCCGCCCTCTGGCTCAACGCCCAGCTGGCCGAAGGTGTTGTCCCCGAAGGCAAATGCCCTCCCTGTACTGTCCAAGGCAAGAGAATGGTAATCGCCTGCAGCAATCGCAGTGATCTTGAGCCCCTCAAGCCCCTTTACCTCATGCGGCGTGTCGTACGGCACGCCTTGTGGCCGAGTCTCCCAAGTCAAGCCAGGAACACCAAGCTGGCCACGCGAGGGGAAGGCCTCGGAGGAGGCGGCGGCAGAAAAGACGCGGCCTTTGGAAGTCAGGAGAAGGCAGTGCTCCAGGCCGGATTGGACGTCAACAACTTTCTCGTTGAGGCCAAGGGAGGATGGCTTGAGGAGGCGATAGTTCAGTGGGTGTTCGGATGTGTTGTTCCAGATGCTGCCCAGCAAGGATTTACCGCTCTCTTTGGGCTTCTCACCCAGTTCCTGGTCGGCTTTCGACACTGGGATGGAGTATACCTTTCCATCTCCCCCAAGTGCGATGATCCTGTCCTTCGAGATCGCAACCTTCCTCAGGTCCTTGCCCTTAAGCGTCACCCGCGGTCCAGGCTCCTCTTTGCAATACCCAGCCCCCCACTGTACCAGATCGCCCTGTTCATTAACCGCAACGCCAAACTGAGAGTCCAGCTTTAGGTCCCGCAAAATCTGTCCATCGAAGTACTTGATCCTCCTTGGAGACTTGACCACTGTCTCCTTCGACTCGGGAGCAACCACTTTACCCGCGTTTGAACCCCACGCGTAGACACCGGGATGTTCCCAACTGTGTTTGACCTGGACATGTTGGGGACTGATATCCTCGCGTGTTTCCTCTTTCGTATGTAACTTCTTATGAGGCTTCTCGAAGATGATCTCTGCCCGTTGGGGACCCTTTGGAGGTATAGAGTCTGAAGTTTCTTTGGGAAACAGGCGCGGGTAGGCAAACAGCACGCCGGCGCCAGAGGCAGCAAAAACACCGAGAAGGGTAGCAATCTTGGTCCCAGACCGGCGAATGGGCTGGAATTCGGGCTCCGGTTGAGAGGATATGTAGCGTGCCCAATGGCGCGGGAGAGTGCGCACAGGCTGGCGAAGGATCCGGAGGAGAGGGGCCATGCTGTGTGAGCTATAAGTGGGTGAGTTGAGGGGAAAAGGTGAGGGAGGAGTCTCCGACGAAATTAGAGAAATGTTCAATTGGTGTGAGGTGAGCCGTCTCTTTAAAGAAAATATCGGCTCTTCCACACCCTTCTGTGTGAATTGAAGTTAGAAGGTGTGAGCCATTGAGATGAGTGAGGTCAGTGAGGTCACTAATGAGGTTGAGCGACAGGCATAACGCGTTTCTCTCAGAGCTTGACCCTTGATAAATCTAACCCTGGAAACCCTGGCATGGTCTTGGCGTCGGTCTTTCACACGCCGATCACCGAGGATCCACCATGTAGTACGTACCAATACTGGCCCCATACGACAGCATCAACATCAACATCAGCACCAAGACGACGAGGCCTACGCCCCCCAGACTAGCAACCCTTCAGATGCCCGGCCAGTCCCCATGAGATAACAATGTACGAAGACTCGTTGTACAGCTTCGTACCCGAATTCCAGCATCGCCGTGCCCCCTCCACAACAACCCAGCCATCCTCGGGCCACCAACGCAAGGCGTCCCTTCTCCAACCACCCACCACCGTACGTTCCCTGATCATTTCCCTCCAACTAAACACGAGATTGACAAAACTGCCCCAGGAAGCTGCAGAAGCAGAAGCTCCCCAACCCCTCGCTGCACTTCTTGAGGCGCAAGAGGACGACGCGAATGTCCCGCCCGAGCCAAGCGTGCCTCGTCGCGCCAAGTCATACTCGGATTTTCATGACATTGTTCGCGTACAGGCGACGGTGCATGTGCGGAAAAGGAAACAGAAGACTAGAAGGAGAAGAGGGAGCGGGCGCGGATGGGAGGCACTAGCTGTGCCGGAGAGCGTAGAGGCCCAATTACCGCAGGCCGAAGAGCCTGAAGAGGAAGAAGGTGTTGAAGAGGAGTTGCTGAAGGCTAGTCAGGGGGAATATTTGTACGTCTCAGACAGCATAACAGTGTCTATGAGCGAAGCTGACAGCCTAGACTCTACCATGAGGAACTCGCTTTGGCAGAACGTCATCTCACCACCCTCATTAACGACACAGACAACGCACTACGTCTGCTCGAGTCGCTATGCACATCGTTCGCCACCGTCGACGAACAAACAGGTTCGTTCCGGGCACAGTGTGATGGCCTAGTGACAGAGCAGAAGCGCTTGCAGGCTCTGGCTGAGGATGTGGGACGCGACCTGCAGTACTACACCTACCTCGACTCAGCGACACGGCGGCTGAATGCCCCTGGGGCCGGCAGGTTGGTGGATGGGACAAGCTTTGTCGAGATCTTGACGACGCTTGACTCGTGCATTGAGTTCATGACACGCAATGTGAGTCTCATGCTCCCTTTATCAAAGGCTTATGCTAATTCTACAGTCCACCTACCGCGATGCCGAGTCCTACCTCGCGCGCTACCAATCACTGCTCACCAAGGCTCTACACCTCCTTGAAGTAGGCTTCAAAAATCATCTCAACAAGGTATCCGCGGAAGTAGGCAAGCAAATCGCCGCCACGCAATCTGAATCTGCCCGTCATGCCCTCGCATACGGTCGCTTTGAAGAACTTGTCCTCGAGTCCTACAACCTGATCCCCAACCTGCAGCACGTCGTGCGCAGCGCCTATAACGAGGCTGGGCATCCTACAGGTCTGCCGACCGCCGATATTTACGCCAACACTGTGAACAACTTGTTCCACGCGTACTGGAATGTCAGAGAACGCGACCTGAAGCCCATCATCCAGCACGACTTGGACACCTTCCGTGCCGAGGCCAAGGAGTCGCTCGCTGCCGCAGCACACGCCTTCATCAAACAAGCGTTCGAGCGTGCCTTCAGCGAAGCCTGTCTCTTCGGACGTATCTTCTCCATTGAGCCAGCACACTCAACTGACGCAAAGTCAGCCTTTGCCGCGCTTAAGGGCCATCAACGGTCTATCCCCACGGGGACTAACATCGCTCCTATCGCGACGACGCTCCAGTCTGCGCTGCAAAACGCCCCTCTGGAGACGGTGTGCGATGTCGTCGGCTGGATCCTGCACGAGTACTTACTGTCAGACTTTGACCCTTCCGAGGAAGAAGAGGAGACGCCCCTTGCCGTCCGCAGCCGCGAGTGGGCATTCCGCCTGCTCGCCGAGCATCTCTGGACCTTCACAGACTCCCTTTTCGACGCTGAAATCACCAAGTCCATCATCAAAGCCCCCCTAACCCCAGACTCCCTCAAGATGGGGCCAACAACAGGAAACGATGTTTCCTCCAACGCCTTCCCAACTGTGAAACACGCACTCGAACTCCTCGTGCTCTTTGACCAGTCCATGCCGAAAGAGCGCTCCGCTAGGAATAGCCCTGTCGTCTTCCGCATAATCACAGAAACTATCTCCTCCCTACAGCGCGCCGAGGCTCGCATCCGCTCTGTCAAACCTCACTCACCAACAGATCCCGACCTCTTTATGATCAAGAATCTGCTCCTCCTCAAAAACGAGCTGGTCACCCTCGAGATTGGCGACATCCGTGCTGCGCCCCATCAGACCGCCGTTGCGGCGCTTGCGGACAGGGGGGTCCAGCATTTCGCGCAGATTTGGGATACGCTGAGGAGGAATGCGCCACAAGGGGGGTTGCTGGGAGGGATTTGGAATGGGATTGGGCGCGTGGGGAGTACTCTGGCGCCGTTGAGCGGGTATATACCTGGGTCGTCGCTTTTCGGGGCTGGGCAGGGACAAGCGGCTGGAGCTGGAGGTCAAGCTGGTGCTGGCGTAGCAGGAGTAGGAGGGGGAAGTGGCGTGCAGGATGCGCATGAGAGGCTGGATGGGCTGTTGAGGCAGCATATCGGGGCGTTTACGAAGCGCTGGGCGGGGACGTTGCATGATGCCCGGTCTGGGAGGCTAGGAGGGAAAAATTTGGGGAAGGTGGAGAAGGAGTTGGAGGAGATGTTAGAGAGGGCGTTTAGTGGGCAGCCGGAGATTGTGGCTAAGTTAAGGGAGGCGATCGCGATTGAGATGGAGGGTATTGGGAGGGAGAGGGTGAGAAGGGTGTAAGTGAGGGGTTCGATTTTAGGTTTAGAGTTATTGAAGACTTCGGGATTTTGGTCAATTATGACCGGATGGATCTTATATTTCTCTCTAGGAGGCCATCGTAATATTGACAGAGAAGGGCTCACATACAAGAGCGAGGGCCAATCTCCCTAGGGGCTGTCTCTTGTATAGCACCAATGCATGACCCTAACCCTCCCTCTCAACCCCGCATAATGCGATATCCCCCTACCCACCACATCACCAACCCCACCTTCTTGTCACACACCCCACACCGCGCATTCCCATCACAAAATCACAATGCACCAATCGAGGGTTGGAGCCCGGAAGGGATGACCAATGGATTTTTTTCCTGGCGAAAAAGCGGGCGAAAAGCACGCCATCGAGCAAAGCCTACTCAGGGGCCAGGGCCCAGTATCAGAGGGTCGTTTAGCGCTGTCGAGAACCCTGCAATCAGAGGGAACTGCCCCACCCAAAAAGTTGAAAGTCATAATCTGGGGGAGTCGGGGCATGGAGATAAGATGGCGGCGGGACCGAGAACCGATCGTGGCCGACCGAGACCGGTGGCTTTTTTGTGTCTACGATTTTGTGATTTGTGTCTTGCGAATAATTTCCCTGATTCTAGTCGGAGCTTAAAATGAATAGTATCTGGGGTTGAGAGTTTATTTTTTTTTTCAAAGTTAAGATTCAGTTTCTTTGAAGGATCTAGTTGGTTTCAATTTCAGAGGGCCGACATCTCACTGAATCGGTTCATCTTCACTTTGCCTCTGATATCAAGTTTCAAATCCCCAGCATTATTGCCGCCAGCAGAGCAGTTTACGACTCGCGCATAGAGTACAGACGCCGGGACACGACAGTAATTAGCGAACTCGCGCGCAAGACACCATAGAGAAATCAGACCCTTTTTGACTTCTTCTCTACACACCTACCCCATTAAACCTCAACACGTCCAAAATGGCCGAAGCCGAAGTCCAACAATCCAGTGCTCTCCAAACAGCCAAGGACCTTTTTTCCGGCGCAGCAGGCGGTGTCGCGCAGGTCCTCATTGGTACGCTCCGCCTCTCTTCCCGTCGCTCCCCCTTCTTCTATACTCCCATACTAACCCCCCTTTGTCCAGGTCAACCATTCGATATAGTAAAAGTCCGCCTCCAAACCAGCTCAACCTATCCCTCAGCGCTCTCCGCAGCCGCCTCCATCTACAAACACGAAGGTCCTCTCGCCTTCTACAAGGGCACTCTAACCCCTCTCCTGGGCATCGGAGCCTGCGTCTCCATCCAGTTTGGAGCGTTCCACGCCGCGCGCCGCTGGCTCGAGCAGCGCAGGGAAGCCAAAGGTCAGACCAAACAGCTCGGCTATGGAGAGTACTACATTGCCGGCGCGTTCGCAGGCATCGCAAACACAGTGCTGTCGTCGCCGATCGAGCACGTGCGTATCCGGCTGCAGACACAGCCTCACGGAGAGAAGAGGCTTTACAACGGGCCATGGGACTGCGTGAGGAAGTTGGTTGCGCAGGGCGGGGTTGGGAACGGATTGTACCGTGGTACGGCCGTTACATTGTTGCGCGAGGCGCAGGCGTACGGTGTGTGGTTTTTGGTGTTTGAGTATTTAATGAATGCGGATGCGGCGCGGAATGGGGTTGATCGGAAGGATATTGCGAGCTATAAGGTCGCGTTGTACGGTGGGTTGGCGGGTGAGGCGCTGTGGTTGGCGAGCTATCCGTTTGATGTGATCAAGAGTAGAATGCAAACGGATGGGTTTGGGCAGGGCAAGCAGTTTGTGAATATGAGGGATTGCTTCAGGCAGACGTGGAGGGAGGCTGGTTGGAAAGGGTTCTGGAAAGGCATTGGGCCTACGCTGGCTAGGGCGATGCCCGTGAGTGCGGGGACGTTTGCGGTCGTGGAGATGACGATGAGGGCAATTAACTGAGGGAGAGATAAGAGGGAGCATGAGTGGTTGTGAGATTGAATGGCGAGCACGAGCGATAAATTAAGCCCCTTGAAAAAGGGCGAGGAGTAGATAGCGACGGCAGCGCCGCAAAGACCCTTCAACGCGAAGGGAGAGAGGGATAGGACTGTCAACTGCCTTGAGTCCCGGTAATATATCCAGAGTTCGTACATACCCCCATGCTCAATCCTCACTTACTCCGCATTCTCAACCCTTCGTTGCAAAATCTGCCGTGCATTCGCTGGGCTCAAGATCTCCAGCCCCATCTCCTCCAGCACTTTCTTCGCCTGCGCATTATCCGTAAACACCCTGTCTGTGGCCGACTTTAAGGTCAAGCCTGCTTCCTGGCCCTCGGGCAGTTTTGCTGGCAGAGTAAGCAGCTGCAGCGCCTCGCCCAGCGCGGCCAACGAGCCCGAGCCCACATCGGGAAGGTATCGCTCGACGAGCGAGACAATGGCGTTTATGTCGCGGGCGAATTGGGCTGCGCCGGCGGAGGTAAACCGCGCGCTCATAAGGACGTCGGTCCACAGCATGGAGTTGAGACGGTCCAGGGCCGAACGCCAGATGCGCCGGAGGGGGGCAGTGCCCAGGGCGCGGCGGAGGAAGGCTAGGTCGCGTTGGAGGATCTGAAGCAAGTTACTAACCATGCCGTATGTATTGAGAAGGGGAGGGAAATAACGAGGCTTACTCTCAGAGGCTCGTCCAGCTCAGGGGTAATGGCCAGGTCGGCTGTCATGGGTTAATTACTGTTACCCATAGCACCACGTGTAAGGGGAACTCACCATCCTCAGCAACGGTGCTCCAATTAGGCCGATGTAGATACGCCTTGAAAGCCTTCTTGTGCGAATCGACCAGCGCATCCGCCAAAAACTCCTCAGCCCTCTTCCTCCTTTGGCTGTACGCCGCAATAGTCTCGTCAAACAAAACGCCCTCCTCATCATCCGATCCGACCGCGGCCGACGTGCGGTCTTTGATTTGGTCATAACTGATGCCCACACTTAAGCTCTCCCTCTTCTTATGACCAGCTCCCGAAGATGAGTTGTTCTTCGAGGCAGCCTTGGCCCTATCCTGCAGCTCCTGCCACAAAGCAACAAAAAACTCGTCGTTACTCCACTCCCGGAGCGTGTTTACGATATGATCTGCGCTTCCATAAACCTTACACAGTGCCTCCAAAGCGCCGGTCCCCTCCAAAGCAGCGAGCTGCTCCTTGGACACACCGAACGCGCGTCCAACAGTCGAGGTTAAGCTCAGATACGCCTCAAGCGACCCCCGCAACGCGTCGTGATACTCATCAAGGATAGTCAACTGGATATCGATCAGGAAGCGCAGCTTATGCCCGAATTTGCGCACGCGACAGTACTGCTGGGTAATAGACCTTAGCAAGTCTGTCACGCGCACGGCGCCAAACGTGGGCTTCGTCTTTCCCGGACCGGCAAAGTCGTAGTCGATTTGACGGCAATCCTGGGTGGCCATGATTTCGTGGTAGCGGTCCAGAGCATATATCTTTTCGGCCTCAAGCCAAGTCCGAAAGTGTGTGGCGAGGACCTCGGCGGTTAGGCCTCCCCATTCTTCGGAGTCTAGACCGCCATCGTAGGCATAGGAGGAGCGCAGTTGGTCGTCGAAGGTCATGAGCTGGGAGAGAAGGCTGCTTAGGAAGGCGGTGTCGCCTTGAGTCTGCTCCAGCGTGCGAGTGACTTTCTCGCGAATGACGGGTAGAAGAGAGGAGATGAAGGCGCAGACTGGGTCCATGTAAACCATCTTGCGAGCGGCTGGTGTGTCAGCGAACTTGGCTGCCAGCAAAGGGGAGAAGTTATCCCGGAAGAAGTCCTCCCACTTCTCAAGCAGATTCAGCACCCAGGGGAAGCAGTGCTGCCCAATGACTTGCGGGGCGCTGGTTGGCTTGTCGCTGAGGAAGTGGAAGCGGAATTCCTTGACAAATATGTCAGTCATGACATCCATGGCTAGCAACGTCACCACCTCTGGTTTGGGCGTGCTGGCAGCATGGAGTATTTCGGGAAGCTGGAGGTCCAAAAGCTTCTCGAAGCACTGCAGCCACTCCTCATCAATCTCGCTCTCCGGCGACACCTGAGCCGGCCATTTCCTTTTCTCCAACACTCTCTCCAGCTCAGTCCTCATAATGCCCTTCATCTCCTCCCACAACCTATCCACAGCGGTCTCGACGTGGCTAACCAAGAAAACAGCTGCCCCATCTGCCTCCTCCTGCAGCTTCTTTAGCCTCAGCGCAAGTTCCTTCAAACGGCCATATGGCTCCAGAGCTTTCCTTGGATCCCCAGGCAGACACTTCCTGGCCTCCTCTCTTAAACCCTCCACATCCTGCAGTAACATCAAATACTTATACGCAAGCTCAACGCTCTCCAGCTGCTTCAGGGGTCTTTCCAACCTGCGAACTGCCGCATCAGGCGCATCAGACGCCGAGACAATCCTCAGACGCACATCGATGCCCTTTTGCAGTTTGTCAAACTCGGCGATCTGGGCAGCGAGCGCCGCAGACCGGTCGGCAGCCACCCGTCGGGCTTCATCCAGGGCGCGGGTCGCGTCGTCGAGCTGGGATTGTAGCTGGCTGCGCTGTAATTCGACAGCGCTAAGGAGGGTATCGATGTGTGCCAAGTCGGCTGGAGTCTGCAGCTTGTCGTCGAGAAAATCCTCGACGCGGGTGTCGGCTTCCATCATGGCTGCGGGGGGGTGTCAAGAAGGGGGGGAGCTGGAAGAGGGTTCAGCTCGAAATGGAAGCTCTGGTGATGGTGTCATGTTAGTTGGTAAGTTACCGTAATGCTATGCGTATCACTGTGGGCCGAACCAGGGGCAGCTCGAAAATTACGGTTCTTGCCCGCCAAAGTCGGTGGATCCCTGTGCCCGACGGGCCCCACCATTGGCATCGTTGGGGTCGGGTCGGCTCTCGCGCTTTCGTACAGTTTCAAAAAAAGATATGGCTTTCTTCCCTCCTCCACATCCCAAATCACACACATTTGAGTTCCCCGTCCCGACGCTCCCGCAGGGCTCCTGCATGCTCCATTCCGCGCTGCCTCCTCCCACTGCAGGAGGCTCACTCTGCTCTTGCTGCTCAACGTCGGCCTTAGGCGCTGAACCGTCGTCGTCGTGGTCGTCAATGGCGCCGCCATGAGGTCGCTTCTGCCCCGTCTCGGGTCTTTGGCCCGTGTTCCCATCGCTTACTCAAGAACCCCTCTCACATGCCGCCGCCTCTTCCACTATTCGGTCCCTGCCCTCCAGGACAACAAGTCGTCCTCGGACTGGTCCTCCATCACCGGCTCATCTTCCTCTTCTTCGTCTTTGTCTGATTCTAGTTCCAGCACCAACAATGAGGAGAAAAAGATCACCACGACCACGACCACAACTACGAAGCGGCGCACCCCGCCCTTGAAAAACTCTCTGCACCGCGTCGCCATCGTCGCCCAAAAGGGTGTCCCGACTAAGCCGCCCTCCCCAACCGCCGCCGAGCCCTCTCGCGGCCGCGACGGCACCAACACTATCAGCGCTGTCTGCATGGCCGAGTCCTTCGACATGGACGCCGTCGTCGACATCCTCAAGAACCACGGCTTCGATCTGGACCCGGATAACACGGGCTTCGAGCTGCACGAGGTGGTGCACGCACGGGGATTCAATAATGGTGACATTTTCGTGTTCCCCTCCGGCACCGTCGTGACCTGGGGCTTGCCGCATGATGTGATTGATACCCTGGCGGCAAAGCATTTGTTGCCTGCTGCGCAGACGCCGTATCAAGCCGAGGACAAGGAGATCGAAGATCTCGACTTCCTCGTCGACCCGGAGCAGGAGGAATCCAGCGTCAGCGGGTCCGTCGTCGTGCTCGGCACCCGTCGTGAAGTGAAGACCGGCGATAAGCTGGATACAACCCTCGCCAAAATCGCTTTCTCCTCCGGCCTGGCCCGCTCCACCAAGCTCGCCGTCCTCGAGTCTTCCCTAACTCGGTATCTCGAAAGCACGCGACACATCCCAGACCGCCTGTCCCAAGGCCTCAAAGCCCCCTTATCGCGAGAACTCATCCTCCAAAAAGCCGGCGAACTCCTCAACCTGCGCAGCCAGCTCAACCACTACCACGACCTGACCGATGCGCTGCCTGACATCTTCTGGGACAGCGAAGAGAAGCTCGAGACATACTACGCCAAGATCGGGAAAGCCCTCGACGTTGGCGTGCGCATCAAGACGCTGAATGACAAGATGACGTACGCACAGGAGGTGGTCAATGTTGCGCAGGGCGTGCTGGACATCAGCGAGAAGATGACCAGCGAGGCGCACAGTACCAGGCTTGAGTGGATTATTATTGGGCTGATTGCGATCGAGGTCGTGTTTGAGCTGCGCAGGGTGTATATGGAGAGGTATGATGTCTTCCAGGAGGAGTTGTTGACGGAGTTGAGGGGATTGAGGGAGGAATCTAAGCAGCTTACCGCGGTTGCTTCAACGAGAAAATAACTTGGATGCCAGGGCCATGTGGTTCTGGATGTGACAGGGACGTAGTTAGCCTAGACCTGGCCGGACTTGGGAGAAAAGCCGGTTCGGCGGTTATGATATGATACCCAGCTTTTATACAAAAGGATAGATCCAGCAATGCCGGAATAGAGACTCTCTACTCTGCTCATGGATAGATGGTGACAAGGACATAAGATGTAGACCTCTGGTGTGCTAACAATATTGTATTTTGGCTATGCTATTTAGGTAAGACTTTATTACCTGCCCATTGAAGTTAATTTGGATGGAGGTAATAAGACAATAAATTGAAAAGAATCGGGTCCAGAAATAAGTCTCCGAGTGTAAAGGGTGACGACGACGACGACGACGATGATGATGATGATAGACAACGATCGAAGTAGACACAAAAAGTCAGATTCCAACCTTATCTTATATCGGTTACCTTTGTTGATTTACTAACATGCTGGACACCCTACTGAGAAACTAAGTAATGCTCAGCAATGCCATTTCATTATGGATGCTACTAAAAGCGAACAGGTACCTGGGTAACCTAACCTCACACCAAAACCAAGTACAAACAAAATCAAACCGATTCCTCAAAACCAACCAACCAACCTGTTCAGTCCAACCATCCATCCGATCCCCAACCTAGATAGACCCTTCTCTCCCCCGTCAACACTGGAAAGAAACAGGGAGCTCTCCGAACTCTCCTCCCTTACTAAAAACAGGTCTAGCTATCCTCGAATCCTTTCCCAGATTCAAGTTCCCTACAATGTTCTTTTGTCTCTCTAAATCCTCCATCCGTTCGACACTCTCTCTGTCTAGGTAGGTGCCTCGCTCAAGTCCTTCCCACATCCGCCTCCTTTCCACACTGACGACGTCACCATTAACCAAATGAACCGACTAGTATTACATACCAACCTCTCTTTTTCTTTTTGAAGAAGTCAACCCACGCGTCGCAAACCACTCACCCACTCACATCTCTCAAAAGGGGAGGTAAACGTGTAAAAAAAAAAAAAGAAAAGGCAGTAGTCTTATGTAGTAGTAAAGTAGGTAATGTAATAAAAACAAGCGTCTTCAAAGCAAAAAGAAGTTCATCAGACCAACCGGAATGGAAAAAGAAAAGGGAGACAATAGAGGAAAACATCAAGGCAACCACGCTTGTTCCATCCCATCCCATTCCATCCAGCTAACCAGCCAACCAGCCATGTAACCAGCCATGTATCCTCTTCTCATCTGGTCTTGTCTTATCTCATCTTTCTATGACACATCTAGCAAGCAGTCCGAGAGCATATCCGCTTCACTGCTTGATGGTCCCTCCATCCGGTCAGTGAACCCAACAACAATTGACATGACATGCGTTAAGATATATCACCCGAACGACACTCCCTGGCTTAAGTTCCTCTTATCACATCAATACTTCAGGCAGAAGGCTGCTGCTGAGGCGGCACCGGAACCGGAGCAGGAGCAACAGTCGGCGTCCCAGGCACAGGACTCGGGCTCGGCGCGACAGTCCTCACCCCAGTGCCATTAACCAACTGCGGAGGAGGTACCTGCCCTGGGACTTGAGGGACCGGCACAGGCGTCTGCGTCCTCTGCTGAGCTTGCGCCATCTGCATCTTTGCCGCAGCAAGCTTATGCACGTCCATCTGTCCTGCAAGCCCGATTCCCGCTAGGCCAACGACACCTCCCGGCGGAGGGGCCTGGTGTCCTGGTGTGGCAGGCCTCGGTTGGAGATTATCGGCGGTGGTGGTCATGACCGGCGCGTAACTGGGCATGGCTGCTGCTGGGAGGGGATGTTGACCCGGGGGAGGGGTTGGGGCGACGGGCTGATGCTGCGGGGGACGTGCGGGCATCATGCCTGCCGGACCAGGAGAGCCAGGAACGTACTGTTGTGGTGGGGGGCGAGGGATCGTGTTCGGGGGCATGCCCGGCTGAGTGGTACCGGGGCCATACGGAGGTGGCGGGCGGGGCATTTGTTGATGTTGAGGTGTGGGCGATTGCGCGTAAGTATGTGGCGGTTGCGGGGGCACCTGCGGCGACATGGTTCGAGGCATTGGAGCTCCGTTAGGATATGGCGAGTAGGGCGCTGGCATGGGTTGTTGTGTCATGGGCGGATGGTGTTGAGGAGGCATTGGTACGGATTGCGCGTGCGGCGGCATATGCTGTGGATGAATAGGTTGTTGTTGAGGATAGCCGGCAGGATAGGCCTGCGGGAACCGGGAGTTGGGCGGTGCCCCAGCCGGCACCATATTGTTGTAATGGGGCGGCGGTGGCTGCTGCGGCGGCATTCGAGGTTGTTGTGCGGGACTCGGCACATACTGCTGCGGCATGCCGGAGTGGCCATACGGACCTTGAGCCTTGGCCAGCTGAGGTGCGTACATCTGCGGCCGGTACTGTGCCGGCGGCGGCTGGGGTCGGGCTTGGTGGTGAGGCTGCGGGATGGGAACCGCGGATGGAGCCCTCGAGTAAACGTTGGGTTGCGGCCGGACCGGTGTCTGCGGCTGGTAGTGCGGTGCATTCGGGACGGGGCGGGCTGAGGGTGTGAATTGCGGCTGATACTGATGGTTGGCGTACTGCGCGGCAGCGACGCTCGGCGCCCTTTGTGATTGCCGCTGGTTGGTGGTCGCCACCTGGGCAGCCAGCCGGGCCTGCCGGGCCGGCTCGTCTTCCTCCATGACACCACGGTAGTCGTCCGACCGAACCTCGATCTTGGTGCTGACCGCCAGCTCGGCAAGCTTGTCCGAGTTGAGACGAGCCACTGCCCACGGGGGCAGTGTTTGGATGATTAAGGCGAGTTGCGACTTCAATGCCTGGTAGGCCATCATCTCCTCTTCGCTCGGCTGGTGTGAGGCACTGCCGTTGCGCAGCATGTCCCCGTTGACCGGGTCGGCCGAGTAACGGTCTTGGCTCGTCGGCAGGGTCAGGTTCCGGTTGCGTTGGTAGGACGCCAAGGTCTCGATCATGTCGGAGATTTCCTCGAGGATGTCGTCTACCTGCTTTTCCTCGTCCGACTTCTTGCCCAGCACGCTGTCCAGGTTGGGGTCGATCAAGCTATCATCCCAGTTCTCAATGACCTCCTTGACACGCTCCTCATCAACCTCCATGATCACGGCCGAGTCGGCGCGTGCCGGCACACCATCCTCTTCGGCAACTTCGGGCTCGATCTCCTCAACCATCTTGTTTAGGTTGCGCCGACCGATGCGTTGGTACCAAATGCGGCTCACTTGCTGGGCCGGAACAATAGCACCCGAGTCATCTCGGCTAGGGGCAAAGCTCGAGAAGGCACCACGGAAAAGAGCCTCAAGCTCGGTCATCTCCAGCTCGATCGACGAGGGCTTCACGCCTGCTAAGCTCTGGGCACGTTCGCGCTGCTTCGTCTTGGTGTGTACGGTAGGCGTGGCATTGGTATAATCCAACCAGACACCTTGTGAAAGGACCTGTGAGAAATAGGTCCCGGTGCGGTATTTCGACTTATCGATAAACTCGGGGTGATAGAAAGTCAAGACATTGCTCTTCGTTGTCGTCTTCGGCGCTTTCGGGGGCTGCAGAGGGGGCAAATTCCGCGGCGAGGGAAACAGCTCGCCAAGGGTAGGCGTGCGGCCCGACTTGTCGCCCGTCAACGGCGGTTCCTGCAAGACCCTGGTAACACTAACACCATTCGGCAACGCTGTCTCCGGCAACGGCTTGTTCGAGCCATCCGGGGCCTGTCGCAGGCTAGTGAATAGAGGGCGCATGGTCGGAGCCATGCCAACCGTGCTCAATACAACACCTCCTGTCCGCGTGCTGATAGAGCTCACTTTTCCTGACGATGACGGCGGGGGCACGTTGGGATATGCCAACTCTCGCCTGTACAGCTCGAGGGCCTTCGTCTTGAAGGCGGCAGCTTCGGCAATGGCGTTTTCATCGGCTGTGGCGCCGGCAGCCTCGAGGTCCTTTATCCGTGCATCGGTGGCGCGGGCAACGTCCACGACGAAATCATCCAGGTTCTCGTAGGCGTTCTGCGTCACCTTATCGGCGATGGTGAGGGGCTTGGAGGGGTCCTCCGATTTTGCCCGCTTTGTTGACGGCTCGCCATGGGAAACAGGCTCAGGGAGATGGCGCTTGAGAATGGGGGACTCGGAAGAATCGAAGCTGTTGTGCAAAGGGCGATGTTAGCGTGTGTGCAAGCGGTGTTGTACGCGAGGGGGCTGCTCGTACCTCTCAAGGACCGCGAAGAAATCACGGATAAGGGGCATGCATTCGGACGCAGCGCGCTGGCCATTGAGCGTAGGCTTCTGCGAATCGCTTATGGCGCTGAGGCTGGGGTCAACGGCGGCTTCGTCGGCAGGCTCGCGTTTTCTCTTGGTAGATTGCGAGGCGATGGACGATGCGGGCGAGTCTGGACGCGACAGTGCAGCGACGCCGTTCGCCTGGGGCGGCGCGACGTCGGGCGAAGCCATGGTCTGGCCTTCGGGGACGGGCGGCGGGGCGATACCGTCGAAGGTCGAGGGTCAAGTACGAGGATGTTGAGACGTCGTGGTTGACTGTTGGCACCGCGGGGGATGATGCTCGACGACGGGATGGGATGGAGTGATACACTAGAGTCCCCTCGGGGATGTGGCTGTTGCCGTTGGTGGTCCCTGGGAAATCCCGTTTGTCGTAACGGTACGGTACGTGCTGGAATCAACGGATGCTGCGATGAAATGGGGTCTGCTTGATGCAATGCGCGGTGTTGCTGCGTGCAGCGTGTGCGCAGAGCGTGTCGTGTGCTCTGCGATTTTTCGCAGCTTTTTTTTTGCTGGGTTTGGCTGGGATCGGCAGCAGTCGCGCGCGGTGCAGACTCGCGTCTTGTCCACGAAAGGGAAGATTGGATGGATGGGGACTGAACGCTAACGGGACTGCGAAGTGCTGAGCAAAGTAGCACGGCGGCTGCAACGCCAAAAAAAAAAAAACTTAGGCTTTTTGCCCTTCCAGGTTCCAAGTTGAACTCTGCGCCTGCGCTGCGTGTCAAGGCTGGTTGGGAATGGATGTGTCTCTCTCCGTCTGTGCGGTGCCTCTGGCAATTTTCAAGTGGATGCCGTTCAGGCTTTGAAAACACCTGTGGACTAAAGATGCAGGTGTTGCAGGCCCGCAAGGCAGTGGAAGTCAAGATGTGATGAATAGATCAATGTTTTTTTCCTGCGGGCAGCGTTCCTGTCAAAGACTCCTTCCTGCAGCAGCGACCTCACTCGCACGCTCACGGGCTCTCAGAGGAGGAAGTCGGACACCGTCGTTGGTCCCAAAAAGCCAGCGCGAGGCTGCGCCGCGCTATGACTCTTGTGGAAATTAGTGGGCCCCTGAGCGCTCAAGTCACGTGACAATTGCGAATCTTGCGCTCTTATTGCTTATGTAAGCTTGGGCCTCAGGCTGCTGTAAAGCCCTGGGCGGGCGGTGGGGACAGCTGCAAGGCGCTTGGGGATGCAAACGCTGCTCCAAATGACAGCAATCTGGCGTTCAAGACTAGTGTTTCGAAAGCATTACAAGTCATTCTTTCATTTTGTTGTTTTTTCTTTTTTTTGGCATGCCAGTCTACAAAATCATTGAATAGCCCATAAAGTCTTTGAAGTCAGTGTGACTCAAATCCCCCGCTGCCCACGAGCACAAGATCGACGAGTGATTTGAAGAGCTCCTGTTACTCTTGACAACCCGCAAGCCCACGCTCCCAGGCTGGTCCCAGACAACAAGCAGTTATGACGCAGGGCCCGATCGGACACGGCCGTCGAACTTCAGTCAATGAACTGGCATAAGACAACAGCATCGAGTAGATAGAGGGTGATTATATTTTGCTAATGAGAGCCATAACATGGCGTCCTTCTAAGTCGCAACTTCAGTCGAAATTGTGATAGTCCAAAAAAAAAATCCCCCGAGATCGCTGCTGCTTCAACGATGGGCTAATTGCAAGTCACCCACTTGATGCTCCGATATCTGCATGATCGGACTTGGCTGGACCTTTGCTGCTCCGGTCGATGCCCCTCCAGGGCTCCGCAAACGCTGCTTCAGCGCCTTGACGTGCGATTGCGGGGTCTTCAATTTTTTTACTGTCGCTCCGATGCCCCTCCATGTCCCATCCAGGCCCATGTCGCACCCCTCCAAAGCCCCTCCATGGCCCATGGTGCTGTTCCCCCACAAAATAATACCTTTGCCCCCAGCTCGCTGACCCCCCGTCGAGTCATCTCTCGCTTCTTCCGTCCCGTCTTCACCTCTCCTCCTTTTTTATTTTTTTTTACATCCTCATAAGATTCCTCACCATCCTAATCACCACTACCAGCTAGATCTAAGTTAGATCAGCTCTCTTTTCATACCTAAAGTCACAATGGCCTCCAACAATACCCAGGGCGCAACCTACGCCCTTCCCCAGACTCACAAGGAGGTTTGTGATCATTCAATTGCGCAATTGGAGTCGAAAGGACCATATCTCACACGCTGCTAGATGCTCGAGAAGTCCCTTGTTGAGTCCGACCCTGAGGTTGCCGATATCATGGTGAGCAGCTCCCACTCATCATCACGACGACCACTGACCCCTTCTAGGCCAAGGAGATTCAGCGCCAGCGGGAGTCTATCATTCTGATTGCTTCGGAGAACGTCACCTCCCGCGCCGTCTTCGATGCCCTCGGCTCCCCCATGTCTAACAAGTACTCGGAGGGCTACCCCGGAGCTCGCTACTACGGTGGTAATCAGTTCATCGACCAGATTGAGCTGCTCTGCCAGAAGCGCGCCCTCGAGGCCTTCCACCTCGACCCTGAGAAGTGGGGTGTCAACGTCCAATGCCTGAGCGGTAGCCCGGCCAACCTCCAGGTTTATCAGGCACTCATGCCTCCTCATGGCCGTCTCATGGGTCTTGACCTCCCCCACGGTGGTCATCTGAGCCACGGCTATCAGACCCCCCAGCGCAAGTAAGAATCCCTTAATCTCCAGGCTTAGCACGGCCAACAGCTTACAATCGCAGGATCTCGGCTGTCTCGACCTACTTCGAGACCATGCCCTACCGCGTTGATCTGGAGACTGGCATCATTGATTACGATACCCTTGAGAAGAACGCCCAGCTCTTCCGCCCCAAGATTCTGGTTGCCGGTACCTCGGCTTACTGCCGTTTGATTGACTACGCGCGCATGCGCAAGATTGCCGACTCTGTTGGTGCCTACCTGGTCGTCGACATCGCCCATATCTCTGGCCTTGTCGCTGCTCAGGTCATCCCCTCTCCTTTCGACTATGCTGATGTCGTCACCACCACCACACACAAGTCTCTCCGTGGGCCTCGCGGTGCCATGATCTTCTTCCGCAAGGGCGTCCGCTCGGTCGACCCCAAGACTGGCAAGGAGACCCTGTACGACCTGGAGGACAAGATCAATTTTTCCGTCTTCCCCGGCCACCAGGGTGGTCCCCACAACCACACCATTACTGCTCTGGCCGTCGCCCTCAAGCAGGCTGCTACCCCTGAGTTCAAGCAGTACCAGCAGCAGGTTGTTGCCAACGCCAAGGCTCTGGAGCGCAAGTTCAAGGAGCTCGGCCACAAACTCGTGTCCGACGGTACCGATTCTCACATGGTGCTGCTTGACTTGCGCCCCTTCAACCTGGACGGTGCTCGTGTTGAGGCCGTCTTGGAGCAGATCAACATTGCTTGCAACAAGAACTCCGTCCCCGGCGACAAGAGCGCCCTCACCCCCGGTGGTCTCCGTATCGGCACTCCTGCCATGACCTCCCGTGGCTTCGGCGAGGCCGACTTCGAGCGCGTTGCTGTTTACATCGATGAGAGCATCCGTCTCTGCAAGGAGATTCAGGCTTCCCTGCCTAAGGAGGCCAACAAGCTCAAGGACTTCAAGGCCAAGGTTGCCAGCGGCGAAATTCCTCGCATCAATGAGCTCAAGAAGGAGATTTCCGACTGGTGCCACACCTTCCCTCTCCCCGTTGAGGGCTGGCGCCAGGATGCCGGTCTCTAAACGGCCGCTCTCAAAATCTCCTTTCAACACTTTTCTCTCATGTCTTTTCTTTCAAATGGTTTGTCAAGGATAACTTGGGTTGGCGATCTCTCAACGAAATCAAGGGTGTAACTCAAAATGGGAATGGAACATAAAAAAAAACACCAAAACGAGGATGTGGCAAACACACAAAAGAGCACTCATATTGCAAATCATTTCATCTAGGCGTTTGCATCGTGGGTGTGCACTGGTCATATCAACTTAAACCATGTTTCTTTTTTTTTTTTCCTCTCGGAACTTCTTGGGAGTTTGTGTGTGTGAAAATCGGTAGTACTTAAAGTCTAGATATGACAGATGGACTGCTTCAACGCGGTTACTATACCCAATGGAAAATGAGAATAGAAAAGTGACTGATTAGTGCCTGAATCTTGATGTGATAGCTATTATGGAGACTGTCCGTACCTTGTACTTAGACATTGAGAGCATCGCGTCTCCTGGCCGAGATAAGAACCATAAGGAGTCCACCAGATATCATCAGTTGCTCAATTTGATGTGCTACCTATCTGTTGACTTTCTTCATCACCCATGGCTTGTTGCTGCTGGAGCGGAATGCCCATCGCTAAAGGCTGCTTACCTTTAGTAAAACAATTTCCAGATCGGTCTTCAATTGCCCGTTGAACTTCCAGATTTTTGTTGCTGACGTAGATGTAAAAACTCATAGTTGAGCCCCAAATCCAGGAGGAGCTTACAACTGGGGAGAGAGCATGTAAAGACAAGTGAAAGATGGATGGAGTCCATAGGAACAAGGAGGCTTCTCTCGTTCCTGGACTGAGCGTCCTGTCGAGCTGGACTTTGTGATCGCCGACAGCAAACGGTGTGATTCTTTAAAGCCACTTTCATAGCTTCATCGACCTTCTCACGCCAATTAATCATCCAGCACAATATGATAGTCACAACATCTTACACATCACCTCGATGGTAACAGAAGGCCCCTGTGATGCTTGTTGAACGGCATGCCGCGGCAACCTGTATTTGACTCTGTCTAAATACCGCAAAAGCCCTCTCCCTCTTGTACCCGTCCGAGGCAAGAAAGCAGGTATCGAATCGTACATCATGATGACACCGATGACTTTTGACTGTCCGTCCGTCCGCCACCCAGCCGTTCGTCCAACCAGCCAACCAACCGCCATCCCATCTAACGTCCTCTCCCCATTCCCCCTTGGAAGGTTTGTAGGATAATATAGGTGCGAGTTGCTCATTTGTAGAAGTCAAACTTATTCTCATCGCTCGTCCCCTTGACCTGGCTGCTATACGCATCCTCCAGATCCGATTGCAGGATCTGGTACCGGTTTTTGCGCACGGCACGCAGACCGGCCTCCTGCATAATCGCCGCAATAACGGCACCACTAAGGGGATCATTTCGGCAAATGAGAGAATCCAGATCGACCTCGGGCGCCAAGCTCATCTTGGAAGCAATCGTCGTGAAAATTAACCGCCTCTCACGGCGGTCCCGAAGCGAGGGGAACTCAATCTTGCGGTCGAGACGGCCCGGGCGCAGAAGCGCCGGGTCGAGGGTATCCGCGCGGTTGGTGGCCATGATGACCTTGACGTTGGAGGTTTGGTCGAAGCCGTCCATCTGGTTGAGTAGCTCAAGCAGAATACGCTGAACTTCACGGTCGGCGCCAGTCTGGGCGTCGAAACGCTTTGTCGCGATGGCATCGATCTCGTCGATGAAGATGATGGCTGGGGCGTTTTCGCGGGCCATGCGGAAGACGTCGCGCACCATGCGCGGACCCTCACCAAGGTACTTCTGCACGAACTCGGAGCCGACGACGCGGATGAAGTTGGCGGTCGTGGAGTTGGCGACGGCCTTAACCAACATGGTCTTGCCGGTACCCGGCGGACCGTACAGAAGCACACCGCGTGGCGGGTCGATACCGATCTGCTTGTACAGGTCAAAGTGGGTCAGAGGGAGCTCGACGGCCTCGCGGATCTCCTGCTTCTGCATGTCGAGACCACCAACATCGGCGTATGTAACATCGGGCTTTTCCTCGGCGCGGAGCATGGCGATGGATGAGTCGGCCTCGGGAGGAAGGATGTCGACGAGCGCGTTCGAGTGCCGGTGTAGGGCAACAGATGAGGAGGGCTTGAGCTGCTCGCGGTCGAGTGTCGATAGGATGCGCACCACATAGTTGGATCCCGTGCTGGATTGAACGATACCGGTGCTGCTTAGAGTTAGAGAGGGCAAAGTCTAGGGATCGTGGAGCGAACGGGACGTACTTCTGGTCAATGGCCTCCATGAACTGGCCGATGACTAGCGGCACGCTCTGGATGCGCTTGATCTCCTCCTGGGCGCGCACCAACTCGCGCTTCAGGCTCCTCTGTTCATCCTTGATGTATTCCTCTTGCAGCTTGATGAACTCGAGCTGCCGTTGCAGGCGCTTCAGGGTCGCATAGTTGTCGCCGTCTGTTGGCACGCCCTCGAAGTTGTCAATGTTGGGGATGGTTGACGGGGCGCTCTTCTTGTGGGGAGGGACGTCGTTGGTGGTGTTTTCCACGAGGATGTCTCCCATGTTGGACTACTGGATCTGGGGCGTGGTCTTAGAAAGGACTTGGAGGGAAGGTCTGGGTTTGGGCAGGTGTTTTCGAGGTTGGACTGGGCTAGTTGTCTTGGGCGTAGGAGAACCGTTTCGCCACGAGGTTATGAGGTATGCCAGGGCCGTGTCTCTGGCAGCAGGACGGGGCGGGCTATGAGGAATGTTTGGTGATGGATTGGGCTCGAGGCTTACTTCGATGGTGTTCGGTTGCTTCAGGTTCAAAGTTGCTTTCGCCGCCCTGTACTGCAGCTCGTCATCCGCAGCAGCCTGAGAGACTGGCCCCACCGCCCGCGTTCTTGGCAGACCCTGGCCAAGAAGTCGCTTTGCCAAGCGCCAAGCTGGAAGTCATCCAGTGCCTACACTGTCAGGTGAGGCGGCGGCTTTGCTGGTGGTCTGTGCTTGGTGGGGCAGGTGGGGGTTTGAGGCAGGTGAATCAGCATGGAGACTCCGTCTGCTCGCCTTGGGTTGAAGCCAGGCTCTTCATATTACAAAAAAAGTATCCTGTTCCTCCTAAGAGAAATATATGAGAAATGTTTTAAGATCCTCGTTGTAATCTATTCAAGCGTTGACTGGGCCTGTTGAGATGTCCTCGCTCCCGGCTCGATGGATAGTACACAGTACCCTGCACTGTATACAATATATTGTTACGCCCAGGCCCAGTTGGCATCAGGAGGTTTCAAGATCGCCTTATCGCCGGCACCTCCATGACAAACTGGAGACTTGGAGGCCGTGTCGCGATTGTGTCAATTTTCCTGTCAAGCAGCTCGCGGCACATATACCCGATGGCGCCCCCACAACCGTTAGACGACTCGAAGAGAAAGCAATGTTAAGTGCGCTTTGGAGCTTTCATCCATCAGCATGAACATCACTGGTGGCTCACAGCCTGCCACTCAGCCACTGCCCGGTTAAAGGTGACCTCGGTGCCATCATGTGCAAGGGTCCAGACTAGCCCCAACACCCCAAGACAGAAGACCGCCTTAGGTCCCGGGCCCGGGCGCCCGGGGGAGAATGCTGTCAATTGCAATGGATGCTTGAGTGCCATGTGGTGGTGACTCGGCTCGGCTGCAGCTGGTCTGGCAGCTGCCCACCTGGCTCCAACCACTGCTCGCCGCTGCTGGGGCGGCAGCTGCCTTGTCCCTCTTCTTGATCAGGCTCCAGGTCCCCGTCGCTCTTAGTCACACTTGGTCCAGGCCATTCTTCGACCGTTTGCCATTCACTTGCTCCTTTCTTCCAGTCACACTCTTGCACAAACCACACATCTGTCCTCTCGCACTTCCTTCCCCAAGACTCGACATCCTTATCCCCATCCTCATCATCGCTGTCCTCCTTCCTGTCCTCCCTGTCGTGCCCACGATCAAGCCGTCCCGCACCCATCTTCTCACCCACACAAATCGCGGCCTGCCGCCCGTTCGGCCTGGTTGTCGGGCCTGTAATCTACATCCTCATCGTTGCTGAACCGCTTGGATGGTCATCCCGCTGAACAGCTCTGTCTGTGTGGTCAACAGCAGAAGCAAAAGCAGCGGCAAACATTACCACTTTGACTTCTGTGAATCTGCTATATATATAACCTTCTTCGCCCACTTCTAACAGCCGATTAAACGAAGTCACGCTGCCATCATTGTCAGCTGGTGGCCTTCCACGAACTCAAGCAAGAGGATCTTCCCCCCTCGTTTTGTAATTGCTGCCTTAACGCTCCTGTCAATGGACAGTACCATGCCGTCTACGTCCATCGCCATTCTGGACCAGCGCCGTCGCCAGTCGACGGCCGAGTCCGCGACGAGCTCGACGCCCTCGTCGTCCTACTCGAGCTCTTCCAGCACTCCAGCGCCCTCTCCCCAGTCGGCGACCGAAAGGGGGAAGCCTCAGACGAAGCATGTCCGGCGCCAGAGCTTCCTGAGTCCGTCTTCCCGTCTCTTTACTGTTTCCATCCTGTGTCGCATTCTCGAGATTTTTGAGTCCTCTCTTTCGTTTTATGTGGAACCACACTGACAAGAACGCCGCGAGGGGCGATTCAGGCCAGGCGTTCACCCAACAAGAATGCACCACCATCACGATCGGCGATGACCCAGACGGGCCGCTCCGGCTGGTAAGCAAAGCCCGTCCTTTTATCATTGTTTTTGCCCGCTGTTGTTACTTTTGCTGCTGTGTTTCCTGTGTTCTGCGGTTGCGCTGCGCGACGGGTTACAGTGTTGCTTACGACGGTGCTACCGCCACCCTACTCGGGCTGGCGGGCTGCCTTTGCTTGCTCCACACAGGTCACATATGTCTCCTATGCCCAGGGCTTCATCTGGAACCCTGAAATCTTCGTCCCCTCGTACTGCGATTTCGACTATGTCCCGCTCGAGCAGCGCCGCGACCCGGTCATCGAGATCCACGTCTCCGACGAGGACGCTAGGCGGATCCTGCCGCATAGCTCGTAACCCGGGCGGCGGCTCGTCTGTCTGCGGCGGAGTAGACATTTACACTCCTGTCTGCCAGCAGCGGGAAGAGTGGAGTTCCTACACGGCGGGCCCAACGCTTTCGCAGACCGGCTCTGATCGACAAGAGGCATCTGACGTCGGGAGTAACGGAACCCCGAATAATTCCGCTGATGCACTCTTATCTTCGGTTTTCTCGGAACTGTTTTATGACATTTGTTACATCAGCAGCCCGCATGGACGGGTTCTTGGGGGACACTATTCTTTTTGAGACAGGTCTTTTGGAGCTGGAGTTTGTTTTATCTGTTCACAGGAGAAGAAGGGCGGCATGGGACGGAGAATACTGGTTCATGATTCATTGTTATATCTTAGGTACTCGGAGTTTGTGTCTGTGTTTTGGCGTTTCAATCCTCTCTGTAGCACTCTCACACCTCTCTTTTCTGTTGTATTTTTGTCCAGGGTAGTAGATCTTTCCTCCGCTCGGTGGCAGTTATCATGGCAGTTGTTGGTGATGCTTTGGAAGTAGCCTTCTAGGGCCGGATGGATGAAGGGCGTCTGGGGCTTGGGAAGTCTTATACCTATCTGAACTAAATCCATGCAATATCTGTATCCCCGGTCTCAGACAGAATGTGAATGTACCCAGCGACCAGCAAACTTACCATCTGCATGTCTTGATTGCATCACATCACCTTGAACTATTCCATCGCTTCTCTTGTGGTGATTCAACAGCGCGGGCCCCATATCGGTGAGAGCCCCGCCGCTGCTGCTCCCACCCCACGACGGCAGCAGCGTTGAGTCCCGCTGTCCAGCTTGCCGGATCCACAATTGGACAGTGTTTAGAGCGAACAGATGGCACTGTGTGACACGGAACGAAACCCTTGTTCGCTTGCTTATCTTATCGATAAGTTTGGTAGGTTGCAGCAACAGCGAGCAGGTCGGCGCGAGCTACTGCAGCGCGATGGGTCGCGATGCAGTAACGCGCCGTGGCGATGGAACGGAAGATGTTTACTTGCGAATCTTGACACAATAACTTAAGCTATTACGACGCTGTTTGCGACTGGACTCTGAACCAGGGGATAATACTGCATTCTAATCTTGATTAATCACCTCAATCTGCCCCCCCCAATCCACTAACGCCCCTTCATTCACCCTTCCTACTACGTCCATAGCAAGCCCCCAACGAACCCCACGTCCAACTTTTGTCACCCAAAGTAAACAGCCGCCATGGACCCCGCCGTCCACCGCCGTATCGAGCTCCAATCTCCCGAGGACCTAACCTACCTCATCAACAACGTACGGCGCGCCGCCGCAGACAGCATCAACGCCGCCTTCCCTCCGGTCGAGGGTACCGCTGCAGATGAAGACGAACTCAGGTCACAGATTGAACAGCTTGTCGAAGACGTACGTCCCCTTCTCCCTCCCCTCTCTTCCTCCAACGTCAAAACCTGGTGACTGACACTTTTTGTGAACAGTACATCCGCCGCACCTTCACCCTAGCCTTCCCCAACCTCTCCATCAACGGTCTTCCTATCACCAACCCCTCCGTCTACCTCTCCCCGTCCCCCGGTGGTCCCTCAGACCCCAACGAACCCCTCTACGAATACGAACCCTTCGATTCCTCCAAACGCGAGCGTATCGAGTCCCTCATTGCGCAAGAAGAGGACCTCCTTCGCACCATCGCCTCCCTGAAACGTCGCGCGCCCCAGGCGGCGTCCGCCCGCTGGGCGGAGGCATCGTTGGCAGGGATTCAGGGCGATGAGGAGTTGAGTAGAAAGGTGTGTGAGCGGGTTGAGAGGGAGGGGGAGCAGGCAGGGAGGAAGGTGTTGGAAGGGTTGGGGGAGCTGGAGAGGCAGGTGGAGGTGGAAGGGAGGTATCGCGAGGCGGTTGAGACGCTAGGAAGGTTGAAGAGGGAGATGGGGAATGCGGTGGCCAAGATGGAGAGGGCGAGGGTTGCAGCCGGGTATGTTACAGGCGAGGGGAAGGGGGGGAAGTAAGGCAGGTTGGAGGAGAGATGTCAAGGGGATGGAAAATGGAGAGAGGTCTAAGGATGAGGTATGGGATCTAGGCAAGGTATGGACGGCGTTTGGCACGGGACACGGGTTTCCTTTTGGGTCGGTTGGGTAGCTAAAGGATCACAAGTCCAAGCTTGCAAGGAGTCTATTGTGTATCCATGCGGCGCGATCGCGATATTACGGAAGAAGCAGAAGATGATAAAGAAGACAACCAAAGGATGTCGACAGGGACGACGAGTGCATAGCTCGACAGGTAATGATGTCGGCAATGGGATCACCATCACCCTCTCCCTTGGATCTTGAACAAGACTGCCACAGAACCAGCTGCTAATCCTGAGCAGCCGCAGAGACCTGGGCGGCCTGGAAGTGTCGGTCGCACTCTCCCATCCCGCCGGTCCATCCGATGCTGCTGCTGCTGCTGCTGCTGCTGCTGCTGCCAGTCGGCGGCCACGGACAAAGGCACGGTGTTCTTCCGCGTCGGACTGCCGATTCCCTCTATGCGGCAGCCGGAGCAGGAGCATCGGCCTTGGCGTCAGCGGCAGCACCCGCATTCAGATCGGCCTCGGCGGCCTTGACCTCATCAGCCGGCAGTGACGCCTTGCTCTCGCTGCCCTGCTGCTTCTCCCACCAAGCTGGACGAGCCCACTCTGCCTCGCGCCACGGGCCCATATCACTGAGCGCGCAGCCGCCGGGGCACTCGCAGGTACCGCCAAACTCCTTGGGCAGATTCTCGGCCGGGATTTGGTTCAGCAGCTCCTGCTTGTAGTTGCTTCCCAGGACGTGGATCTTCTGCACAGTGATGGGATCCAGCCAGCCCTTGATGACGCTCCAGACAGTGCTGAAACCCCAAGGGGCGTTAATGATGTACAGCTTGCCCAGACGCTCCGGGTAGTAGTTTTGGCTGAGCGCGCTGGCCTGCTTGACGTAGCCATACACCGACGGCGCCTTGGTGATGCCCACGCCCTTCATGTCCATGATGGTGCAGCACGTCTCCAGGAGAGTGCCGGCCTTGCGGCTGCACGCCGGCAACCGCGGATCAGCCAGCCGCTCGTACTCGACTGCCAGATTCGTCAGCATGCGCTCGGCAGTCGTGATGTTGTACATCGCGTTCAAGTCGATGCCGCCGAGCTGCTCGATGTAGACGGGCCGACCGTCCTGAGCTTGTTAGTCACATGGGGTGCCCAATGATCTTGTGTGTACGTACCTTGTCAGTCTTGTGGTAGTACTGGGGGTAGTACTTGAAGATCTCCTCCTTCTCAGGGTACTCCCAGTTCGGCACCGTCTCGTCGAGCTTGGTCTCTTCCCGCCACTTCTCGCAGTCGATGAACCTGCACATCGCTATCAGCATCAGAACCCCTCCTTGCGATGATTCTGCTTGGCTTACATCTTCTTGGAAGCCTCGACATCGAACTTGCGGGCGCGCAGGAAGCGCAGCTGTCAGGCGGTCAGCAGTCACACCCCAGCAATACCGAACATTTGCCCTCAAAAAAAAAAAAAGAATCCATACCAGAGTTAGAGTATCGAGACGCTTGGTGTAGCCCTCGGCCTCGAGCAGCATACGCAACTGGTGGACCTGAGCCTGCTGGGCGGGCGTCAGATAGCCGGGGTGTCCGTTCTGAGCGACGGCAGCGGTGGTCGGGTAGTCATAGTTGTCGTACTTGGGTTCGAGCTCCAAGGGTGCGGGGGCCGGCTGCGCCATGGTGTCTGAGGGTTTATCTGCTTTGACGTATGTGGTCGGTAAGGCTGAACTGGCTTAGGACAAGATGTGGGATGTGGTGTTGATAGGAGGGGTGGGTTGGATGCGTGGCGAGCGCTACCTTAGGTTTTCGGTATAGTTACCACACGGTACTTTACGGAAATTAGCTCAAATATGCAAGAATGCAGGATTGACGATGCGGATGAACGGGAGTAGAAAAGGCCGCCGCCGACCGGTATGTTGTGTCAGTAGACAGTCAGGGGGGAGCGAGATGGAAATGTGAATGAAGAGTTCCAAAAAGTCGGGTTGGGGCTGAAGAAGGGGAAGTTGCCAGCGTGCGTGCAACAGCAGGCGGGTGACAAGTGTGGAAATGCATCTGGCGGCCGGGAAGTGCCTGAAATGCATCAAGGGGGCCCCGCGCTGCTGAATTTTCGCCATGGGCGGCCGGTCCCAAATCGCCCGCTGCAGCAGCCAGCAGCAGCGCTGGACCATTCTGGGGCTGGCCTCAGATCCCTTACAGCATCCTCTGACTGGCTCGCTGGGTCCCAATATGCGGCCAGCCAACTGTCTACTGTACCCACTCACGGGGGGGCACAGTTCGCCCCGCACTCCAGCTTGCCTTGGGCTGGTTGGATCCCTTTGCTAGCGCGTCGCCGCCACAAGTCCAGTTGGCCTAGGATCGACACTGTACAATCGCTGCGTTTTGGATGGCGTCTCCTGAAACATGCAAAATCTCCGAAACAAATCATCATCGCCGTGGATGGCATAGTTGTGGTATAAAAAAGGCCGGATGGGGATGTTTGATGAGGGTTTTTTTTTTGGGACCAACAGCCGTCCCAGGTTGCTGACCAGTGACCACGTTTTGCGTTGTCGACTTACACAGACCATTTCCCATGCCGTACTCGCACCTTAAACCAACCATGTCCAGCTGTCCGGGACTCCTTGATGGACTCTGTGTGATACATCAGGCCAGGCACGTAACAGCGATGTGTAGCAATTGATACACACGGAGGGGTTGCTTACAGCATGGCCTAAGCCTGTTTTCTTTCCATGGGATATCGTGTGACGAAGACCGGCGTCCTGCGCCGTAATTATCCTCATTATGAGCTCTTTCCTTTCCTCCTCTCTTCCTCCTCCTTCTCCTTGCGCTTTTGTACGACGTCCCAGTTGTACACTCTCGCGATGGCGACCTCCATGGTCTACAGCAGTCAGCACAGTGGCCAGATATGGCACAGATGTTGTGAGTACTTACCGTGATCTGCTCGCGCAGAAAGTCCAGGTCCTCTTCGCAGTTGGCCAGACTCTGCTTTGCTGCCTTGAGCTTCGAATCTAGGAGCTGCTCTGCCTCGTCGAGAGGATACGCTAGCATGACGTTGGCCTGTCACCATTAGCCCCTGGTATCTTTACCACGCCCCAGCAGGATGCCATACACCAAGCCAGAGATAGACCTCGTCCGTCGGCGGAATCTCGGCCTTCGCATAGAGCGTGTCGTTCAGCTCAAAGGTCGTCTCAATCGAATCCGACTCGGACTATCATGTCATCAGCCCAATTTCGTTTCTCGCCGAACTGTCCATTCCCCGTACCGTCCTGAGCTTCAAGAACCGCACCGTATCCAGGGTCTTTTGGATGTCTGGCATCTTATCCTTCAGACCGGCTACCCTCCGCTGCAGGTTTTGCTCCATGAACTGATACTTCCTAAGCCCCGCCCATCTCAGCATCAGTATCAGCCCTGCTGTCGCAATTGGGTCTCGTCGCTCGATCCCACTCCTAATGAGAAGAGCCTTACGCAATCAGCTCTTGGAATCGCCGCAGCGTCGGCTCAACATCGTCCCGCGACGACACATAGTCCTCGACCTTGTCGACGAACGGCGCATACGGAATGCCGCGGGGGTTCGAGGGGGTAGCGTCCCTGGAAGGAAAGGGAGGGGTCAGCAAGGCCCAATGCTTCCAGATGATAGGGGTCTATTGAGTAGGGATCCTGTACTGACTTAGTCGCTGTTTCTTTTGCTTGACTCTCCATCTTGTCCAATCTTTCACGTGTCACATCGACAGCACTTGGACGGCCAAACCAGGGGGGTCAAGCCAAGTCAACAAGATGACGTCGAAAAATTCATGGCGGGGTTGTTCGTTGGGCAGAGCTGCTTGTCAACGAGGTAACGGCGCTCCTTGGTCGGTGGGGCAGCATCTCGGCCTGGACCGGGTACAGTGATGCTGTATATTCGCACTGTCCGGATAAGGCTCGCCTCTCACTGACGATAAGCAAGCCGATATCGCGAGCCGAAGATCGACATTTCACCGCGACTAATGTAATATGACGCTCGAGGCAATTATCTGAAAGCATTGTACAAGTTCATCACTGCAGACCGCCTTGCTTTGATGTACGGATCCGTGAGAAGATGTGGATTGTATGGTTGATTGCCTTGCAACGGGTGGCCACGGGTCTCGAGCTGCCGCGTGGACAACACAGACAGCACAGTGTGTCAGAAGGTTGATGGCTCCACACACTTCTCCGCGTGACAGCAACCCTCGGACCAAAACAGGCAAAGCGCTGCTAAACAGACCATGCAAACTGCCTAGTTCGGATGGCTTTGGTACTTATACGTACGGGCTCCCTGGTTGCAGCGCTGCCTGGGGCCAGTGCCAGGACGGCCCAAGACGGCCGCTACGTAATCTGAACCCAGCGACAGCACCCGCCCAGCACCTGCAGGAACACCTCAGCCAGGCCGCCTCCCGCTTCGTTCTTCCAAGGTTCCATTCATCCAGTCACAGCCTGGATCTGCTGCCATCACTCCGTCATCCTATCCATTCCATCCCTTCCCCGTGTTTCCCCCAACCTCTCCCCTTTCCTGCATCTCCAACACCTGCATCAACAAACCGCGTGACTGTGCATTCTACATCTACATAACCTCTCCATCGCCTCGTCGGTGGGATTGCTGCCACCGTCGATTGCTAGTATCTATTTTCTCTCCCCCCTCCGCCTTCTCATCAACCGCTCACCCTAGATATTTTGTTATTGCCAGAGTCGCCCAGCATGAAGGGTGCTCTCCTGACCGCGGCGGTGCTGCTCGGCTCGGCCCAGGGCGCCGTGCACAAGCTGAAGCTCCAAAAGGTTCCTCTTTCGGAGCAGCTCGTAAGTTGATTTCGTGAGAGACTTGTTGCGCTTGTCGCGCGCTCACTTACACGTCTTGCAGGATGCCGTCCCGATCGAGATCCAGGTCCAGCAGCTGGGTCAGAAGTACATGGGCACCCGCTCGCGGCAATCGCACTCCGATGCTGTTTGGAAGGGCATGATGCCCGAAGCCATGGGCAGCCACCCGGTGCCCATCTCCAACTTCATGAACGCTCAGTGTAAGTGTTTCAGGGAAGCTCAGTATACAAGAACCGCCCTGACGCAGCTCAGATTTCTCCGAGATCTCTCTTGGCACTCCTCCTCAGACCTTCAAAGTGGTGCTGGACACCGGCAGCTCCAACCTCTGGGTGCCTTCAGTTGATTGCGGCTCGATCGCCTGCTACCTTCACACCAAGTACGACTCGTCGGCGTCGTCTACTTACAAGCCGAACGGCACAAAGTTCGAGATTCGCTACGGCTCTGGCAGCCTGAGCGGCTTCGTGTCACAGGACGTTCTGCGCATTGGTGATATCACCGTGAAGGGGCAGGACTTCGCCGAGGCTACGAGCGAGCCCGGTCTAGCCTTCGCCTTTGGCCGCTTTGACGGCATCCTCGGTCTTGGCTACGATACGATCTCGGTCAACCGCATTGTCCCCCCCTTCTACAACATGATTGAGCAGAAGGTCATCGACGAGCCCGTCTTCGCCTTCTACCTTTCCGACACTAGCGGTCAGTCGGAGGTCACCTTTGGTGGTATTGATAAGACCAAGTATAAGGGCAAAATCACGACGATCCCGCTCCGCCGCAAAGCCTACTGGGAGGTTGATTTCGACGCCATCTCTTATGGTGACGACACCGCTGAGCTGGAGAACACTGGCGTCATCCTCGACACCGGCACCTCTCTCATTGCTCTCCCCAGCCAGCTGGCCGAGATGCTCAACGCTCAGCTCGGTGCCAAGAAGAACTTTGCTGGCCAGTACACCATCGACTGCGCTAAGCGCGACGCCCTTAAGGATATCACCTTCACCCTAGCCGGCTACAATTTCACCCTGACCCCGTATGATTACATCCTCGAGGTCAGCGGCAGCTGCATCTCCACGTTCATGGGCATGGATTTCCCTGCGCCTACTGGGCCCCTTGCCATCCTGGGTGATGCGTTCCTGCGCAAGTACTACTCCATCTATGACCTTGGTGCCAACACTGTTGGTCTTGCTGAGGCTGCTTAGTAAATGGGGTTTGATATTCTTACGACCACTACGTACTGACAATGAGGGTGAGGGGGGTGGGTGAGATGATGGTACGGATGGATTGCGTTGACTCTGGGTATTGGCTCGGCATCTCCTAGTTGTCCTCCTGTGTATCTTTTGCTCGCGTCTTTTACATGTTTCTTCCTCGTCCTTAGGTTTAAGTATCTACACACACCCCTCCGTACCGAGATCGTCAATTTTCCGTGACATGAGGTGTGTGAGTGGGCTTATGCGGTGGACGTAATAACCTCCTATGAGATATGGGTTGCATGGGAGTCTGTAATGAGCGTATTGCTGTAGGAATTGAACATTGCATATGATCAATCAGGCCTTCCAGTCCAGAACCGTCCATTGTAGAAGTGGTATCTGACGAAGTGGGATACCCAGTCAAGCTATGCTAGTAATAGAAAACCACCCTTTCCCCTATCCTTTTTTTCCCTAGGTCTTGGCACCCATTAACAACCCTCTGGTTAATCGTTTCCATCATAGAACATAGGAAAATAAATGAAACACAACACCATACATGCTGATCCGTACCAGCCGTCTCCTGTATACCAGCCCAACTTCTCTCAAGTAATCCAACAGAGGATTTACTTCTTGAAAGTAGCCGTCCGGCCCTTTTTCGCGTAATTGAGGTTCTTTTCCGGCCGAAGCTCCTCCCCGCCCAGTTGCCGTTGCGTATACGGGTCGAACTTCTTGCCACCCTTCCCGCCATTCTGTGCCGGGGCATCCTCCTCGCCGGGGGGTTTATTTGCGTACAGCACGGACGCAGCCTTGGTGTAATCAAACGGTGTTTCCTCTTCCTCTTCCTCCTCTTTCTTAGCCTTCTTGTTACTCTGCTGTACCGGGCCTTGGCCCTGAGCCTGTTTCGCCTGACGCGCAGCTTTCTTAGCTGCCCTGCGTGCCCGCTTGGCCTCCTTCAGGGCGGCTTCAGCTGCGGCACGTGCCTCGGGGGTGTCGGTAGCGGCGGCCTCGGCGGCGAGACGCTTGGCTTCTTTGTGCGCTTTGCGCGCTACCTTACGGAGGGCCTTTTCATCTAATAGTTGTTGTTGCGAGGCGTTCTGTTCGGCAATCTCGCCATCCTCTTCTTCTTCGTCCTCGGACTCACCTGCTTCAGCATCACTATCGGAGGCGGAGGCTGGGACTGAAGCGAATGTTGAGGCAGCCGCTGAATCCTCTTGTTGTTGTTGCTGCTCGAGGCCAGCATCGCTGACCTTGCGCTTGCGGCCTGTGCCCTTCTTGAGGGTGAAGCCCTCATCCTCCTCTTCGTCGGACTCGGCCTTCTTCTCGCGCTTCTGCGACTTTGCTGGCTCCGGTTGGGCTTGTTCGGCACTGAAGTCAACGTAGAACAGCGGAATGACAACCACTCCTTCCATGTTGGGCTTCTTGGTGGCAGGATCCCAGACCGAGCTAAGCTGGACGTCACCCCAGAGTTGTGATCGCGTGCTCTTCAGCTCTTGGGCGTTGGGCAGCGGAGTCTCGCTCGGGGGGTTACGAAGGCTGGGCAGCTTCTTGCCGAGGATGGCCGGACCGGTGGTAAATTGCTTAAAGAATTCCAGCATAGTCGGGCCAGTACAGCCTTTGTTGCGGGCCTCCTGGATGAGATCAAACAGTTCATCTAGGTAGGGCTTGAGGACGCCGGCGTTGTGGTTAAGCAGACTCCACAGCGCCTTCTTGTCACTAGGAAGGATGCGCGCAATGTCGGCGAGGATCTGCTGGGTCATGAAATACTGCGGGCTCTCGTCCTCGCGGCGCGCCAGGTCATCGCGCCATTTGTGAACGGCCTTGTAGACCGCGAATTGCTCCCTGTTGTAGGCAGCTGGCGACTTGCATAGGGTGTTGAACCAGCCGCGCGCGCCAATGCCTGTCTCGGGATCGCAGGTCAGGTGCTCGTACCGCTGCAGCGACTCTTCTTTGGAGCGCTTGATGACGCGGTCGATGGGCTTGCCGTCCGGGTGATTCGCCGCTGACAGTTCGGCCAGCTCGTTGCGGAGGTGGTCGTAAATGTAAAGGAGGAAATGCGTGTCCGAGCGCGCGTAGTAGAACATCTCCTCAGGGAGAGGCCTGGGTACAAACGTTAGCTAAACGGAGGAGCGACGGAATAAACTTGGGCTTACCGGATCCGCCAGTCCGCAAGCTGATACTTCTTATCAGCATCGAAGTCCGCAAACCTCTTAAGAAGATATGCCAGACTCTTTCCCGGGTAACCGAGGACGTCACTAGCATAGTATGTGTCGAAAAGCCCAACAATGTATAAGCCAAGGTCACGCTGGAGCCAGATGATATCCATGAAAGCACCATGAAGGACCTTGACGATCTTCGGATCGGCAAAGACCTCGTTGAGGATCTCGAGCTTGTGTCTCCACGGAACCAAAGTGTCGACAATCCAATCCTTCTCTCTTGTGCTGATTTGCATCAGCGATAAAAGCCCATTGTAAGACCTGAAGTCATGGTGCTCCAGGTCGATGGCGATCTCGGTTGCCTTCTTTAGTTCCTCCAACATCTCCAGCACACCCTCCCAAGTATCCACCCAAATAGCCGTCGTGGTCTCAATGGGCTGATACTTGATCGGTTCGCGACACTGGAAGACTTCGGGCGGATATTTCAAGTTCGTGATCTCGTACTCGTAAGGATGCTTGTACTGGGTGAGGCCTTCCTCGGTAGTAAATGTGGTTAAGCTGCTCTCCAGAGGGAGCTGCGCATGAGGCTTTGTGGTCAGGAGAGGCTTCCAAGGCCCCGTTGGGAAGTTGTCGACCTTTTTCTCGAACGCATTTTGCGGCTTAAGTATGTTGGCGCGCTTGAGCGACCAATCAAGACGTTCGTAGTTCGACTTCGATCGCTTAACATCCCGACCCTAGATGATTCTGTTAGCAGAGATTCTCACTACAGCGCAAGAGGCGGGTGGTCATACCGCTTCCGTTGTAGGCGCATCCTTCCTTTTGATCAAGCCCGTGTACTCATCCAAGCAGGTATCCGCCTTCTCGAGGAGGGAGTCGATGACATCGACCACGCCCTTCCATTGAATCTCAATGTCGTCCACATCCTCCAAGGTAGTTGTTCTCTGGCCAGTAAGCTTGGCAGCTGATTTGATAACACCGTTGGCCAGGCGCAACAGGCAATCGGTGTTCTTGTCGAGCTTGGCGGCAACGGTAGGATGAGCGGTTCTCTGGAACTGGATGTCCTCGTTCGCGAGCGCGTTGACCGACCTTGTGACCGTGACTAGCGCCGATTGAACTGCCTCGCGCAAGGCATTGAAGTCCTTTGAGTCCTTCGACTCCATCGCGACAGCACTGTAACAGCGGGCTTGGTGCTTGTCGCGGGAACAACAGGAATTGAGGGGAGGCGCTACAGACTTCTAACCTGAACCTCGTAGCCGCTGCAGTTGTGTTGGAAAAGGTTCCTGAACTTTTCGAGGATCCGCTCTGGTCTTGGCTTGCGTTCGATAAGGCTGCGATAAGTGGGGTGATAAGATAAGAAGGCCCCTGTCGCACGGTGAGCTGCAGCACCTTGAGGTCTGCAGGCCGCAGTGAGTTGTAGCCGGTTGTTTATACGTACCAGAACCCACAGCTTCATAGCTCTCGCCGCTTAGGGACGAATTTCTGAACATCAATCACGAGGACACCAAAAGGAGGTCTCTCTTCTTTCTTGTCTTATTTCAGAAACATCAGGGTTCTCGAGCCCAAACGCAGTGGCGAATCCCAAACCAAGCATCCGGCTTAGTCGGCTCAAGCTTCATCTGCTTCAATTCATTCGCTACAAAGAGAAACGGAGCGAAACGGCATTTTAAATTCAGTCATCGGTTCATTTGCCGGACTTAAGTGTGTCATAAAGTTGGAACCCAAAATGTCACAATCACTGGCCCCTGAGTGTAATGAAGTGAAGGAGTGAGTATCCTGCGGAACCCCATTTTCTATCACGGAATGGCTGGATACTAACAACTTCTGGGTCAGAAAATACGATACCTGCTTCTTGAAATGGTATAGCGAAAGTATGTATGTGAGATCGTTGATCTGCGAAATTGGATGCTCATAGTCACAGAGTACCTTCGTGGGATTGGGAATTCAGACAACAATGAATGTTCCGAACTCTTCAAGGAGTATAGCTCTTGCTTGCAGGTTGGTCGAGAATCCCAAAGCAGTCATCAGAAAACCTTTCTGACATGGCCAATCACAGAGAGCACTTAAAGAGCGTGGTATTGACAAGCTGATTGACGAGGCCAGAGAGGACATGAAAGACAAGGACACAACATATATGACCAGAAAAAAATGTAAGTTGCACACTCCAAGGTCAAAAACTTAAAACTGCCTTGTGGCTGACAACCTTTCACCAGGACACCATTCGTTTCCAATGTTGCGGCAAAGTCCTCTGTACTATATACCACACCTCAACACCCATCCTTACTACGTAATAGATCTGGAAATTGGTATTTGGTCTGACCATCGTCCTTCGTATTGCTGCTGGGTGATGCTGTTGATGTCCTGCCGGCTGCAATAGCGAAGCCAGCTGGCCACTCAGAATTTGCGGTCTCGCACGCGGACCAAATCCAAAACGCCCGTTCTAGACCCTCTGCCATTGGCGTGTGTCTCTGGTTGGGTGGGGCCAACTGCAAGGTGGGCAAGTATCCCACCCCTGATGCCGGGCGCGGCAGGTCACAAGTGGGCTTCAACAACACTCATTTGCCATTCACTTCCATTCGCACAGCATCCCGTCCCATCCAACAAGCTGTCAAGTGTCAACATCAACGAACTCGCCCCTTGCGCTCGTTCACGCAGTGCTACAGTACATTGGTAAACAACCACAACAGCGCTTTCATACGGTCTGCGGTCTCGTCATCGTTCCTTCAGAATATGCTTGTTTCGTAGCGATTCAGCGCGATCCCAGCGAATTCTATGCACCCCTTCTCCATCCTAACTCTCGGCATTTTTGTAGCTGGCTACATCACCGCTCGATGGGACCTGGTCACCCGTCTCTATGAGCTTGCTATCTTCGCCTGGAACTACGGAGTTGTTGTAAGCACCTGCCGGCATTTCTATCGAATTCTGCGGCTTCAGTAGACACAGCTTCTAACCGCATGCCTCTCGCCTGTCCAACTCATCTCAGACCCGCGCTGCTAAAGGCTTCGCTGCGCTGAGCCTCGTCTTCCTCCTCATCTTCATCCCCGTCGAACGGCTTGCCACTCGTGAGGCAGAACTGGTATGGCATGGCATTGGCTTGCCCTTCCCCGCAACCCTCGGGTCCCAATGCTAATCACCCTTCGCTTTGCCCAGCATCCTCGTGGAAACGGCCCCGGCATATCAGCTCGAGAACAACTCAGAAGACGCGGGTCTTTCTAGGTGATCCGCCGCGTCTCTCGTGTTTGACATGCCAGAGCACGATGGCTTGATGCGTGTGTTTTGGCCCGCCGACCTACCACGGTCCGAACTCAAGGGCGTGGTGGTGGGGTGGAGGAACTCGGCGCTCGACGTTTTCGTGCTGGCGATCCTAGAGGAGGTCGAGGTCTGTGGCTGCGCATAAGGACAACAAAACGGAGAAGGGACAAGCACTGACAACTGTCGCCAGCCCCGAAACGTTGAGACGGCTCTTAAGCTCGGCACCCTCCTCCGAAATGCCCCCCACCCGGTGAGCCGCATCTACGAACTCTGCGGTCAGTCGTCAATGCATGTACTTGGTGTGTCCAATACGACAGACTCTGCTGCGTTCGACCCATCGTGGATACGTGTCACTATCGGTCCACGCCGTCGTGTACCTGCCATTACATGCCCTTTGGCCTCGAGTATACAAATTATCCTCTTTGATCGCCCACTCCCGCAACGGATGCAGTATGTCTCGCTCAACCCGATAACGCTTTCCCTGGAGGACAAGCACGACAGCTTTAAGATGGCCGTGCCCGACGATGAAGACGAATCGGAGAGGGAGGAGCGTATCAAGAAAGAAAAGAAACAGAGGCTGGTCGAAAAGCTCAAACAACATTCGATATTCAAGCGAGTTCCCTCGGAGAAGGAGAAGGCGTTGGCCAGGATCGTCAACCAAATCAACTGGGCATGGGAGCTGGAGCAGCTGCTGCAGAAGAACGTCTCTCGCATTGGACCGCGTCCTAAGAGGAGCCTGAGCGTCTCGGAGAGAGTGGTTGAGTCGGCACAGAACGCCCGAGACATGATGGTGGTGTGGCTGTGGACTATGTTTATCACTTATGTGTGGCCCATCATTAAGAAGATCTCCGTCTGGATATTGATGGCGCTCCGGGTAGTGGCCGAGTTGTGTCTTATAGTCTTGGAGTGGCGGGCGCGCCCAGGGTATGCTGCGCTGAAGGATATTTCGGCCACTGCTCAACAGGTCGAGATTCGGCTCCAGCAGTTTTGTTACTGGCCGATGCAGTATATCACGCTACGCCTGCGAAAGCAGGATTGGGACAGCGTGACAACGTGTCATCCAGACTACATCCGCTTTTACAATAGCCTCTGGCTGGTGGCTAACGATATCATCATCGGAATTGCCTTGGGCTCCTACATCATGGACAACGCGAACTGGGTTGCAAACCGGATTAGCCAACTGCTCACTCAGTACACGGTCGAGGCGCTTCAGAGCAGTATATCGTGGCTGATGGGTTGGCCAGCGGGATTAAAGCTGAATAATGAGCTTGGTGCATTCCTTGGGGATCTCTTTCTGTGGGTGATTGATTATTGGTCAAGTAAGCCTTCAGCCCCCCCCCCCCTCCTCTTTTCCCTCTGCTTGTCTGTCGTTCATAACTGACAACGCCAGGTTGCATCGTGGCTCTCCGTCCAGCGTTACCGCACATCATCTGGTTCATAGGGGTGGCCAGCTTTGTCGGCGCTAGTCTGCCAATTGCCTTGTTTTCCGATCTTCTCTCGCTCCTGACGATCCATATCTACTCGTTTTACCTCGCTTCGGCCCGCATCTACCACTGGCAGCTCACCATTTTGATATCGCTATTCCACCTCTTCCGGGGCAAGAAGCACAACGTTCTCCGAAACCGAATCGACTCATGTGATTATGACCTCGACCAGCTCCTCGTTGGCACAATATTGTTTACTCTGCTTTTCTTCTTGCTTCCGACGGTCGTGGTGTTTTATCTCAATTTTGCAATAGCCCGCATGGCTATTATATCGCTCAAGGCTGTTTTCGACACTGCACTTTCGTGTTTGAATCATTTTCCGCTGTTTGCAATCATGCTTCGGGTTAAAGACCCCGGGAGGCTTCCAGGTTGGTCCTGGCTCTATCATCATTCCTCGTTTGGGTGTTTCAGTTGCTAACGCCATTACAGGAGGCATTCGTTTTGAACTTCGAGATACCCAAGAGTTTAGACATGGTGTTGATGACGCATCCGAGCGCCTGCCGTCGACCTCTGTAATCTATCTCAAGGTAAGACTGAAACCGGAGATTTATTTTTATGGGATGCTAAAGGCCTACAGTCCGTACCCCTGAGCTTCAAAGCCATGTTCCACCAATACTTCCAGCTTGGGCACCGCATTCGCAAGCACTACCTGTCGCCGCGTGTCGTGTTCTGCCTGCTCACGGGCAGGTTTGTACCACCGCTCAATCGCAAGAACCTGTACAAATTGCAGTACAGCATGCTACCCGCACGGCGAGCAGGTATCATGGAGTTGTGGAATGCGATCACCTCGCTCCCATCGTCCAACAAGAACAATGCTAGGGCGCCACCTATTCAGGTCCCGGTGTTGGCAAATGGGAGAAAGTTGAATCATCATGGCGGGGGAAGAGTACGGGCTTACGGATAGGCGACGATGATAGTGATGATGATGGGTTTACTGTAGATGAGGTAGCTGAGGGTATACATAGTGTTTTTTTCTTTCGGAATACAAAGAGATGACTTCGTACAATGTATCAGGGTCCCGGCATTCTGCAAGCAAGCAGTGCCGCCAGTGGATCATGATGCTATGCGGCTCGACAGTGACGCGTGTCTCAGCCCGGAAGCTTGAACCGGCGGACCGGTAGCTCTAGCACTTGCAGCTTACCCCTGAATGCCGTTGAGGCTTGGGAGCTTGAGACAGTCTAGAAGCTCCACCGGTCCCTGCCGAGAACTGCTTAAGCCGGTTGGGATCTATTGGAGGGAAGCGGTCATGGCGGTGTAGCTATAAAATTGTAATCATGTAATTATAAAGAAAGGAGACGGGCGGTGTGGTCTTGTCACGTAAACTTTTGCTGCTCTGCGCGTGTCTGTCGCGTCCGGGCTGTCTCTGACGTCACAGTATGTAGGACAATTACTGGCGAAAACGGCCGTCGAAATGTCCACCTGACTTGCAATTTCATGCGTTAGAGGCTTGAGTGTCTGACGTTGTAGCACCGCTCATATGATTGTGCGCCTGCTGTTGGTTGGTCGCTGGGGGGAACCACACAACCCGATATTCAGGAGGCTGATGTCGGCCGGCGGCTCGCTAGCAAAACCCCCCTGGGCCGCATTCTACAAGCAACCCCACTATGGGCGTCGCCAAGCATTTCCTGCAGATGTGGCCTGCCCCGCAGACCCCACTGGACCTGCCCCACCAAGCATTCAACCCATCATCGGCCGACCTGGACCCTGGGCACGCTCATCAGTGCGGCCCCCAGTCGCGCCTGTCTTTTCATGTGTCAAGAAGTTTGGACGGGAGACAACATCAGATCGTGTTCTTTTGGCTTTTTTTTTGTTTGCTGTGGAAGTTCAAATCAAAGAGCGCGTTCTGCGGTCAATGAAAAGATAAACTCAGTAACGGTGCCCTGCTTATTTATTCTGCCCAAATCATAAGTGGGAAGGTGAGAGTCCATCGCCACTGCGAATTTCCAGCTCTTCAGGAGACAGGAGTGATTGAAGCCAACACGGGTGATCCGACCCAACCCTCCAGCGCAAAGTCGGTCTATATAAAGCGAAGGCATCGCAGGACCCTCAACCTTTTCACCAAACATAAACCACTGACGATTTTACCCTCTTTCTTTCAACAGCGCCCAAGGTACACCTCTTGCTGGTCGCAGATCACACACTCCTTCTGACTCAAGCTAATCTCCCCTACTAAGGGATATAACCGTCCAAGTTGTGTACCTGTTTTCTCCTGAATGTAAGTAAACAACCCGGTTGATGTTATGCATACGCCGAGCCTGCACCGAGCCTAACCTTGCATCCAGCAACAACCTCACTTACACCAACACCTCTATTTCGTAACATATTTCAGAAGATGGATATGGATCCCAAAGACCGCTTCCATCGCCATTTCCACGATTCGGTCGCACGTATGTCTTCTCTCACCCCGACTTGACTCCCCTGTCGCAACCGACTGACCCCTGAACCTAGTGATCCGTGAAAAAATCGGAGAGCTTGAGAACGTTGCCGCCGTCGGCGGAGAGCGCCAGGATGCTATAGAGCACATCCTCGCCTGCCTGACGCGGCTCTCGAACGAAGTCGCCGACGCTTCGCACTATCTCCCCGCCTACGACCAGCGCACCTGCCAGGAAGCCATCAAGGCATTGCGCGAGCAGTTCGAAAAAGTGCGCGCGACCTTCAAGCCAAAGACTCGCTTCCAGTTTAAGAACCGCAACGGTGTGCCACACAAGCCGTTCCCTGCCAGTGAGTGCGACGGGGAGAACAGCAACTCGCGCGCTGGCGAGATGCGTTGGATGCCAGTGCCCAGTAGCAATGGAAACGACATCCCTCCGCCTAAGTGCGAGGATCCCCTCATGAATTTGCCGGGCTTGAAGCCTGCGCCTGCTCCGAAGAACTACAATGCTGTTATTGCGACTTCGACGGGGATTCGCAAGCCGAGTTTCTCTACGGTCAAGGAGATCAATATCGCCCATCACAGTGGTCTTCACATCGCGCTTCCTGGCACTGCTGCGGCTGCCACTTCATCCGGCACGGTCACCGAACTCGATCAGTGCGTTGTCGATATGTCTATTCCAACCATCAGTAGTGGTGTGCCTGCGCCATTGCCCTTCCGCAGCCTTGCGCTCAAGAACATCAAGAACAGCCTCATCATCTGCGGTCATGTTGAGGGTCCCGTTCACATCACAAACCTTAAGAACTGCGTTGTCATGGCCATGGCGCAGCAAGTGCGCATTCATGAGTGCGAGGACGTCACTTTCTACCTGCATGTTCTCAGCCGTCCGATCATCGAGGACTGCAGGAACGTACGGTTTGCCAAGACCCCTGCGGGTTATGTGAGTTATCCCTCTATTTCTTTGCTAGGGTTTGGAGGGGAGGACACTAACGCAGTTATGTCACAGCTGACTGAAAAGCAGCAACTGGAAGAGACCAACCTCTTCGATCAGGTCGATGACTTCAAGTGGCTCAAGGCCACCCCATCTCCTCACTGGAGTCTGGTCCCCGAGGAGGAGGTCATTCAGGAGCCCGTCTGGAAGAAGTACCTTGTTGGTCGTATCGGTCCGGCCAAGGTTGAGGACACCCTGCGTGCTTTTGGCATCCTGGGTAAGGACACCTGATTCTTGGTCAAGGTGTGACCCAAAGTAAAAAGCAAAACTTTGTCATGAGATATGAACATTATTCAGCGGCTCACTGGCTTTCTATTTCATGCCACGGCCCGTACTTTATTGTTGATAACGCGTACATAGTTGATGACGACCCCAAGCGATCTGTGTTAGGTTAGATAATGTAATACCCCTTTGCTATTGAGGGAATCTTCAATATTGGTTCTTTCGATCTCTTGTGAATTGTTGATTGCCCATAACAAACTTACGTTGCTGAATCGTGTCTTCTTAGGGTTTCGATCATTACATGGGAACAAACGCGACTCCGTTAAGGGACAAAGCCTAGGGATGATTTTTAGGGGACCGGAGACTCCACAGGGAACATCGGCTGGTCTATCAAGCTGTTGAAGCTTATCATCATGGGATCAGGTTTGGAGAGTAAAAAAAAAAACAAAAAGAAGAAGAGGAAGAAAAAGAAAAAGAAACTGTTCGCGTTTGCCAGTTTTTGCGAAGTCATCAGCAGTGGTATTGGGTATCATTGATTAGCAGATTATCTTCGTAAATGGTTCATCGTCGTAAGCGCGGTCATCGTCGACCATAAATCCCAAAAAATTCATGCCAACCATGCCATTCCCGCCTTCAGATCATCCTCAAATCGCTGTTGCCCCTCGAAGTATGGATAACCTTCCTCATCCCCAACCATCCCTACTCCATCGCCATCTTGTCTCCCGTCTCAACCAGCACAACCGGCGTCTCCCCTACCTCCCCAAACCCCTTCGACAACCTCGCCCCCTCCTCCTGCGCCTTGGCCAGCATCGCAGCCTGCTTTCGCCTCCGCTCTTCGAGCCGTGCCAGCTCTGCCTCCTGCTGGGCCATTGTCCGCGACATATCCCCCAGCAACCGCACCGCGGCCCGCGCCCGCTGCAATTTGTGCTTTATCGGGTCTGTGGTTGCCGGCAGCTCTTTGACAGAGTGCAGCGCGTTGGACGGTGTTGGGCCGGTCGTGGCGCTTGATGGGAGGGAAGTTGTGCCTATTGCGCCTCCGGCAGCTGTTGCGTTGGGTCCCGAGGACGAAGGTTGGCTGCCGGGGGCGCCTGTTGTTCCAGGCCCACCTGCTGCAGCTTGTGAGGATGGGTTGGCGGCTTGCTGCTGCTGGGCGGCGCGCAGCTTTTTGATGATGGCGCTCAGCTCGGTGAGCGTGTCAACTGCGTCTGGCGTGAGCCCTTCTGGCAGGGGTGCCGTCATTGCGCTTGAGGTTATGGCGCTAGGCTGTAAAAATATGGGGTTGAAAGAGCAATTGGCTGATGGGTGGTGAAGAATTGGTGGTATTTGCAAAGAGGTAAGAGTCGCGGTGTCAGTCGCTGTGTTTCCAGGATGGTGGTACTATGGCTGGCTTGGCACGGGCGTGTTCTGCGCTAAAAACTGAGTGGGGGGTCGCGGTGGCCGGCCGCTAAAAGTGGGGTTGAATGTGACGGTGCTGACAGGTGCTTTTACAAGCCTGTGGTTGTTGAACAGGAGCTAATCGACGTCAAGGCGGGGCACCGGAGTGGGCTGAGCAAGGGACGGAATCAACTGCCCCGCCATCGGACTCTCCAGGAGGGCTGCCCGCGGCCATATCCTCACTTGGAAGGGGAATCATCAACCACCACGTCCGCCCACACCCGCATCCATTCCTGGGATCTCCGCCTGTGATTTTCGTCGGTCAAGCTTTTATCCCGCATCCTGCCATTCTGCTGATTTCCACCATTTTCTTTATTAAACCCCATCCTTCAATTGGACTGTGTGCTCCGGACACTCCTGTCATTGTCACCGTCCTGTGTCGCGTGCTTCGACCTCTGCTACCCAGCGTCAAGGGTCCTGTCCTGTCTCCATCCCCAAGACCAGACCCTGATCTATCCATCGCCAAAAATTTCCCTGCCCCTCTCTACCCCTCACACAAACAGGCATCGCAAACTACAGTGAAGATGGCTCCCGATCACAAGGCTTGCCTGAGTACGTACCGTCGTCCCGACTACACGCTCGTCGTCTGCTACATCCTCATCTATCTGGAGCTGAGTTGGCTGATCATGTTGCTCCTGCGCTCCTCGTACAGTCGTGATTGACGGCTGGGGTATCCCCTCCGAAACCTCGCCTCCTGAGGGCGATGCCATCGCCGCTGCCAACACTCCCGTCATGGACGAGTTCTCTAAGAGCGCCACTGGTTACACCGAGCTCGAGGCCTCGTCCTTGGCCGTCGGTCTGCCTGAGGGTTTGATGGGCAACTCCGAGGTCGGCCACCTCAATATCGGCGCGGGTCGCGTTGTCTGGCAAGACGTCGTCCGGATCGACCAGTCCATCAAGAAGGGCGAGTTCAGCAGCAATGATGTCATCAAGCAGGTCATGGAGAGTGCCAAGAGCGGCAATGGCCGTCTGCACCTCTGCGGTCTGGTCTCCCACGGTGGTGTGGTATGTCCAACTCTCCGTGGGGGGAAGGATTGTCGTTCTCTATTTGATACTGACAGTCTCTGCAGCACTCCAAGCAAACTCACCTATATGCCCTGCTCCGCGCTGCTAAGGAGTACGGCGTCCCCAACGTCTACATCCACTTTTTCGGCGATGGCCGTGACACCGATCCCAAGTCGGGCGCCGGCTACATGGAAGAGCTCCTAGCCACCATCCAGGAGATCGGGGTTGGTGAGATCGCCACCGTTGTTGGCCGCTACTACGCCATGGACCGTGATAAGCGCTGGGAGCGCATCGAGATCGCCATGAGGGGTATGATCCTTGGCGAGGGTGAGGCCAGCCAGGATCCTGTCAAGACCGTCAACGAGCGGTACGAGCAGGGTGAGACCGACGAGTTCCTTAAGCCTATCATTGTGGGTGGCGACGAGCGCCGCATCAAGGGTGAGTTTTTCTACCTGGGGTATCAATTGGACATCAGAAGCTAATAACTTTCTTGCAGACGGCGACAACGTCTTCTTCTTCAACTACCGTTCTGACCGTGTCCGTCAGATCACCCAGCTTCTGGGCGACGTCGACCGCTCTCCCAGGCCCGACTTCCCCTATCCCAAGATTAACCTAGTCACCATGACCCAGTACAAGGCTGAGTACCCCTTTGAGGTTGCCTTCAAGCCCCAGGTCATGGATAACGTGCTTGCCGAGTGGCTCGGCAAGCAGGGTGTTGAGCAAGTCCACGTTGCTGAGACCGAGAAGTACGCCCACGTCACCTTCTTCTTCAACGGTGGTGTTGAGAAGGTTTTCCCTCTGGAGACTCGCGACCAGTCGCAGGATTTGGTTCCCTCGAACAAGAGCGTGCCGACCTACGACAAGGCTCCCGAGATGAGCGCCGACGGTGTCGCCAAACAGGTCTGCAAGCGCCTGGGCGAGGGCCGCTTCCCGTTCGTCATGAACAACTTCGCTCCCCCCGACATGGTCGGCCACACTGGTGTTTATGAGGCCGCCATCCTCGGCGTCGAGGCCACTGATAAGGCCATCGGCAAGATCTACGAGGCTTGCAAGGAGCACGGCTACATCCTCTTCATCACCGCTGACCACGGCAACGCTGAGGAGATGAAGTTCCCTGATGGCTCACCCAAGACCTCCCACACCACCAACAAGGTTCCTTTCATCATGGCCAATGCCCCTGAAGGCTGGAGCCTCAAGAAGGAGGGCGGTGTTCTGGGAGATGTTGCGCCGACCGTGCTGGAGGCCATGGGCCTGCCTGTTCCCGCGGAGATGACCGGTAAGAGCTTGCTGGTTAAGGCTTAAAGAGGAAAGATACCATATTTGTTGTGTGTGTCAGTGGGTGGAAAAGAATGTGATGAAGGCTAGTAATAGACATACCTATAGACTAGTTGATAAATTTGATGATTCATGGGACTTGATGACCTGGCTTGAGCTCTTTGTTTAGGGTCATGTGAACAACCAAGCACTTATGGATGTCTTACCTATTGTCGAGCGTTTTTGTTGGTCAAGGCGTCTTCTTGCTTTGCCCACTTGCCCATTTCAACATCGACACCTCCATATCGAGGTTCTGTTGGGAGTAGTAATTGCCTTAGAAAGTCACGCTGTTTCCAAGACTCAAGAACCACCTTGATTTTCCATTTCCCATTTTCTTACCTAACCTTCTCCCCACCAATTCATTTACTAATTTACTACGACCATGCAACCCTTCTTCGATTCTTGCTTCCTGCTCCAAATCAACCCTACCATCCCCGATCTCGCTGCCTTCAACCAAACACAGCAAAACCAACCCACCTCCCAATCTCCTTTCCAACAGCAACACAATTATAACTTTAAAATGCGACCATTTCAAACACGCTACCATACAGACCTCACCGTCGAGTACCAGAAACATCATTTTTCCAAGGTTCGCCGGTCTCGGCGGCGAGCGCCTGTTGGTCCCTTCTCCAATCTTGTGTAACTCGAGAGCAACTTTAGGCAAATCAGCCTTCTCCTTGACCTTGTCCTCCTCGTCTGGGCGGTAAGTCGGTTCGACTTGCTTCAGACAGGAGTGGTCAGACTGCAGGAACTCTACCCTCTTTTCTTCTCTCAAAGAGACGAAGCTCGATTAAAAACCGTAATACGCGCAAGGACGAAGTACATCCCTAAGTGACGGAACTCATCATCTACGACGACCTACTTAAGAAACAACACCAAGTGACATCAATTGGAGCCCGACTGGCTCCAGGATTAACAAATGGCCTTCAGGATCGAGCAATAAACCCGACATCAAGTCATAGGACACCGCAAGAATGGGCACCTTCCTCTTCATCACAAACCCAAGCTAACCACGTGACCACCATCGCACCTTCCGCGTCCTTCAATTGAAGCCAAATCGTAGGACAAGACAGTCTGAGGAGAGGCCGGGAACCATCTCTTTGGTCGCTGGCCTGCATCTGGTGAACAGTCAGCTTGAAGCCTGGAAGAGGGGGTGATTCAGAAGCAATGAAGGTAGGAGGGTGACACAACCCCGCATTTCACCCTGAAGGCGGCATGTGGCTTGTGAAACCACGTCCCTTGCCTTCGATTCCTCCATCCTTCCTCGTCTCCTCAATCAGCCATTCGACTACGAAGTGCTTAAATAACTCAACTGCATTTTACACGAATCAATTGCGTTGGGTTGGGCTGGGTTGAGCAACATCGACAGGGACAACGACAACGACGATGACGGCGGCGACGACGATGACGATAGTGATAACGACCAAGACCCACACAATTAGCGCCGACCCAAATGTTGCAAGCAAGTGGAGCTCCCGACCATGACATCAAGCAACCATGTGGCAGAGTCTCTCCAACTGACGGATTGATACCCATCATAGAAGGATGGGATCAAGCGTCTTATGAACAGTAAGTTGAGTTTGCTGCTACAGTTTGGTTTAAGCAATGCATTGTAGTTCGTACTTTTTTTTCTTCGCCGTCATCGTTGTCTTTTTTTGCCGCTGTTTCCATAATGATGCATCGTCCTGTTTTATCATCACACTCACAATAATTTGAGAAGCACACAGCATCAAGTGATGGACTTTGTGTATTTCTCAATTGGCCATGGCATTCCTCAGCAAGCAAACGTGTTGAGAGAAGAGATATGAGAGATGCAGGAGGGGGCATGGGAAGAAAACAATGAAATTTTTGTGACGGTGTTCCGGCGAGTTTGCGAGAAGAATCGCCGTGGGTTATGGTACAGGTTGTGTCGGCAGTGCCGACAGCAGACGGTCGGATCGTCCTCGAGAGTCCTCCCCGATCTAGGTCTATATGGCCCCGTCTATGCTGAGATTCCACGCCATCCTCCCATGCACACCTCCGCCCGTCTCATTAGCCTGTGCGATGTGGCGATGTTGTCGCATAAGACTATGAACCCCTCTCGTACACACGCCGCTAACCTCGTCCCCACGACTCGAGTATGTACAGGCGACCGATCGCTCCCACTGAGGCATCGACGCCAATTCCATCCAAGGGCGGATAGAAAGCGTTTAGGTCTGTCGACGTGCGTCAGGACAATCTGTTCACTCACGTTTATCGAGCATATCATCGTCGTCGAGGGGGCCCCTGGGCCCAGATGGATCTGGGTCCCGCGGGTCCGCCTTGACTGAGGGGAAATGCTGGGCTTGGCATTCCCCGCGCGGGGTTTACTTACGAACTTAGCCATGAGGGCAACCATCAGGTCGAACAGACCAATGGCTTCGACGAAGGCGAAACCAAGAATGGCGTACGAGAAGAGCTGGCCACGGAGGGCGGGGTTGCGGGCAACGCCGTTGAGGAGGGCGGCGAAGACGAGACCAATACCGATACCGGCACCAGTCAGACCGATAGCAGCAGAGCCCATACCAATGTTCTTGGAGACCTCAACCATGGCCTGGGCGATCTCAGAGGAGTAGGCACGGCGCTGGACGGCGAAGGCCTGGCGGGTGGTGGCGCTGACGATGGCGGAGGCCTGCTGGCGCTTGACGGCCTGGAGAGGAGAGGCCTTGGAAGCGACTATACGATGCGGGAAAAAAATTTTCGTTAGAAATCGACGCTTTTCTCTCTTACTCTTCTCTTGACGGCGGGATGGGATCGACTCAATGGCGTGGATGGCCAGCAGGACGGTGGTTTTGCTGCTGTCATCGCCGTGGGCGGTGCGGGTGCGGATTTCGGCTCAGATTCTACTCACCAGTCATAGTGCGCTTGCTGGCGTTGGCAAGCGACACACGGGCGGCCGGGCGAGCAGCCTTGGTGGCCATCTGAGCGGCCAGTCTCGAGGCGAGCACACGGGTGGAGGCCATTGTGACTGATGGGAAGAGTATGCAGAGATTGGAAAGACGGGTCGGGGGAGGTTGACGAGATGATACTCTTGGAGGTTGAGGTCAGAGACGATGGCTCGACTGCTGAAGTGGACGGAGAGGGAAAAAGAGTGGGAGGAGGGCGAGCGAAAAGGAAGAACAGGTGGTCAGCTGGGGAAGCGGAACCTCGGGCTGGTCCGGGCAACGGGCTCGAGCAGCGGGTTCGAGCCCTGTGAATGGCCAATTCGTTGCCTCGTTGCGTGCAACTCTCCACTTGGAGCTCAGCAGTGGGTCGGGAACCCAAGCTGGGGACAACTGTGAGAAGGGAAAATTTTGCTTGCGGCACTTTGGGGGACGCTGGCCCTTTGGGTCGGGCAATCTCGGACGCGGCGCGCACACAAAAGCCAAACTGTGGGCGATCAACGGAAACGGAGGGCTGGGCAGAAAGCACACATGCAGTTTCACGGGGCACGGCAATGGGTTATCAACTTTTTACTTTTGGGCTGGCTGTTATCGTCATCTAGGCCCTAGAGGTTTGGAGGGGGAGATGGAACAGCTCGGGGAACGCTCAGATCGACATCTTGCTATGCATCAATGGGAGGAGGGGCACCTTTTACGGATACAGAGTAGGCTACGGAGGGGATCATGACATGTACGATGCGATGTGTTCGGCCGTGATGACCGATTTAACGTCAGCCCGCTTTGCTGGAAGCTTTCTGGAGCTTTTTCGTCTGCCTGGGTAGGGCTCAGCAAGGATCCGGGACAAGGCGAGAACTGAAGCGTCAAACAAACGGAGCTCTTGGGGGTTCTCTGCCGGCGTTGTGTGAACAGCCAGCCGAAAATTTTCAGCCAACAACAGCAACAGGTCGTTGATGTCTCAGGCATTGAGGCTCCCACAGAAGCAACAAGCAGGGGCACCGTCCTTGGCTGCCCCCACGCCCCCACTGGGGGGCCCAAAAGAATGCTTCTGAGTCGTTGAGACGGGCCGCCAGAGCCCACAGAAAATCCACTTTTCCTATTAGGGGTTGACACGATGACGAGAGGATGAGCAAAAAAATGCCTCTTTTATCGCTTTTCTGCATCTCCGTTTATCCTTGTGAACCGTATGCGTGTCTGAGGCAGCTGCCGATTCGGTTATCAGGGGAAGATAACGGGGTACGGTAAACGGCGAGGCATGAGATCGAGATCTTGTTGAAGCTCCCTTGAGATTCCCATCAGCCTTTTGAGCTGGGAAGAGAAACTTTTTGTGTGTGTGCGCCTTCTGAAAATTCGAGATGTGCCACAATTGCAGGTCTGACATCATTCGTTCTTTCGATGGCAACCCAACCCAATCCCGTGTGCGTGGCCGTTACACAGCGCCCGACGAGAAGGAGGGTGCGGCAAGCCCGGGAAATGGGATGTTGAATGCTGTTCGTTTGTGTGGTTTGCTTGGCTGTTGTGGCACGGTAAGCCACATCCAGTGAGTTAATAGGGCTGTGGTTTTGGAGGAGAGGACAAGCATTCAGGAGGAGCAACAGAGGGGCAAGGCATCAGATCCATGACTTCAGTGATAGGGAGGTCAACGCAACTTACTCAGTGCTGATGCTGAGCTTCATATCCGCTTTTTGTGCTGTGATGGCCAACCTGGATGGTGGTCACACGCTTGGTTAAAACCCAACCTCCAATCATGGTTGCTAAGTTCCCGGTTTTTTCGTGTTCCACAAGACAGACCGGATAAAGTCCATTTGTATACGTAGGCATCGGAGTTGCCACGCGCCAAAACTGATCTTGGAGATAGGTCAGGGAACTGAGGTTGCATGCAGCAGACTGCCAGAAGGTTGATCCAGCCGGTGGTCTGTGGTTTGTTGCTTTGTTTCGTGTGGCTGTCATGGCATGCTGTGTCACCACACTCATCTCGAGCAGGGACAACTTGATTATTACCGTAAGAGATCGCTGAGATCATACTTTAAGGCTTGTTCACGACCTTCTACAAGGAAAGTCTACTGTTCATTTGTAGAGAGACAGGTAGTGGCGGCAGATTGAAGTATATCTCTACATTGAGTCCTACTGGAGACTATGGTCCCGTCAGAGAGCGGGTGGGAGACAAGAGACATCACCAGTTTCCGTTGTGAAACCAACACGATCACATCGAAAAGCGAGGGAGACAAATTGTTGGACAAGCACTCTCAAATCTCGAATCCTATTCCCAATCGACGCAAAAAGAGCCAGTGTCTGTGAACATGTTGGGTATATAAATCCGTCCATCCATGCCAGAGAAGGAAGCCAGATTGCACTTTATAAAAACGCCGATCCTTTTCCGCCCACCCATCTTTTAGAAGACGTAAAACCTTTCCCTGGAAACCCATGAATCCAATATAGATCAGTAAGCTTGTATGTACGCTCAATCCCATGCTGAAACAGAGTCAGAGCCAGACACGAAAATCTGTCCATCTCGACACTCTGATGAGAATGCCACGGAGATATAACCCCGCGGCGACAATCACTCCTGCTCAGTCCCACCTACAACAACATCCTTATCCTTCTTCGCCCACCCATATCCCTCGATAAACCCACCCGGATCGCACGTCCTCTCCAAATTAATCCTGTGCTTCTCAATCCAAGCACGCACCGCACCCAGTGAGATCTTGACGCGCGGCACTTCACGCGGCGTGGTTGACGATGTCATCATCATATTCTCAGCAGGCCCACCATTAAAGTGGGGCACAGACGTGGCAGCAGCACTTGTGCCAGTAGCGGAGGCGGGGCACGAAGATAAGGATGCCGATGCCGAGGCGGGGCCAACGGAAGCAGCTACAGGGACGGTGTCATCGTCGGCGCCGACGACAGCGGCGTGTGGGGCGGCATGGTGGTGGTAGTAGCGGCGCGGAGCGGGGGCTGGACCCATGCCTGCATCTTCGGCCACGCCCATCTCCCGGAGCACGGCGAGGCAGTCGTCGGGTGCGATCCAGGTTGCCTGGGAGATGTCGGTAATGGTGATGAGGAACTTGTCACCGTCGCCATAGGCGGGACCAACGGGCAGGGCAACGGGGTCAGCGTCGGCATCGGGGGAGGGGGCAGTGGCAGCTCTTTGCTGTTGTTGCTGCTGGGAAGGCAGGCTGAGCAGCCACCGGGCGATTTCACCTGCCCAGAAGCGCTTGTAGCCCTTCTTGCCCAGGTCGGATATGGGTTTTTCGGGGCCGCCGATCAGACCTTCACGGCGGGAGATCTCGTACGAAATGCCCATTAGCAGGGAGCCCAGCCCCTTCCGCTGCCAGGGAGGGAAGATGAGGATGCAGGCCAGGTTGTTCTGGTCCCAGGAGAGTTTCTCCTTGGAGAAGAAGCCCACGATCTGGCCGCGGGGTTGGATGAGCTTGGCATTCGGAGTGTCGGGATTGGCGGGACGTGACGGCGGGGTGTAGACGAGCAGGTAGTACTTGAAGTCGGTGACGTTGAAGAACACTGACTTCGTGTCGAGGAAGAGTTTTGCGAAGAGGGAGAGGTTCTGGCAGAAGAGGGTATCCTCTTCGCCATCCACCTCCCACACGCTCCACTCTCCCTCGTCGTGTACTTCCTGCTCGACCAGCTTTGGGTAGGCATTAGCGGCGCGGCGGCCTCTGCCCTGCTTAGGGGCCGGACCAGCGGGAACCAACACGGTGCGCTTGCCCTTCGGGTGGGTATAAATTTTGGTGCCAGGGATGAAACCTTTGCGTTCGCAGATCTGAACGTGCTCCCACCAAGCAACCAGTTCCTTCGAGTACTTGAAGCAGCATGGACAGACGTAGAGTCTGTCCAGAATCGGTTGAGAGTTGTCGGCGCCGCGTCGGCCATGTGTCTTCCCGCCGTTGGGACCATTGTTCTTCGATCCGGAGTGCCCATTGGCCCCATTCGTATTGCTGCTGTTGTTCTTGGTGCCCTTTCCTCCGGCTGAAAGATCACCGAGCACCTCCTTTCCGTAGTATGAGGGGTACCAGGCGCGGAAGCATATGTTGCCCAGCACGACCTTGTCGATGTTGCGGTCGGACCGAGCCTCAACGCTGCCAGCGGTGCTGGCCTGACCTCCAGAGGCCCCGTTAACAGCAGCAGCAGCCGAGCTCGGGGGCGCTGTCGGCGCCGTCGTGAACATGTGGGTGCTGCGACTCACCGAGCCGGACTGCTGCTGTTGTGGCAGCATGGAGGGGCCAGCCACGCGCTGCTGCGACGACCAGCGGCTTGTTGCGGTCGGTGCGGGCGCCGAAGACGAAGAATCGCTGTCGCGGGGGGCCGGGCGGGGTTTGGGGGCTGCCCGGGCTTGGCTGCTACCGCCAGCGGAAGCGGAGACGGAGACAGGAGAAGGGGCACGACAAGCACGGGTCGCCCGGGCAGGCTTTAGCTGGGGTTGCTGCGGCTGCTGTGGCTGCGGCTGCTCAGGAATGTTTTCTTTGCCGCGCGGAGACTTGGGAACTTGCGCGTTGGCGTCGATATTGCGGCGACGGCGACGTGGTTCGGGGTCGGCGGGCGCTTGCACAGGCGGAATTGAGCTTGCGCGTGTTGCGCGACGTAAGGGACCCTCTGGGGCGGCTGTCACTGCTGGGGCTCTGGCTGCAGGTGCTGGGCGGCGCGCGTGAACCTCTTCGTCCTCTTCCTTGGCGGGACACTTCCTCTTGAGATGGGCCGGCATTGTGACTGATGTAAAACTGAAAAAAAAGAAGATTGGTCTGAAAAATTTGTAGAATTGACGGCACGAAATTCAGAGAAGAGCTGCCACGCTGAAAGGCCAAATGCTGTTGTTGGTCGCTGGAAGTTGGCTTCGTTACAGCTATGAGCTCAGCTTTGTAAGTCGGGTGCTCGCGCTCTGGTTCGCTCGTCGCTGAGTGATTCGCTGGGAGATGGAAGAACGATGGACCCCTTCGGAAAATGGGTGCCAAGAAGTTATATCAGGCCCTGCTAAGCCAAATATTGACTAGCGTATTAACCCCTAATTGGCTTGTGACAAAATTGGAACCTTTGCCATTCGCTCCAACCACAATAGGAACGCATGTACCTCTGATGTACAGGTGGGGCAGTCTTATTGTAGAGGGGCATGAAACGCTGGGAATGCGAAAACTCCCACCCGAATCCAATTCAGGTTGCACGTCACCGGCCAAAGCAAGCTCAATGACTATTCTGCGCCATTGATCGCAGCGCCCAAGCAATTTCCAGCAACGGAAATCCTGACAATACTTCAGCTGGAACAGCACACATATCCAATGGTTGGCTAGGATGTATGCCTGCTGGTTCCAATGCTCCGAGCAGGAATTGCTGCCTTGAATCGGGCTGAGAGAAAAGCCCCTCTCCCGTTGGTGGTATGCCTCGTCCTTGCTGCCACTTTGATTAGCCTTTGTGTCTGTCGTCGCCTCGTAGATCCGTACGCTGACCTGTGTTGCTCAAGCGCCTTGTTGGTCGATCAGTCTCGCAAATCCGTCCCATCTCGGCCACTTCGTTTCGGCGCCATGATGCAGGGGAAGGGTCGGCCTCAAAAGAGCTGACAAAGCCTGGCCCTTTGCCTGGAGAACAGTCAGTAGCAGCGTTACAAGCTCCACAAATAAGACACGATGTGGGCGACAAACCAGAGGCCAGCAGTGACCACCCCGGTGACTCGAGCGAGAACACGAGCAAGGCTCCCTCGAACCCGTGGACAGAGCTTGAGTCGCTGAAGAGGAAGAACAGATTTTTCAGTCAGTGTGATCCTGTGTGTCAACGGTATAACATTTGTTGTTGACATATAAGGCAGAGCGTCAGATCACTGCTCTTCGGAAAGCGACACAAAAAGATCCGCAGTTTGAGCCATACGAGAGGTTTCTCCTCGCCGTGAAAAAGGAAACGATAGAACAGTGGAGGAAGGCTCAAGACCCAGAGATTGACGAGATCTTTGCCCCAGTATCGGATGAACCAAGGCCAGACCCGTTCCTCGAAGAATCCTCGACACCTGATGCCTCTAATGGTGAGACGGTTTATGAACGAGGCGTCGGTGTGCCCGGCGGGAGGGGCTTCGCGGACCTGGAAGATCAGGATATTTTTGAGAACATTGACGAGGAAACCAGGAAGCTTGACCCTCGCAACCGAACTCCGGAGTTTCCGGTTCTGAAATATCCTCAGGACCCTGAGCTACAAAAAGCTCTGCCGAGAGGTTTCCACGACATGACCTTTGAGGAGCAACAGGAGGAGCTATGGATTGTGTACTCGGAAAAACTTCTGGGTACCAAATGGCCATTGCCGCCCAAGGGCGAGAAGCATCGGGAGTATGTCGATGACTACCCTGCTTACTCGCCTCCCAAAGTCCTCGGGATGCTATACCGTTGGCGCGCTCGAAAATGGAGAGCTCACGAGTGGCGCCTCGCTCGAGCCATAGCTCTTAACAGGTCTCTGCGTCTTCCTGTGCTTGCAACGCAGGCATTCTTGAGAAGGCACGCGCTCCTTGCTCGTCGTCGGGGTGTTGCTGTGAAGATCGAAACCTACCTTGGCACCACAGAAGAGTGGAAGGCCCGAGTAGCCGAGCTCGAGGCGACAACTGGCATCACCGAGGCTGACATCAAACAGTGGGTGTGGATTTTGAGTCCCCAGAGCGGTGACCTCAAGATCCAGAGATTCCTTGCGAGCGAATGCCGCAAGCCTTTCTTTCTCGTAATGCTTTTGCTGGCCAAGGACAAAACGATCAAGGAGCCTGCCGTCTTGATGGGACTGCTGAAGTACATCAGGGAGAACTATATCCTTCGTGAACGTCCCGAGGATGAGATGAACCATCCGGCCTATAAGGAACAGGGTCGAGCCATGTCATGGTGGCACTTCCTCGTGCTTCTTTACCGTCTAGTATGGCATGTTCGGGAAGAGTGGCCGGCAGTGTTTCCTGTGCTTGCCCATATGACTGCCGAATTCATTCAAACCATCCCTGTTGACAGTCAATCCAGGTCGATGACGGGCGCACAAGCTAGATCGGTCGTCTTGAACAAGGCCCTTCAGTACTTTGCCTGGCCAGCGCGGATTCGCCCTCTTGTTCACATGGAGCACAACTGGGCCGCACAACGGTACCTACTCCGCTTAGCAACCTCTTCTGAACCGCCCCTTGTCATCATGCAGAATGGTTATCGTGCAATCCGGCAAGTTCTCATTGCCTTGAGCAAAACTAAGGGTGAGGCGAGAAATGTCGAACGAGCCTCCAAGACATGGCCGCCGTACCGGAGAGCTGTAGACGGGATGGATGAGCGTCGGCCTCCAGAAGATGATCTCAGCAGAAGCTCCAAAGCTGGTATTCTCGTTCGTGAAGCTGGTTACGCAGATGAGTTTGTCGACCGGACACTTAGCGCGCTTGGCGGATCGCTCTTCGGTGACTCGCCCACGATCCAGTCAAGGGCCCTCTCTCCTCCCTTTTTCTACGGTTCCAGGGCTGGCTTCAATATCTTTGTCGAGTGGGCTGCCCAAGTGAAGGCGACAAGAAACGCGAGGGAGGCCTGGATAGTTTTCCTGAACCCGCCCGAGCCGGGCCTCAGGCCTGATCTCCGAGTCTATGCGGAGATGTTTGACAAGCTATTTGCTCGGCCGGTGTCAGATCATCCAGCTATCCGGCCAGGTGATGTCAAGGAGGTTTTCCCCGTCCACGATGGCAACCTCAGCAAGTTTGAGATTGCTAGGCTCACACCTCCAACACCTGACGAGCTCTACGATATGATGCTTCAGGACAAGCTCAGGCCTGCTGGCAAGTGTTTGGCAATCCTAGTGCGGAACGCTCCTTCGAAACAGGAGGCTCTGCGTTACCTGCGCGACAGCCCATTTGCAGCCTACATTGACCCATTGATGAATCGGCTGAAATGGCATGATGCAGAGAGCATGAAAACCTTGGCTCGACTGCCTCCTCCGATCTTCAACGCCTGGATTCGCATGTTGTGCCGAACCCATATGCGAAAAACAGGAGAGGTTCGACTAGAAACTAATAAGAATGGGCTTTCGAGCCAGGATACAACAGCCGAGATGGTCATTAACGATCCGCATCTTGCGGGCGAGGATAGAGTGCTAGAGAGACAAATTGCCAAGGGCTACTCGATCCTGGAAGCCATTGCCCTCACCAGGGCATTCCAGACATACAACAAACGGTCCGCCTATGGGGACAAACAGCCATGGCACACCATCATGGAGGCCCTGGCCGGGCCCAAGGTCCTGTACAGCCGCTTCGGCGCGCTGTTCAACCCCTTGGAGACGTTGACCGTATTCTTGGAGATTTATCAAAGAACCACCATCAGCAAGGGTGTCGACCCGATCGCCTTTGAGGCGCTTTGCGTAATGATGCGCAAGACGCTAATGCTATCGACCTTTGTCGTGGAAAATGGAAAGCTCGCTCCACGGCAGTTTATCGCCTACCAGTCGCCGGTCGAGAACCAAATCTTGCGGGCGCATCGGTTGGCGAGGGAAGCCTTCCGGGATCTGGTCAACCCAGTTCCTGCGGAAGAAGCCACGGGAGAGAGCCCGGATACTCAGACCGCTGTTGAAGACATAGAAAACAATGAAATGGAGCAGTTCTACGAGGAAGACGACTGGCCACCAAAAGGCCTCCTTCGCTATAACGTCACGGGCCGCCCTCTCTTCCGCTACATGATGGCTCTCGGCTGCTGCGGCGACTGGAAGGAGATGGTGCGCCTCATGGATTGGATCCTCGACGGCTGGGACGGCGAGTACATCCACGAAGAGGCCAAGTCGCCGCACGACATCATGTACCACTATATGATCCGCACGTTTGCCTACTTTATCCGTGTCGGCGGGTACATGGTGCCGCATCAGGAGATGGAGCGGTTGAGGGTCAAGCTGGAGGAGCTGAGAATGACGAGGGAGTGTACTTGGTTCTGGCCGACCGGGGAGGATCTGAGGAGAATGGAGGACGAATTTGAGACGGATCTGATTATTAGGGAGAAGTGGACTAGGCTACCGCAGATGATTTTCTTTGCGGATCCGGAAAATAAGATGGAGATGCTGGCCGAGTTAATACCCAAAGGGGCAGATAAGTGGGTGACAAAGGGGCAACTTACGCAGGAGGAGCTCGTGCGGGAGTTGAGGAGGGAGAGTCTGTAAAGGTTGCGGATGATACCATTAGGTGTATGGCTGTATATATGGGAATATATGATTTTGGACATGTTCATGTACACTTCTCGATGAGAACAAGGAGACCAGGATTGGCTACTCATATCTGGATGACACTGAAAGAGAGCTGCGCTTTAACAATCATGAATGTTCCCACTCAGAGCATATCTTGAAGAGGTCATGCCGGTAGTATGGTAGTTAGTTCCTAGCCTCGGTCCACTGACCTCTGTAAATGCTACCTATATTAGTACTTAGACCTCATACAAATTCGTCAAAACTTATAAAGGCGAAGGGACCCTTCAATCGTGTGTGTGTGTGTGTGTGTGTGTCTCCCTGTATGTCAACAGCCACATCGCGAGGAGACAACCCATTCTCATATATAATTGGTCAATGGAAGCATATTGAATCGCCCATTCATTCTGTCACGAAAGTTGAATAAGATGAAATGATTGTTCAGTGAAAGCCACTTGGTAGGCTATTATCAGCTTTCGTCGCAATTGCAGAGCTTGCTTTTTATTCATCCTTTCTCAATTCAGCACTTTCTGTAAGTCAGTTGGCGAGAGTCTTCCATGTCGGGTACTTTTGCGACCGTTACTATCCTATAACAAACCTGTGAGGTTCTTATTGTATTCTTCAAAATTCAAAACCCATTCTCATAGCTAAATGACGGCAATTCACCGAAATACGACAATAGCTTCACATCGCACACCCATGACCGCTTGCTCCAAACTATCATCATGAGCTTATAGTACTGGGCTAAAAACTCCCATCTTCAACCAAGTATGTCAGGACCAGTGCTGAAGCTGCACCACCGACAACGACAATGACCTCTGTTACAACCTAGCTTTCTTCCAAACCCCAGTCATACTCTCACCAACGCCCAAGGACAACCCCTCCCAGGTCACGATGAGTGTGGCTGCCACGACAGCCACTCCTCAAATCGAAGATGATCTCCCTCCGGTTGTCTCTGACCTTGACATCACGCTCACCAAGCCTCTCTACCCGCAGGTGGTGGTTACTCGTCCGCATGCTCGTGAGCATCATCGACCTCTGGCACCGTCTGGAGCCCGCTCGCCATCTGTCGCCTCTATAGATGATGAGCCCAGCACTGATGGTGCGTCCACCAGCGCGGCAGCCTTGAGGAGAGCCGCGCCCTCCGCGACATCTGTGTGCAACAGCCTGCGTCTACGCTAGTCATGTCGCACTTGCAGTTCATTTGGTTCGTTCATCCCGCTACAACTGGCCGCGATCAAGATGCCGTGAGCGCGCAGCTGAAGGCCGCTGCTGCCGCTGAGTGTGAGGGCCTGGAGCAGCAGGATGGTGAGGGAGCAGGGTGCGTTGAGTTAGAGTCGGACGTTTTACGTTCTACATCAACTCGTGTATTACCTGACTAGAATGTGTCCACTGCAGCAACTAACGACAAAGAAGGCCTGCGACAGTTTTTACTCTGATGGCAGGCTTAGTGTGGGTGGGCAGATTTGAATGAGAACTCAAATAGGGGAGTTAGGAGTACCGCGACACCGCCTTCGACTGAGGAGGCGGAGGCGTTGGCTGCCGTGGTTGAGAAGGATGTGAAGAAGAGGTCTCTGGAGTGAGATGTGTGAGGTGTTCTGGCGCCGAAGGCTGTGAGACTGTTGGAGGAGGAGCTTTCAGCAGAGGCCGTCTTTTCTTGCTTGCTGAAACCGAGCAAGGAGAGTCGTTTTTTGAGCAGGAGTTTCATAGCATGGAGATGGATAGAACGGTCCTGGATTCAGGATTTCAGTGTAGAGCATTGGAGGTGTCAATTGCTCTGGGAGGCCTCTATTCCAGCGGGCATAACGCTTGTCCAGCTGGATCCTGAAGAGGAGGAGGAGCAAGAGTTCTCTTCTATGGGCTGGGCCCGAGCTTGGATAGAGGACGGGAGTTTACAGCATAGGAAGGTACACATAGTTAGAGACGTGAATGTGATCTTCAGGTGAGCATACATCACAAACAGGAAGCATTGACTGAGTGTTACAGAGGAGTCGGCATGGATGGAGGATACAGATGCATGGCACCCTAAGAGGACCTACTAGCATTCAGCGAGTGAGCTATCAAATTTGAACATGTAAATCATCGCCTTCCCTTTGCTGCGTCACAAACTGAAGCTTCATAATAGCTCCCTTTGTCTTATATGCCGTGCTTTTTTTTTTCTTTTTGTGTGTCGTCATTCTCATCTCCCGTCCCTCCCATGCCATCCCCTTGGTACGTATCCCCCCTCCACAGCCCACCAAGCGGTCAAACCCCTGGCTTGCCGCATGCGGGATGCCGCTGCTACAAATGATTGGCTGCCGACCCTCCAGAGCCGCGACCTGCAACCAGCACCAGATCTCTTGTTTTTCCACTCCAACCAATCGGGTGTGTTGTTGGAAGGGTAATATCCCTGCCGAGGAAACGGTCCCCTGGCATTGGAGCGACTTCATCAATGGGAATCGACAGGTCGCTGGCGGTTAGCTTCGCTTTGAGTTTTGGGCTTCGGCAGGGCAAGGGAATGGTGAAGTGGTGGCTGATGGAGAGCAAATCATGGACAGGCAGTTTGGCGTGAGGCTCTGGGGAACCGGAAGGCACTAGATGACAGCCGGTCCTTGTTAGGTAGGGTGCAAGAGGGCGTGGGCTATAGCAGAGCGTCATTGGACCTCAAGAAACGCTCACAACCCTGGACTCATCTCGCGTGGCTTGATGCTGCCTCATGGCAGGTGCCGCTGCTGCGGTGCCGTAGCCAGTCGTATGGGAGTAAGCGCAGTGTAGCTAGGTCTCGGTCGATACGTTACCAGAGGGGACCCCGGCGCGGGAGGGATGCTGCTGGCCGCTTGATGTGCCACGGCGCGAAGCTCGCCTGACTTGACGCGCGCCAGGGGAGATGGGTGAGTAGGGAATGTGAAGCTTTGGTGCTGTTTGGAGGATGGGGAAATGCATGTGGACTCATTCTCTTCCGATCTTTTGGATTCCCACGGCTTCTTTCTTGCTAGGGGTGGGTGTATGCATAGAGTATTTCTGCTGTGTACCAGTCTATCTATCGCCCTTCCTCTCTTTCTCTCAGAATTTTGTTAAACTAAACAAAACCACCTGCTAACAAGCTTCACTCGCTCGTTGTCTTGTCTTGCCCTTCCTTTTGCCCTTTCCCCCCCAATCGTTTCCTCCTATGGCTTGTCCTGCTGCCCGGAGCGGCATTATTGTCCTTTGTTGATCCCAAGGGGCGTGTGATTGTTTGTCTTGTCTACCTACTCTTCTGTCTACCTTGGCATCATCCATCACGATCCGGTCAATCTGCTCTACCATCTGTCTTTCCGATCGTTCCTCGTCTCTTGCTTCTAGCGTCGCTACCCTGAAGCGAGCTGTGTGCTCTTCCCTCCCCGTCTCATCCGCCCTCTAGGGCCGGGCAAACTACATCTTCATCGTATCTATTTTCCTCTCTATTTTGCTCTTGTTGATTGTGTCTGAGTATCACCGCCGGCATTGCAAGCAAAAACATACGATACCCCATCTCTTACACATACAGCGCTTAACATACATACACCACGACCGCGATGCGGACTATAATACTAATACTCCACGGCTTATGTCTTGTCGCCGCCGCTGAGGCCGGCCCTCTCGGACGCTGGGGCTGGTTGAAGCTGAGGCAGGATGATAGTAATGACGACCTAGGGGGATCCAACACTGGTATTGGTACTACGATCGTCACTTATATCCCGACGCGGAGGAAACACTCACTAACCATATTATCAGGTGCTGTTGGATCGTCGTCAACGTTGGGTGAATTGACTGTTGTTGTTCAAAGTACGTCATCAGTGATTATCATTCAGACAAGTTCCATAGGCTTGACTGCGTTGTCGTCTACTATCTCGTCCAGTATACAGACGACAGAGCCCATGAGTATATCTTGAAGATCGAGTAACGCTGACACAACAACTTCAGATCCCCCTGAGCCGACAACATCCAGTCTACTAGCCGCCAGTACACTTCTCAAAAGCAGTACGTTGACCTCTTCCTTGCAGTTGTCAACGACATCTTCCAATACAGAGACTACTAGTTCAGGGGTCAGCATCGCGAGCACAACTAACACTGCGAGTTCAGTCTCAACCGAGACAGCCGGTCCTACCGCCTTACATGAGGAGGATGAAGAGAGCTCGGCGTCGCCTACCCCCGAGCCCACGCTCACTCCCACTGAGCGCAACTCAGCTACGGAAGATACCTCGCCCACAAAGACGGCCGTAGAGCCTGCAGAAACCACTTCGGTCGAAGAGACCACGTCGACTGAGCGTGGTACCCCGAGAACCTCAAAAGCTGATGGTACGTCTACTACGGAGACTTCGTCTTTAACTGAGAATACTTCGCTGCCTAAGGGCACGTCAACGTACTTTGCTACCAAGACTACATCTTCATCGACGGAGACTCCCTCGTCGAGTGAGACTATATCAAACGTGGGCTCTGCCGCAACCACTGAGAACTCGTCTACAGCATCCCCATCAAATGAGAGCATTTCATTGACTGAAATACTTGCAACTATACAGAGAATGAGATCCCTTCGGTGACGAAGACTCCGATCGAGAATACTTCAACCGCAGAACCCACGACCGGCAAGCTTGAGAGCTCAGTGACTGAATCTGCTACTGAGGTTATTTCCCCGACTGAGACAACGTTAAGGGAAGAGCCGCTGTCGACCGAGACAGAGTTTACCACAACGACGGAGACGACTACCGAGGGCGAGAAGCCAACTTCCACAGAAACCCTTTCGCCGATTGAGACTGTTGTCGAGACCACTACATCGACCGAGAGCACATCAACGAAAGGGCCAGCCACCGTTGAGACGGAGAGTCCTTCGGTAACCAAGACTACCACTGAGACCACTACGTCCACAGAGAGTACTTCGACGGATGGCCTTACTTCCCCTGAGACGGAGACGACGCTTTTTTCCACTGACAAGCTTACATCAACCGAGACCGAGACCCCTTCCGTGACAGAAACGGTTACCGAGAGCACAACCTCGGTAGGGACAATAACCACAGAGGATATTACAACGGCGACGAAAACATCTACTGAGAGCACCACCGCTACGGAGACCATCTTCACCGAGACGACGTCGACCGAAACCACTACCACCAGTGCCGATGAGACCACAAGTTTGGCTACAGAGACCTCAGCTACGAACACTGGTACTTCAACTGCTAATGACAGCTCGATCGCTACATCAGAAACCGCCACTGAGACAACACTCTCACTCACAGAGACCTCCACTTCAGAGACAGGTACTACAACTATGTTGATCGTGACTACCATCACAGCCACTGACGCCATCACTGTTACAGCCTCTGAGACCGAGACTTCCACTACGACGTTTGATGGGTCTACTGTTACGGGTACGTACATTGTTGATGTTTTTTGACTAAGAGTGAAACTAGAGAGTTGAGTATGCCCACTCCGTCGGAGATATTGCTGTTGCTTTGAGAGAGATGTCGGCGACGGAGGAAGAGACTGTAATATTGCCAACAACTGTCTCAAGTGAAGAATTTTCAAGTGAAACTTCAGCGAGAAAGGAGGATGCGGGGGCTTTAGCAACGGATGAGACTGACGCCTTAACAACAGAGTCAACCCCGATCACTCTGACCCCTACGGACACTCCCTCCATCACCTCGACTGAGAGTTCGGCTACGGAGTCAACCTCAAGAACAGCATCGACAGGTGTGTATTCTATTCTTAGACTGATGTTCCAACTACGGATATGAACTTGCCTTCTCCGTCGGCGACTATCTCGGCTACAGAGAGGCCATTGGAAATGATAGCTCGACCACGGAGTTGGTGTTTGTTTTGACAACAGAGGTGCTTTCTTGTTTGGAGTTCCCAACAGAGACTGAGGAGGAGGAAATACCTATTCCTACCTCCGAGATTCCGTCTGCAAGTGGCATCACGGAGACTGCGCCAAGTGCGCTTGGTTTGCCATCAGAAAGCGGCAGCCCAGAGGTCACATCAAGCGATATCGCCATTGTGAAATAGCTACTCCGTTAGAGCTCACACTTGTCGACGATCCAGTAACTAACATCAAGACGCTAGACACTTCTTCCATCGAGACAAGCACCGTTGTCTTTACCCCCACTGGCACACCCAACCCCGACGTCCCCACAGCCATCACCGAGATTCCTCCCTTGACCAGCACCGTCCCGCCCTCGGTCTTCGAAACTAACCTTCAGAATGCCCGACAGTATAACGTCATCTTCGCCGGCCTCACCAAGCAGTCCGCCTGCGCCAATGAGCAGGTCGCTTGCGTGGATGGCGGCATCGGACGGTGCTCAGCAAATGGTGTCTTCGAGATAACACCCTGCGCGGCGGGCACGAGCTGCTTTGCGCTGCCGATGAAGACTGTTGATGGGGTTGAGGTTACGTGTGAAACAGTTGAGAAAGCGAGGGAGGTCCTGGGAGAAATTCCGGAGGGGTTGTTGCCGGATCCAACTTCAACGGTTACTCAGGAGCCGAGCAGTGCTGTGGAGGAGACTACATCCACGAAGATCCCAGACCCTAGCGAGACGGACACGCAGATGATTACGGAAGTTCCTGGGGAGACGCCAGTGACGACGACGCAGGCAGAGGAGCCTACTGGCCCCAGTTTCGTCACGATCATCTTCCCTGGGGAGACGGGTTCTGAGGTGCTGACTATGACGGAGGATCCGGCCCCTGAAGTGCCAACTCCTATTCCCGAGGCCCCAACACTCACCGCTATCCCTGAGGAGACTACCAACTCCCCGGAAGTCACCCAAGTTCCCTCTCCTTCGGACGCAACTCCAACCAGTGCCACATCCGAGCCCGAGCCGACCGAGGACTTCGAGGTGATCTTAACCACGACGATTACCTCGACAACCACTGTCCAACCCGAGCCCATCACCAAGACTGTGATAATCGATGTCAGTACCGGGGTTGAGACTATCACGCTCACTATCGAGCCCGACCCGGTCGAGACGGGCATTCCCGAGGACGATACTCCTGAGGATGTCACATCTGCGACTCCCACAACAACCCCATACACCGAACCCATCACCAAGACGATCGTGATTGACGTGAGCACAGGCGTCGAAACGGTGACGTTGACAATTGAACCCGACCCGGTTGAGACCGGGGCTCCTGATGATGGATCCCTCGAGGAGGTCATCTCTGAGACACCCACACCCACACCAGCCGAGCCGACACCTGTGCCTGAAAATCCTACCCCTGTTATCGGCTCCCCGGAGCAGAGCACCAGTCAGGACATGCCAACCCTCTCAACCACCGACCTGCCCTTCTTCATTCCCTTCCCGACGCCAACAACATTTATAACCATCATCATCACCACCACAAGCAGCAGTAGCGTCAGCCCTCCTCCAGCAGAGGATAACACCAGCGTGGATGTCCCAACCTCCATCGAGGACACCCCCCTAACCACCACCACAACAACAACCGATGGTCCCTCCCTCCCGTCAATCTCCATCCCCGACTGGATGTCCTCCCTCTTCTCAGACCTCATCCCTCCCACCACTTCCTCATCCTCTTCCGAGGATACCCTCTCCAAAACTGCGGATCCAACGCTCGTGCCACCACAGCCGACAGCCACTGGCGACACATCCCTGCCAACATCAACGGAGACGCCCAAGAATGAGGTCACAGTCAGGCCGTCGCCTACATCGCTGGTTGTGCTGCCTTTGCCGGATACAGTGACCGACACGGTTACTGTGACTCAGACGGTGAAGGAGACGGAGACTGTGACGAGTGTAGTGACGGAGACTGTTACTATTCAGGCAAGGAGGCGTTAAACTTTGGGGGTCAACAGGAAAAGGGGTGAAAGAGAGTTGATGTTGTGAGCAGGTGCGAGCTGTACAGTTGATGTGTGTGCATGTAAGTATGTGTGGGAGGAAGCATCCGTTCGATTCTTTCAGTCTTTTACTCACGCCAACGTCCTGGTGATGGTGGTATGTTTTTCTCTTTCACGTCTTTCTTAGATCAGTTTTTTTAGTTATTTGGTCTCGCGATCTGTTGAATACTTTTATTTTGAAGTCTAGGGGTGTGGCACCTTGAGCGATAGTACAGTCTGAAGAAGCATGTACAATTTGCATATTGAAGTGATATAGTTTGGGACTGTTTAATTTGGAGCATTGGTTGGATATAACTCCGACTATCCCTTCTGATGTGTGCAAATATTCGATGTCGAATACATATAGCTAGAAACCAAGTGCTTGCCAGGTCTCTCACAGAGAGAAGGGTGTGATCACACTTTGATTGAGGTTCGGGACTTGAGCAACTTTGCTTTCTACCTATCCAAAGTCAACCCGAGACACAAAGATAGGTATGCCAAGCAGAGAAAGTAATCTGAAGTCAAGGTGTTGCTTGTCTATGCCGGCGAGCACAGATGCATACAAACTCACAGGTCACCTAAACACCACTCAGGATCCCAATAAGAAATAATGTTTCTAGATCCAAGTAAAAGAAACAACAAAACACGGCAATGATCGCCAGATCTACAAGGTAACTGCTCAGCAATAGCAATGCTCTCACCACGCTCAGGGGTATCTCCTCAACCCTAAGAATAACTAAGCCACGCTCTCTAAGCAACACAAAGCAAGAATTAATGCCAGAGTCCCCACGCCTTGCCATGCTCCTTAAATGTCCCGAATCCCAGGCCGACTCACCATCAATCGAAGCAACTTTAAAAGCCAAGCCGAATCAAAGGAATTTTCTAAAGACAACTTCAGTAAAGCAACCCATCTGAAGCCTTTCACCGCCGTCTCCTCCATCGACTGTTATACGCTGGCCCGCCTTTGGCTCCCGAGTTCCGAAGCTTGAGTCTCCTGAAGTTGGCATGGGCCGTAGCCTTGACCTTGCGAACCGCTTTCTTGACGATATCCTCATCCTTGCCAGTCGTGGTGTCACCAGCAGCGGCCTTCTTCCCCTTTTTCTTCTTCTTACCATCCTCTTCCTCTTCGTCATTCTCACTCTCAGACTCCTCAAACGCCTCATCTGAACCCTCCTCGTCTGAGCGGAGCCCATCTTCAACCTCGGGATTTCCCCCGCTAGCCTGGGCCTGCGTCTCGGGAACTAATTCGTCATCATCCTCATCATCATCTTCCTCCCCAGGAGGAGTAACCGTCTGCGCAGTAGGCCTCCTCACTCTTGTCGGACGCATACGCACCAGCCTAGTCTGACGTTTCTGTCCCTTCTTCTTCCACACCCTGGTCTGCTGGCTTTGATCATCTCCCAGCTCGTCGGGGCTGTCCAGCGCCGCTTCGTCATCAAATCCCGAAAGGAGACGCCCGCCTGCGGGCTTCTCCTCCTCAAGGAGTTTTTCGATGGTCTGCGAGTCGGGAACTTCAGCTGAGGGCGCAACTGCAGTCTGCTGGGGCTGGGATTGGGCCTGATCTTCAGCCTGCTGAGCCTGAGCTTGCTTCCTTTTCTCGGCCTCCTCCCGCTCCATCTCCCTCGCCGCCGCCTCCTCCTCCGCAAACATCTCATCCTCCATCTTCCTCAACCCCGCCACAACACTACTTAGTCCCTTCCCCACGGGGACTAACTTCCTTGGTAACCGGAGCGCACTCAACCTCTTCTTCCAGCCCCCTGTCCCAGCAACCCCATTAACACCACTCTCCTCATTCTCCTCATCCTCATCCATTGTCCCAAGCAAGGCGCCCTTATAGTCAGGAGCATTCCTCCTCCGCAGGAAAGACGGTGTGGCTGACTTCGGCGTAGACGCAGTATCCTTAGAAACACGGTTTGTCGAGGGGGTTTTGAACAACAACTGATTGTTACTATTACCCCGATCATTACGTTCCCTCAACGGCGTCGGAATCCCAGCATCAGAAGCGTGGTGCTTGACTGCCGAACGGGGGGTGTGTGCGAAGCGTGCTGTGGTCGGGGTCATGCCGTCTGTGTTGAGCGGGACTTGGAGAGGGGTCGCGTCGCGGTGCTTGCTAGGTGTGGCAGCCGCCATGCTAGGGGCGTCGCCAGACGACTTGACAACCGACGCGGAGGGCGTGCGGCCGAGGAGGTCGAAGAGACCGAGGACGCGACCGTCTTTTTGCGGGGTTGGGCTGATATATGAGGGCAGGACGGGAGCAGGTTCTTGGTTCATTGTGGCAGCAGAGGGAGTCTCGGATCCGGTAGAGATGTTCGGGGCTGATGTCGAGTATTGCTGTACCTTGCGCGGCGTCTGAATGAGCTTAGAACGCTTCGACGGAGTCTCAGGAGGGGGCATGGCTGCGTCGGACGACCTGCGCTTGCGCTGCTCGCTGTGACTCTGTTGGTGGTGGTGCCCGTGTGTGGCTTCGGCCTTGGGTGCTGGCTGGCTCTTCCCTGTGAGCAAGTCGCGAAGCTTGTTGTAGCGTTTATACTTTTGAGCTGCATCACAAAAGATGAAGGTAAGTATAACTTCACAAAACTTGGGAAAACGCATCGTGTTGCAATAGTAAACGGCAATAAACACTGACCAATCTCAGGGTTCTGCTTGATATCGCTGCGATCGGGCTTCTTTCCGCCGTGAGCAGCAGCCCAGTCGGCCTCCCATTTCTTGAGCTCGACGCGCAGCTGCAGCGATTCGCTTTCGATTGAGGTTCTTGATTTTTCGTCCATCGTTGTCGTATATCTCTGTACCTGAGAAGCAATTAATAAGGGTTAGGAAGTATGGATATGTGATTGGCGTGCGTTGAGGACCATGATCAGATCAGGCGTGTTGCTCGAGGAAATGGTAAAAAGTGCCAAGAAAGACACGCGATGGACGCGTGCAGCTGCGTGGTCGACGCGTCCTCATTTGGGCGCCCCGCATGGGCCCCGGTTAGGAAGGTGGGGCAAATGTCAAACACAATGGTAAATTTACAATAGGGATGACAACATTGTTACGTCCTATCACTGGTATCGAGCAGTTGAGCATGATCGAGTTGAGGAATCAATAGCATCATTTAGAACAAACCTGTTAATAATAACAAAAAAAAATCTGTAAGCCATGAGGAGACTCTGACACACAACCTGCTCGAGCCGAGTCAGCCATAATATAGGGAAATTTTTACGGCACATGAGCGGTAACACAACCCATCCAACCTCAACACATGTAATCTCCAAGGTAAGTAAAGGAGGAGGAAGAAATCAATTAACCTGCACCCGGTCCAGGAGAACAATCTCCCAAAAGAAAGTAAAACCATGGTGCAGGGCAAAGTACGTACGTACGCACGCAGAGGGCCGGCCAACTAGCTCCGTATTTCTCTTTCCCCGGCTCCCGTTCGTTTCAACCAGAACCCCGAAGAACCCGAACCAGCAGTACCAGAAGACCCAACCTTATGTTTCTCCAGTGGGGATCGCCCCTTACCTGCCCGTCCATACCATACTCTCTCTCTCTCT